TGAACCTAAGGATGCTTTGTCACTGAGCTACATCCTCAGTCTTTCACTTTTTTGAGAATGGGTCTAAGTTGCTGAGACTGGCTTTGAGACTGCCTCAGCCTCCTGAGTCTCTGGGACTACAGTTGTTTACCACCATACCTGGCTACCATTTGTTTTTCCTTGGTACCAGTGATTGAACTTGGGGCATTCAACCACTGAGCCACATCCCCACCCCTATTTTGTATTTTATTTAGAGACAGGGTCTCACTGAGTTGCTTAGTGCCCCACTGTTCCTGAGGCTGGCTTTGAACTCACAATCCTCCTGTCTTAGCCTCCCAAACCACTGGGATTACAGGCATGTGCCACCACACCCAGCTTTCTATTGGGTTTTATAGTAGAGCATTTCCCTAAAAAAATGAACCTTTCCATCCATGATGTACTCATATATTAGAGGTTGTGTGTATGTGTGTGTGTTAATCCTTAATTCCAAGTTGGAGAACTAAAATGTAAACTGTTGAAAAAAATCAGCTATAGTGAACTAAGTGTTTTGTGGTCTGTAGCATAACACTGGCTTTTCTCTCTTTTAGTTCATTCAGTGTGTCATGACCATTTGAGAGGAAGCTGCTGGAAGTCAATCAACATTCCACCTGGAGTTCGAATTTGCTTACTCTTTGCCTTCAGTACCTTGTGTAGCTTACATGGCTACTTCCCCTGACAGCTCTTGTAAAGGTCTATTACATTACACACAACTGAAGTTTGGGTTTTAGTTTTGATAATAAATTCTTTGGAACTTAGTAAGATCAAGTGTGTTATACCACCTAGAACTTCCTTGAGCTAATATCAGTCATATCTTATTTTCCTACTAAGCCTCTTTCATTATAAATTTGAGTATACAAAATGTTTAAGGCACATTATTTACGTTTCATTATGAGATATGAAACACTTAATCAGGCTACAATTGTTATCTTTCAATGTGGTTGAAAGTTTTGTGTGGAACATTCTTCGGTAAATGATATACACCCACTTGAATGCAAAAAAAAAAAAAAAAAAACAGTAATCCATGTTAGAGTTTACCTTCCTAGAAAGTTAGCAGCACGGGATTTAGACTTACACATATTTTCATGGCCTTGTGAATGGACAGGGAACATTGAGTGATTATTTTCTGCCTTTTTAAAATGTATGGATAATTTGAGTGGCAAATACTGTCACCAAGTCCCTCTTTGTCATCATCCATTCAAACCTTTGTAAACTATACTTAAGAATCTTATATGCTATAAGCTTAACTATGTAAAAAAAAAGTTCATAGAAAAAGACTAAGGGAATATATGAAAATATTAACTATAGTTATTTTTGGCTAATGGGATGCTTCATGACTAATTTTCTTTATGCATTTCAGTGTTTTCCAAATTTTGTATAAGACGTATGCTTCAATTTTAAAGTCAAAGATGTATTGATTTTAAAAATATTGATGCATCCAATTTAGTTATGTCATGTATTTATGCTTTTAAAAACACACAGCAAAAAGACTTAAATGAGTGTCCTAAAGTGTTAATCTGGCATCAGGATCATGGGTTTGTTTTCTTCCTTCCTCCTACTTTCCCAAATAGTCTCTAATAAACAGGTATTGAATATATATATCAATATCAATTTAAACAATAATATTTTTAAACCATGCGCTTTCAGTAAGATCTGGATTCTAATGCTGGCTGCACCTTTTACTGTGTGGTTTGATTATTTTAGATAACCCCTAGGGTCTTAGTTTCCCGTCTTTGAAAAGGAGATAGCACTTACATCTTGGTAGTTCTGAACATGAAAAGGTGTGTTGGTATAACAAGCAGAAACAGCATTTCTGATTCTTAAATTTAAAACTGTCCTGATTTGCCTTTTTTTTTGGGGGGGGGGGGTTGGTTTGTTTTTTGTTTTTGTTTTTGTTTTTGCAAGAAAGCTTAACAGATTAAAAAAAATGATGCTATTATAGTTCCTCCTTGCTGGCAGTGTATCTGTCTTACTTGAGGGCACAATGTGAGCATTACCATTCAAATGAACAATTAGTTATCAACTAATGAAAATAAAAGTTTTCTTAAGTCTCTTTAGCCTCATTTCACTAATGTGTTTTCTAAATGCTAAGATATATATTTCATAAATACTTTTCAACCCTAATTTATATATATATTATATATACTTATATAATATATATAATATATACATATAATATATATTATATATGGGGGAGGAGCTTAGATAATATTTATTTTAAAACACTCACTACATAGCAAACCTATTGTCCCCCACTAGTACATATGTGTAGTTCATATTAGTATGTAACTAAATTATATCCTTGTAAAGGGAGAGTAAATAACCATAAACTGAAAACAAAGATTATTTTGGTTTAGTATCTACAGCCCCAATTTGAAAAATCTTTTTTAATAGTTTTGCCAAGGTTCTAATCTGACTTGATCCTCAAGTCTCAATAAAGACTTGAGTAAATGATTCTCAGTTTATTCACAAGATATTTAAATAGGCAAAAGATACCTAAAGCAATTACAGAAATTAGAAGGTAATGACCTAGACCCTCAAAAATTGAACTAATATTTTCACACTTCTCTTTACATAAACATAGCATTGAAATAAGCAGTTGTTACCACTTGACTTTAAGTGTTGTCTGCTTTCTATGCTGTAGTCTGTTGGCAATATTTTTCAAAGTAAAAATAAATATTAATATGAAGACTATTAATGCTGACATTCTAATTTTTTTAGCATTTTAGCCATACTAATCTAGTCAAGCACCTGGTGGGAGGTTAAAAATAAAGCTTTTAAATCAAGACTAAATATCTATTTAATCATCACCTATAGACTTATATGTTGGGACCCTTTATTTTGCTTCCTTTTGAATGTCCTACTCTTTTGAGACCCAAGTATATAAGCTCAGAACTTCAATATTAGGTTCCTTGGATTAGTAAAGAAAAAATCTAGTTAAATTCTTGGAATTAGTTCTAGTCAAAGGTTTTTAGGAAAAAACAATACACCATTAATTGGCTAAGGCAAAAATCCTCAAATTCGGCTCTCCTTAACAACTGTTCTCTAAAATGATAAATGCAGAGCAGGCTGGAAACCCAGAAACCAAGAACTTGGAGCTAAATTGGTCTAACCCTTTCACCTAAAGGACTGAGGACCTGCACAACATGTGGAATGTGGGAAAATGATGATGCACCTTGGGGAAGAGCTTCGGGGAGGCCTAAGCATTTGAGGCAATTTATATGTGAAGTAGTTATGCCTCGATTACATGTTAGGGTGTGATGGTCCTGCTGTATCTTACATAGTAAGTCCAGGTTTCATCCCAGATATATTATGTGTGGCCACAAAGCTGCTCTTGAGCCTGGGCTGCCCAAAAATGGGCCAAAGGGTGTCCAGAGGACAAAGAGACAGGGATGGTCCTTAAAGAGTTCCAGTCCCTATTGTTCGGCTAAAACTCACCAGGATCTTGAGAACATAGTTTAAGGGAAGATAAATTTTGGGGTGATCATTTGCATTTAGGAAAAAGCATCCTTGCTAACCCAAGGTCACAGCCCTTATTTGAACCACCTTGTTGCTTTTATGAAACCCAAGATGTGCTACGTCTATCATGGTTCTGAATTTGCTTTTGGATAAGTGCTAAATAATTATAAACCATGCTTCTATATCAATTAATTCAATTTTAATTATTGATACTTCAAAAAAGTCTTACCTCCTCTATTTTTGCTCGTACAGTTTGTTTCCAAAAGCATGGCATGGCGCTTCCTCTTCAGTCTGTGTCTGCAGTTAAAATTTTTCCTTCTCCTTGATGGATTTGAGGTAGCCATCCCCTTTCAGTCAGTCTTCATTACAAAAGAATCTTGGGCTACTTTGTTTCTATTTTATGTTGGGTTCTGTGCTTCATTTCTTTGTATACTTCCAGTGTAGCCTCAACCATTTCTTTAAAACTGTTTCTCAGTCTGTTTGATCTTCTAGTAAAGCATACAGTTGGGAAGGGGTAAAGCTGTGAACTCAAACTTGAATTCTTAGAATTATTGGGAAAAATAAGTTCCTCAGATCATTCCCACTCAGGGTTGTATTTTATTTTGGAAATGTGTGCTTCGGTCTTATGGTTCAAAAGATTCATGATTTACAAAGTCCTCATAACACATTTCACACAATTTTCATAGAAATGTGGCTGCCAGAGGCCTGGTACTTCCTGGGGACCGGCATAGATTTGCACCACAGTAGTCATTAAGTTAAAACTCACGCTCTTACTGAGCCAAGTTGGAGTTGAGACTCTAGCATGATATTCCAGGTGGTACCATCAGCCCCTGAGGGGGCATGTGAGCTAAAACTTCTGCTGTCTCTGGATTAGGCTTTGCTTTGCCTCACCTGAGTGCATCATTGTTTCAGTGCTCATATAAATGAATTATTATATGCTTCAAATATAAGTAATGGAGTTCTTTGTGATCACCATAATTTTTAAAATCTCATAATAAATATACAAGCCCTCCATCAACAACTTCCTTCCATTTTTCTCACACTGTAACACAGAACTTGACTACTTTTTTCTGTGCAGACTAGGAGCTCAAGGCAAGGAAATTGCAAATGCCAGTGTAGTGACTGGTAACTAAAATGGATGTGTGGGAAGAGATGAAAAGTCCAGAGCCGAACCATTTGTAGGCAATGAACTCGTGAACCTAAACTGAACCCATCCAAGACGGCTTTAGAATGCAGCACAAGTGAGCACCACTGCCTGGGCTGTAGGATAAGGTACAAGACATGAATCCTCATTAGGGTGAGGGAAAGTGTTTAAGAAGCAAGGCAGTTGGGAAGTAGAGGAAAATGCTCAGCATATCTGAGTACCCAGGCTTTACTAAAGGATTGTTCTATTTCTTATCAAGTAATGATCTCTTCTAGGACTGTGTAGAACAGGAAAAACAAAAACAAAAACACCCTGTAACAATATCTTGATTAACCTGAAAGAGCATCTGGCTGGGAGAAAAGAGATTAAAGGGAGTCATGCATCAAAATAACATAAATCTTTTATTGAAAGTCACTTTATTGATGTTACAATGAGAGTAACATAGAAAACTGGTATCTTATTAGCTTCAGAAGTGAATACTAATAAAATTGCGTCAGAAATTTGAACCTCAAGTTACAATGACCTTTAAAAACAGCAAGATTTTGTTTACCTACAATGCAAGAACAATTTTATAACTTGAATGGCCATAAAACAAATCACACTTGCCCAGGAAAGCAGTCCCATATACATTTCAGTTGGTGTTTGCCAAAACCCAATTATTTTTAAAATAGCGTAAGAACCTGAAGTGCAGAGTAGCAGAGAGAATGTTAAAATGATGCAAATCTTAATATATATACATAAGTACCTGGTTACCAAAAGTGAAACCGTACTGCTAGTAACACTTCCTTGCAGGGTGATTTCCATCATGTGCAGATGGAATCACCCCTCAAGGATGGCAGATGTGGAAAACACTAGCACAGACCTAAACAGACTAACATAAACTGCTTTGATTAAATAGAACACCCAGTTTCTGAAAGATGTCGGTTGGGGATTCTAGTTTAGAGGGACAAGTCTTCTTACAAGTTAAAAAGGAGCACATGCTGAGTTATTCTGAAAGATCCTTTTGTTAAGCTTTTGAAGTTAGTGTTAAGAAAAAAAGTTCCCCATACAAAACAAAGGTGTTGGGTCATTTTTACCCATTAAAAAGACTGGTTGTAGAATCACAGTTTGATTTTGTGCTGGATTAGAAAAAAAAAGTGGGGTTTCTAATCAGGCAGTGATACACATGCATAATTTAGCAGGAATTCTTGTCTTATTACTAAGTATTAATTCCTATCAGCACTCTCTGTATTGTGTTATCTGATATAACTTAGCACCGCTATATTTGTAGATTTGGGGGAAATTAGTGTTATTTTAGAGCTTAACCATCAAAACAAATCACAGACTGAAACTTCATAAAATAAAAGGCTAAGCCCTCAGGTGAATGCAGATTAGTGTGTGCATGCACACACACACAAATAAAGGGGAAACTAATTTTCTTTGAAATTTTATGATTGATGGTTTGTATGCACATTATCTTAACAAGACTGTGTACTCTCATTGTATGCCTTTTTATAAAATGAAACCAAACAAAACACACAGAGCCAGGCATGATGGCGTACACCTGTAATGCCAGTGACTCACGAGGCTGAGGCAGGAGGATCACAAGTCAGTCTCAATTTAGCAAGGCCCTAAGCAACTTAGTAAGACCTTGTCTTGAAATGAAAAGTGAAAAGGGCTAGAGATGTTTCTCAGTGGTTAAGCACACCTAGGTTCAATTCCCAGTACCAAAACAAAAAGAACAAAACACACATTTTGCTAAGTTTTGATTCTAGGGGAACTTGGAACATGAAATGATGATGCCTCTCACCAAAATCCTGCTTCCCTTGAAGCACCTCTCTGTTATGTGGCAAGTTCTACCAACAATGCAACAGGGACACCCCACTGGACCATGAAGCACTTACAGAGCCACCACTGGCGAAAGCTGTAAAGCACACAAATCTGCCTTAGGCTCCCACTATCTCTTTCCCTACCACATGCCTAGAGACCATTTAGAGCTTTTGTGCCTGCTTGGCTTTCAGGTTCTTCTAAGCCAGGACTAAACAACTGCCCCATGATATCTCAAATCTTACTACTACTTATCTCCTCCCCATTCTGATATCCACACCTTAGGGCCTGTCTCTCAGTGACTTTCCAAGTTGCAAAATACATGCTAAAGTGTCAAAGGGAGGCTAACAATGCCTCCCACCCCACCCTACACCCCTGGTGTCCTTCCAGTCTCCACATGGAAGTACTAGCCTCCATGACAGGGAAAGCTAACTAGGAGGAAAGTGCTGCACAGCTACTCAAGGGGGAGCTACTTCAGAAACAGCAAGGTTCTGAAGCATCCCTCAAATCCCCTAGTGAGGATGCTTACTGTTTGTCAGGCCATGGATATAAGGGGCAGAAATACTAACTAGGCAGGTTTTTGTTTTGAATATTTATTTTGTTGTACTGCTTACAAAACAAAGATGTTCCATGTTGAGAATTCTGACAAAACCATGAATAAAATGTGAATAGAAATAGTATCTTCCATTTTCTAAAATCTTAACCATCTTTGTTCTGCACCTGCAGAAGTGGTAGAACCGCTCCTCTTGGTAGTCAAAACACCTGCCTGACAGCATATGCTGTGAGCACATGCCAGCAGTTCCCAGCAGGTGCACTTTAAAAGCTCCCATTCACACAACTTGGAGGGACTCCTGCACCAGGCAATTGCCACAATCGAAGACCAGGTGCCTCACAATGTAATAACCAGGGAAAGATATTTATGAAAGCTTAGTTCTCCAGTGCGAGGAGAAAATATTTTGCTGAATCCAAAATCAGATTAATCTTATCCATTCAGAAAGTATCTCAGAAGAGGAAAATAAACATTTGAGTTTGAAATTAAACCCTATTCCATGGATATGTTGCTTTTTAAATCTTTTAAACTGGTAGAGAGAGAATGAGAAATTTATCTTGACTCCATACATTGAAGGAGGGAAATGTATTTAGGTGACAATTTTAAAGGAAAACATAAAGTTAAGGAAAAATAGATAATTATAATGCAAATGGGAGAGTGTTTCATGGAAAATTCATGCCAACTTACCAACTGGAAGAAGATATTTACAATACGCCCCATATTGTGGCATCCAGTGGCAGCAGCAAGCAGCTTCCAAATCGGGCTGTGAAGGCAACTGTCTTGCCTCTCTTCAGTCCTGACAGTTCCACAGTTTGTTCTCCACTCCCACCACACACAAGCCACTCAATATCTAGCCTTCCTGTCCTTTAAGATAAGTAAAATAGTCTTTTCTTTAGGATCTATTATCATGTTGAATAACAAAGAAATAAAGTTTGTGCATGCGTCCGTGCATGCATGTGTTTGTGTGTGTGTGTGTGTGTGTGTTTTTAAGGTAAAAATGGAACACTAACAACAGGAAATAAATGGATGACATAAATAAATAAACAAACATGATTTTGAAACACTGAAAGAAGTGACAGAAATACTATTATTTCCTCTGGCTCAAAGGTATCTAAACAAAAAAATAAAAATAAATAAAATCTGAAAAAAGGTAACAGGTAAAGTGTCCACAAAAGATCTAGGGCAGGATTAAATGATGCAAATATGCAAGGGCTTCAACAGAAAAGATTGAGAACTGTGAGCTTGTTATAGAATTCAAACACAGCCTCTCCTTAGAAGCACACAGAATATCTAATTTTATCTTTCACTAGCTTCTTTTAGAAACCATATCAATCTTACATTCAGAAATTCTATGCTGAACTGACCTTATGCACAAAAACAATTCTCAAAGTCTTTGAAAGCAAAAGGGAAAAAGAGGAACTGCAGTATCACTTAATAAACACCATACCAAACTGAAAAATAGGCTTGGAATTTTAACCCTATCTTTTATTTATTAGTCAATTGGAAGGGATTATGTGGGAGGCCTCAAACTTGCAATACTCCTGCCTCATCCTCCTGAATAGCTGGGATTACAGGCATGTGGCACTGCACCTGGCTGGTCAATTAGTTTTTATAACAATTGTTAGGGTAGGTTATTCCTAATTGAGGTGCTGAGCTTCTTTAAAAATACAACTTCACTGGATGTGATGGTGTATGCCTGTAATCCCAGAGGCTTAGGAAGCTGAAGCAAGAGGATCCAAGTTTGAGGCCAGTCTCAGTAACCTACCAAGGCCCTAAGCAACTTAGTGAGATCTGTCTCAAAATTAAAAATAAAAAAGGCTGGGGAATGTACCTCAGTGGTAAAAGTGCCCCTGGGTTCAATTCCCAGCACGCATGCGCGCGCGCGCGCGCGCGCGCGCACACACACACACACACACACACACACACACACACACATCACTAAAGTAAGTCTGGGAGCCCTCATTGTGATGATCTATTGGAGACATACTGACTTTTTCCTTTTCACAGACTGCATGTGACTGAGGGTCATTTTCTAGCTTGGTGACTCCAGAGGAGGATTTTGCTTCCTATTTTAGGAAATTGGATGAGCCAGATATGGTGGCAAGTAACCCAGTAGACTGCAGCAAGAGGATAGCGAGTTTGAAGCTGGCCTAGACAATTCAATGAGACTCTGTCTCAAATTTAAAAACATAAAGGGCTGAGGGTGTAGCTCAGTGGTGGAGCACCCCTGCATTCAATCCCCAGTACTAGGAAAGAAGGCAGAGTCGGGGTGGGGAGTAAGTGCTGGATGCAGAGAACAGTTAGTCTAGCTAATCCACTCTTTAAGGGGTCCCTGTCATTCCACAACTCCCATGTTGACTCTTAGTGGAGACATCTAAAAGTCTTTTTATATCAGAACTGTGATGAATATGGATAAATGGAACATCTCAAACAGCAGGGTTATCAATCTGAAGTCCTAACTATGCACAGAACTTCAGAAAGTGGGGGGAAAGGCATACAATGGAATGTAAGGGTCAAATAAATGCTCTTTTCAGCTTAGTAATAATCCCATGTTGAACTGGGGAATATGAATATTAGTTGCATGATATGAACTGCAATGTGTCCTCAAAGTTTCTCTCCAAAATAAATATTTAAAAAGATATATTATCTGTGCTTTTATTTGGTGCCATGGATCCATTCTGTCTACCTCAGTGAATGAAAAGTCATAAATATTTAGACGTAATGCTCTAGAACATCAATCATGAGTGTACATATAGATACTTCTTGAAACTATCCTTTGAGGCTAAAATTTGTCAAAGAATTCCACAAACGGTTCTAGAATGTTTAAACACGGGAGATAGAGTAGATATTCAGCACAGAACATTGAAGCTATTATATTTCTAAAATCATAATCTCTGCAAACAGACCAATCACTTTTCACTCAGTTTCAAAAGAAGGTTATTACCAATGAGTATGATTACAAACTATATACCTCTAGAACAACCATATCTCCCAAAAGGCACATAATTATTTTCTTTTGGAAATAATAATTTTCAGTAAAAATAATTGAGAAGGTGAGAAAGATAGATAACCAATGGAGTAGCTAGCCATTTGTGGATTCTTTCAAATAGGGCTTATGGAACTATAACTAGGAAGGATATTTACATGAGGCACCTTACATTCAAATCTATAAACTCTTTTGTAGTCAAAATAAACCTTATTAGCCTTTTATACACTCAATACCAGAAAACATTCAGTGCACATTTAAAATGATCTTGGTCAAGTCACCTTATTTGCTACATCTTTTAATCTGTCTGCCCTTCTGTCCTTGGCTAGAGCTCTGTGGCAACACTGCTCACCACTCACACCAGCCTTGGTCTGACGGATTGTTTTATTGAGGTATCAACAATCACATCATTTCCTGTTGTGAAAAACTGCTATTTTCCACAAAGTTTAGATAATTAAATATATAATTCTGGATGATGAAACCACTTTTCAAACATTTTCAAAGACTTGCAGAAGAGAGGGCTTCTACAGAAGACATGAACACTGAGGATGAAACACAGTCTTCTAACTGGAAGTTTGGGCAACTAGGGTGATTACATAGGGAGATGAAGTGGATTTTGTCCATGTACATTACCAGAAGAAATCAAACTTAGAAGGCATTCCTGAAATCTTATCAGCTGATTCCCTTCCTCTCAAGCAAATGTAGAAAAAAATAAAAATTAAAAAGAGGAAATCAGAAGTATACTTCATCACAAAAGATCACGATTGATCCCATCAATTTCTGACCTCACTAGAGTGCCTTTTTTTTAAATTTTTTTTTGGACTGACAGGCTGGCATTATAATAGCTATTGAACTTTTGGTTTAAAAACAGGGCTTTGAACATAAATTTCTCATTTTTCTATGGATTAAAGATGACAGGGCTCAAGACATCAGATTCTTTCTGCTGCTGTTTGTATAATTTTCCAGTTGCTGCATCTTTGTGGCTTTAGATTTCATTTAACCCTTTATGCCCTGTTGAGGCTTCCCAGCTCAGACAGCAGAACCATCCATCATCTTGCTCCAGGGTGAGCGCAGAATGACCTGTTGGGACTCACATCCCAGTGTTAACAAATACCCTTAATAAACAGTGTAGAAGTTGTTTTTGTTACAAGTCATTCTTTCACAGATAAAGGTGGCTGAAAAGTTTTGTCAAGGAAAAAAAACTTCAGGCTACACAGAAGGGTTAGAGTATTGGCAAGATGGAAGCTACCAGTTCACCAGCAGTTTGTGGTCTGGATTGTCTTTGGTTCACCTGCTTAACCTCAGCAGAACACACTGCTTGGGGCTCACGGCCTCCAGGGTGAGACTAGTTGATATGCTCTGGAAGTGGAAGAGAATAGCTGCTGCGGCAGGCACCATGTACCCCCAGAAGAGAAGTGCATGGGCTAGTGGATGGGGGCCCAGAGAGCAACCACCAGCATAGTCTCAAGGCAGCAAGGCAGCCACACTACTGGACTCCTGCTTTAGCAAGCTATGGAGGCCAGAAGTTTTGCTGAGCATTTTGTTTCTTGCTGACTCAATAAAACGGCCTCCAGACTACACACAGTTTAAAGGGATATCACATGTTTTCAACAAATACCAATTATGGAGAGACACATTTACAGCATTGACCACTATATTTACATCATCTGCTTATACTCTTTGAAGACCATTGGATGGTGGAGGATGATGTGATTGTGACTGACTCTTTTTAGGCATTTGGCAAAATACACTTGTGTGTAACAGCTGCTTTTTTAATTTTAAAAATGTTTACATATGTACAATTGTCCTTGAATGCTTATATAAATATGAAAAGTAAAAAACAAAAATAAAAATACATGTTTAAAGTTAGCATATGGGATATTGGCCTCTCAAAGCTGTAAAGTCCTGCAGAAAAATCCTATATGCCGTAGCCCTGCATGCTAGTTTCTATTATGGGATGTTGTTTCCTTAAATATGGAAAACAATAAACAGAAGCTTCATGCATATAGCATTACTGTATACAATGAGGATGCGCTTCAGAATGTGAAGTTCTGAAACCACTATTGTCCCTTAGGAAACTTGCTACATTTGGGGTCATGTGAGTTAATTTTATTGATATTTCTACATATATCTGTCATGCGGATTATCCATTAACATACCAGTACCCTTATTGTTCTGTGTTATAATGTGACATGTCAGTAGTTCTTTTCATGGTTCAGTTAAATCCTAAGCCAATGACAAAAAGAAAATGGTATCCAGATGTGAAACAGCTTCCTCTCCTCTGTGGCATCTCAGAGGGTATTGGTGTCCTCTGAAGAGCAGATAGATTTGCAGTGATTCCGTGAGGCTGGGCTTCTATAAAAGTTGAAGTAAACAGTTTTGATGTGTCACATGTAAACAGTTGATCTCAAATGGATGTTTCCCATAGCTGCACAATAGAGAAAAGCAAAGTTGTACGTTGTAAAAGCAGGAGAAGCAGACATATTCTGAGTTAGGAAGATGAATAAGTTGGTGATTCCATCCATAGTTACGTGACTGTGAAAACACACTCTTACAATGTCTAGTGCACGGATAAAATAAACACTTCGGCTTTTAGCTCTTTCCTCTAAGCCTGTGTCTCAACCTTTTTAATGAATATCACCTTTCAATTAAAAAAAAAAAAAAACAACTTTACATCTTCATTTAATTTTACCCAAAATTTTGAATAAATATTTTGTCTCAAATGAAACGAAAGACTGTAAAGATATTATTTGTAAGCTACACATGCTCAGGATTCTCTAGGAAATATTTAAAACTTCCACTGCCCAGGCAGCACACCAGATCACTGAATTATAACCTCTCTGTGTGGGACTTAGGCTGAGAATGTTTTTAAAGCTCTTCAGATGATTCCAATGTGCAGTCAATGCTAAGAACTGCTGACTTCTGGGAAGTGTGATTCCATCAACACTACCACCACCCACTTACGAATCACTGTCCTGGGCCACAGCCATAGGACCAGACCACATACTCTGCAATTTCGTCACTGTCCTCTCAGGAGCTGACCCTTCAGTGAAGAAGGATGAGTGCAAGGCAGGAAGTCCCTTCCTTCATTCCCTCACCTTTTCCCTTTCTGTGCTTCTGTCACCAGTTCTATACACTGAGCCTGATCATATCTAATTTCTACAATCTTTAGCAGTTGCCTTAATGGACCGCAAACAACTTTAGCACTGTCAGATGTGAATGTAAATCAATTCACCAGAGAAGGAAGGTCAATTAAAAAAAAAAAATCTAGCTGATGAAACATATTTTCAGGCAATATGATGTTTAAAACTTACTATAAACATGAACAAAGAAAGCCTATTAAGAGAGTGACTTAAATTACACCCATTCCCATCCAAATTCCATTTTTACTGGATACATGGGGCATATTATGGTATATACAATAGGTTTCTGGGAAAGAAATGGAAAGGAAGCAACTATGAAGATGTTTCTATAGGTTACCTTAGGATGTTCTTTCAAATCTTCATGGAAATCTTGTTCTGAACACTCATGTTGACTTACACCTCAGGACTGTGATAAAGCCTTCGGTGCTATCTACCTCAGGCTGGCTTTGTATGCCCTTATCATTAAAAAGACACCCATCCTCTTGTTCTTGGAAACCAAAAGGATTTCTCTCAACTATGAGTATCTTCGGGAGTAGATGACATCTAGTGGTGGAGAGTTTAATGGGGCTGGCAGGGGTGTCTGAGGCAAAGAGTTTCTGGATCAATACCCTGATAATGGTCTGTAGTGGTAAAGAGACAACACTTTGGATTCAGAGAGCTGAAGTATCTTTTTGCATATAGTTATGAATATTACATAAGAAAGGAGAGGAACAAATGAATGACACTGAGACAACCTAAAAAGTTATGATTATCCCTGTGACGAAAAAAGGAGAAAAGACTGGCCAAGACATCATTTTTATAATAGGCACAACTTTGCCCAGGCCTGTGTGGCTGTGCCAGAGGGGCTGCTGATAGGAAGGTCTGCTTATCTGAGTCTCCACAGCCCACAAAGAAAGCCCAGCAACAGGGGCCGCCTATTCTGCAGGACTCGTAAAGGTGTGGCTAATCCATAGTGAGAAGAAGAAATCAGATCTTTCAAGCAACTCTCCCAGAAGCTAGTCTTTTTTTTTTTTTTGGTAGTTGTAGATGGATATCATGCCTTTATTTATTTTTTTATGTGGTGCTAAGAATGGAACCCAGTGCCTCACACACGATAGGCGAGCACTCTGCCACTGAGCTACAGCCCCAATCCCCCAGCAGCTAGTCTTTACAGTCACCCTGCTCAGCCCAGGGAAGGGGCATGGGCCAGCCATTTTTTCAGAGGAACTGTCATCTCTAGTAACCCACACTCCAGCATAACAACAGCTGAACAATGTCCCCAAGTTGATGCAGTAAAACAGAGAAGTAGATGATTTAATAGGAAAAAAAAATGAGGTGCTGTACTTAGACAATTCTCCTAGGAGGAGAAGAATGACAACAGCCTTAGATTTCAATATCATGTATCAGAAATGACCGTCTATCAACAAGTCCTTTTTAAGGCTAGAAAGCCAAGTGCTGGCAATCTGAGTTGTTTTGCTTACCACTTTCCATATTAACATAGAGAGGTTTTTTTTTTTTTTATGATTAACACGATAGTTGTTTTCAAAGATTTTTTTATTATTATAAAATATAATGCATATAATGATTTGTCTTTTCTTATTGGATGTGGATTGACTGAGTTTAAATTTGATCCATAATTATCTTGAACCCCATAATTTAGGTTGAAGAGCAAAGAGTCTCTTAAATATCTTTGAAGACCAAGAAAAATCTAGCAACCTAGTATTCACTAGCAGATACATCTGTGAAGGCTTTTAAAGCTTCGTTTCTTTTTTTTTTTTTTTTCTAATGTTATCTCTGAGAAAGTCAACTTTATAGTATTAACTTACCACAATAGAGTCTGAAAATCTACAAAGATAATTATTCTTTGGTTGTATCTTTTATTTAAACCTCTAAAGTTTGGTTTGCCTCTCTAAACTGCACTGTATTTCAAATTTCACATAAGATTCCAGGAATATCATAAGAAAGTGGTATATGATTAAAATGCAAAAAGAGACTTGATAGCTAAATAAAACTTCTTGTGAATCATATTATTGTTAACAGGATAAATACTTTTATATTTTTTAAAAATTTTGATCTCTGGGGGGCTGGGAGCAAGCTAAATGATATAGTACTTGCCAAACATGAACAAGTCCCTGGGTTTGATCCCCAGTACCTAAATAAACAAACACATAAATAAATTTGGCCATACACTGCTGTATTCTTTAAATAGTACAGATTTTTCTGAACTTTTATTTCTTGCTTGCTTTCTTTTTGGTACTAAGGATTGAACCCAGGGATGTTTTTTCCACTGAGCCATATCCCCAGTCCTTTTTATTTTGTATTTTGAGACAGGATGTAACTAAGTTGCTGAGGTTCTCACCAAGTTGCTGAGGCTGATCTCAAATTTTCAATCATCCTGCCTCAGCCTCCCTAGTCACTGGAATTACAGGCATGTGCTACCAAGTCTGGCTAATACTACAGATTTTCAAATCCCCTTTCCCAGTATCAAATTCCACTCCCATCCCTAAGACAATAATCTGAATTTCTGTCATAAGTTCCTGTTTCTAACAATCTACTGAGGAGTTAGCCAGTGAAAGGGCTGAGCAAGCAAATTTGCATAGAAAAGTGGCTAATTTATCTGGTCTCTGGCATTTCCAGGAATATTAAAAAACTGGTACAGCAAAATATATCCTTTGGTTTTATCTATTCCAGGTTTTACTATATTAATTACAATGAATAATAAACAATTTAAGTATATATTAATGACTAATATGCACCAAATATCTCCAGCATATACCAATGCAGATTAAATTTATTTGCAAATACAAATCTGAACCCCAAAGCCCTAAGAATCTTCTAATTTTCATATTTAATTTTCTCATGAAGAAGGAAGATGTATCTTTTACACTGTGAATTCACAGAGAAGTGCTAAGGACTGATTAGGTAAGGTTATGGAGAAACATTGCCACATACCCTGGCACTTTGTCGATTCACTTTCTTCTCCTCATCCGGAAGTGGAGGCATTGGATAAGGGTACTTTCTGCTAGATGCAATGGACCCAGTTGATGAAGAAGGAGACTTGGCAGGAGATAAAGTCCTGAGACGTTGAGAACACATGAAATAAATAACAGGCGATTGCTTAATATCATTTTCAAATATTTGAAAAGTGAGTTCAGAACAAACCCTCTGACTTCTACTTCCATAAGCTCTTACTCCAAAGTTTAACTACTGGGAAGATGACACTGTCATCCCCAAAACTGGAATGCTGGAATTTTAGCTTTCTAATTCCATGATTGCAATGAACCACTTAAATGTTAGTACATAGAATCATACTTTGCAACTAGAAAGCCAACAATGAAGTTTCATATAGAATAATTAAAAAGATAATATGGAGAATGGATAAAATTATTCTAAGAGCTCATCATGGTAAATTAAGTATACAACATATTAATATTCTGCCTTATTTTTGCCACTTAATGTAAAATTGCTTCTAAGTATAATAATTCCAGTTAAGATCTTACAATACATTACCAATGATATATTAGTTGCTAAGGCACATACTCATTTACACAAAACTCATGCATTCAGAGGCCAGTGTGTTAGTTGTGAAGGAACAAAGGCAAATACAGGGATTTTAATAATAAATTAGTAAACATGCAAGCAGTAAGGAGTGCAGAGTTCCAGCCAAACAAAGTCTGATGAGAACATACAAAAATGGTCTGATTCATCCCTACTATCAGCATTGCTGGGGAAGAGTGGTGTGTTATGCTGAACTTGTCTGATTTGTGTATGTGCAGTGGTAATATTTGTGACTATGGTGGCACACTAGATGAGCCCATACCTGCTGCTAGCTTATCTTTAAGAGTGGGGTGGAAGCGAGTAAAAGACTTCCCATTAGAATATCGTAATGAACAACAGATGTGATAACTGCAATAGATACCCCCTTTGCAAATGTTACCACTACACATTCATGATTCCTTAATTCCCGGTGCAAGGTGGTAATGACACATATCACCGAACTGGTTACACTGCCACATTATAACACAAGTACATATTTCAGTAGGATGCATCACATCTGCTGAGACTGACTCAGACCAGGTGTTTGTATCCTGGGATAGCACTGGGTGGGGCAAGGTCTACTGCCTACACTGCATTTAGTTCCCATTCATATAAAGTCCCTGGCTCTGATTCTGCCATAGTTTTCAAACTTATTTCTATTTTATAAATGTTAAATTCAAGCTAAAGTTTGAAAATAATTTTCCTTACTAACTTTGAGATTCAAGTGAACATCCTTAGTTGATTTTAAGAATCGATCAAGAGTGGTTCCATTTACATTTCTAATTAAAAAATCCATAACTACTAACACTTCTTCCATTTTTGAAAAATGGCCAGGTCCACTCTTTAGCACTAATTGTTAGGACAAAGCAACTGTTAGATTTCTCTTATGTTAATGCTCTCCATCCTGAGTGGATAGGTATGAATAAGAATATTAGTATTTCAAATCCTCTAAAGTTCTATTAATGCAACACAAGACTATGTGTTTTTCTAATTTGGAAATTAATTTTTTAAAAATAATTTAAGTAAAACATTTTAAATAGGACTATGACCTCTAGGAAACAAATTCAGTATGTGCAAAATGAAGACAAACTTTTGCATTTAGAGATTTATTAAATGCAACTTTCTAAAATGAAGGCTATTAACCTGGGTTCATCTTTTTAAACAATCATTACCTATAATAAACCCAAGTTCAGGAAAGCTAGTGAGGTATAAAAGCAAATAACCAAATCTTTCTTTTAGGGATCATGCAAAGTAAATCCTCTTTTTAATTTGCTGCCTTGTGTGTGTGCCTAGCATGAGCTGTTAGCTTCACAGCCATATCAGGCTTGATTTGGCCAGGGGTCCAAATGACAAGCCTTTTCATTTACAAGAGGCGCTAAAGCCCAGTTCTCCTCTCAAATATCTGTGGGCAAAGTCAATAAAGAGTAAAAATAAGACCAGGAGATATTCTCCAGAATCCCAAGGAAATTGCACTAAACTACTTCTCACATTAACAGTCTAGCTAATTGACACTTTCCTGAACCCTGAGAGGAAAAAATGAAATACCAACCAGGACAGTTTTAGTGGGGGAGGGAGGAAACAGGTCCTGGAGGGGTGTTGGAGAAGACCAGGGTAGGAGTCAAAATAGGAGTAGAGAACAGGGGAGAGTAAATGTTTAGGGAAAATGAACATGATTTCTCACAAAGGTCTAAGGAAGACATTCAGTTCCAGTCTGGCTATCACTTACAGCCAGTACCAAATCAGCTCATTCACTTACAAAGCATAGATAGTCTCTGGAATAAATGTTAGCCATTATCATCACTACACTTTAAAAACCCTCGTAATTACACTGAGCACACATTGGAATTGCACAATAAAGGTTGTGCTTATGTGCCAATGGAGTGTTGTCATCTGGAGCCACATCAGACTTTCTGGGTTGTTTTTTATAGATAGGCCTATAAGGCAATCTCAGTTCAGTTCTACCCCTCAGGATGACCAAAACCAGGCCAGTCACATGGCACGGACATAAGCCCACTAATACACTGCGATAATATGCAAATTTTGTAATAGCCAGATCAGAAGGATTTAATTGTCCTTGGATAGGATCTAAGCAGTCAGTATCCACCTTTTAAGTAAATGCAATAGAATAAAGAGGGAGTAGATTTTGGAATTGGATAGAGCCAGTCTCAAAGTCTGGTTCTGACCCTTATCAGTTGATAGGCTACCTTTAGTAACTCTTGTGCCTTGATTTCTATCCATAAAATGGGAATAAGAATACACCTTATGAGATGAGAAATAAAGATAGAGAGTAGGCACTTGATACGTGATAATTACTGTGGTTCATTTATTTCCAGAAACACTACATTTCTCATAAGATTATGGAAATGGATTCAAAACCCACTGATGAAGTAAGCAATCAGCTGGTATCCCCAGATACCTTCTAAGAGCTTGTAAAGCACCAGCACCAGCAGAACTGCTGCCAGCATCTGGATTGGTGAGATAATACTTTTTGCTCTGTTTTCCCTTGCTTCTTCTGATGCCCTGAATACATGGTGAGGACAATTTGTCCAACCACTGTCATCTGAGAACTGGGTAAGGAGCACAATGGAGGTACTCTGATCCCTCCAAATCTGTAGGCATTCATTTGCTTTGCTCTTCATAGTGAGCGAATGCTATGTTTCAAATGCTAGGCTACAGTTGGGACCAGTTTGATGCAGTCGCCAAGTCCTCACTGCCTATTGATAAGAATGCCACAAACCCAACACCTCTGGCTGATTAAGAAAGTGAACTTTGCCCTCATTGCTGGTTTTGGTAGGAGAGATAATCCTGAATGACCTGGGGGCAGATGAAGCAGATCTGAGCTGAAGCATAGGGTTGGCAAAGCATAAGCCAAGATGTGGATGCACTTTAGGCCTCCTATGCAAGGCTTGTCCTGTTATGTTAGAATTGTGGTGTTAAAGCTCTAGGTCATCTCAATTATTCACCACTTTCACAGAAATTCTGTGTTGATTTTCAAGTCTTAACAGTATAACCTTTATCCAAACATGAAAACTAAGTCATAGCCATCCACTGAACTTTAAACAAAAATACAGATTTTTAATAAAAAATTTTTAATGGGACGATCTACTGTAGGAAGCAACATCTCATATTAAAGAGGAGATAAAGGAACCCTCTAAACTTGCCCTTGCGGCTTTGCACGTGCAACCGGGGGTGCAAAAGCATTTCCCCATCCAAATTGCGTTTAATCATGCAGCTTCTGGGCAGACCTGGGTGCAGATTTTAAGAAATGTGAACTCTTCTCTTAAAGTCACAAAAAACTATTCAGCTCACCCAGGGGAGGTGAATCAACTCTTCCGGGGTACCATTTCATAGATTATTGCTGCCAAAATGCTAAGGCCATTTGGGAATAAAAGCCCTAAACCACACAGGACCAAAGTTGTTACGTTTTGGTTCCATGGCTGGTACAAATTACAATCTGCCCACAAGCCTGAGTAAAATAGGAAGAAGTAATAGGACTGCAGGTGAGCCAAGATTCCCAAGAACATTCAAAATTATCTTACCTGTCTTCCTGACGTTGGCCATCTTGGGAGCTACAGGTGAGGGTGGGATGTTTGAATGTGAGTGTATGTGTATGAGGTTCAGTGTGGCAAAGTGTGAGACGAGCAGAGGACGGGGCAGGAGGGCAGGATGGGGTATAAAAGCAGGACGTAGTTTTGTGAGCAGGCAGGAGTTATGCTTTCCTTGGAGTATATGCAAATGTTATGGATCAAATTAGAATGCAGATAGGTCTAATCATTTTCTCAAACTATACATGTCTAAACTAAATGGTACACTGGAAGAGAAAGTCCACCTTACATGGGTGCTGAGAGTTAAATATACAGACATATTTTGGTATCTGTTCAATGCTGACCCAAGTCATGGTCAAAAGTACTATGAAAGCTCATTGTTAACTTGTCCTCAAACGAGAGGGTAATTGAGCCTATTTCTGCTTCACATAATTGTCCATGAATCTGTCAGATACAGAGTGGACATTTACCTTTAGGAAACCATTTTGATATTATAAAGAGAAAAAAAGAAAAAGTCCATTAAGAGCTCTTGGAAATTTTCTCTGATCTCTAATGTTACACAGAGCTGTAACAAGTTGAATAAATTCAACAGTTTCTAAAATGGAGGAATGTTCTTCTCTTTTGTGAGTCAAGAACATGTTTCCTCTCTGCTTTCTGTTCTATCTGATGTGTCAGACAACATTTTGATTTACATAAAAAATTTCTTAGGTGCTTTCTTGAGAATCCATAAAACTCTCTTCTAAGCACGAGCCTTCTCTGGTAGCAAATGGTTGAAATGAACAAAGAAAACCTAAGCTCATTCCACGTGCTCTCATGTGGTTCATATTATCTCAATGATTTTCAAGGTAGATCAAATCATTGTTTCTTCTTCAAGTGAAATCCACTACATTTCGTTTAGCGTCTTTGTGTGTTTTTTCCTTGAGTTTTTGTATGCACTATGCCCTCTTAGGCAGTAAGTAGAAAAAAAATGCATTAAGAAACTGCTAAGTTCTGGAAATTAAATTGTTGAGGTTAATAGTGCTTCTTTATTAGTGGAAAGTATGTTTCATGCCCATAGAACACTACACAGCGTAAAATGAAGAGAAAGCTACTAAAAGCTCAAGATGGTGATAGGGACATGCACTAAATGGCAACCCTTCCAAACGGCAGCAAATAAACAAGGACCCTTTTCCATCTCTAGGAACTTGTATTAGGAGATACAAGATAGAGAACCAGTCACACTACAGTATTTGTATGTGCTGGGAGAGTTTGAAAAGGATATAAAATTAATTTATAAAATACCTAAAGTACGGTCCTTCAGTGTTTTTATTCACATCTTCTACCCACTTAGCTACATTATAGTCTCTTTTGAACCATGGATTTAAATACCTGCAGAAAGCAATGGAAGGAACAAAGAAAGCAGAACAAGATAGAAAATCTGAAAATACACAGCACAAGCTTAGCAAGTGGTCTTCACCCTCCATATGCAAGTGACTATGGCAAATAAACCAGGACAGATGCTGGGTGGTTATGAGGCAGTTTATACAATGGCATGAGAATAATCTCAGCTACAACAGGCTCAGGGCATTCGAGAACGTACTTGACAATTCTGGGAAAGCTTTTTCCAGTGGCTTCCCAAAGTAAATCAGAAACTCACTTTCAATCACAGCACTGTCAGCAGCCCCGTTCACCCCCCCTCCAAAGTGGCTTTGCCCAGGCCACCTCTCATGTAGCAGCTTGGTTTTCAAATAATAAAGGTGCTTTTTGAAAATATTCAGGCAGCTGCAATTTTAACCTGGCATTTGAGCATATAAAACCCCCAAAACAATTTAAAAGAGCAAAGTTCTCATTACAACATGAGTAGAAGGCTTTTATATGGCCACTGTCTTAGTCCCTGAAGCATATCTCAAGCTGGAATCAACAGATAGGAACCCCCCCGCCTGCCCCCAGTCAGCACTGTAAGGAGCCAAAAAGGTCCCAGGCTCTTCTGCTCCTAGAGCCCCACAAAGTACTTTAAGTGTGGTCCAAACAGGCCTCCATGATATTGAAGCTGGGTTTAGTAATTTAATTGTGGCCACATGTTCCTTTCTCCTCAGTGCATTCCAGATTGAAGTGTTCATGGTGCCATGAAGGAAATGGCCCTCAGAGCTGCCTTCCGAATGTCTGATGGTACACTATGTGAATGACCGTCAGAGAACAATGATGACCTTAGTGAGAATTTCCCTGATGGATATGGCAATTACTGTATCAGAATGATTATGCAAACAATAAGGGCAGCAATGTCAGAGCTATAGTTGTATTTTGGCCTAGAGTTTCCTTTTATTTTTACCCTGGGGGCCAAGCAAAAACACATCCCCTTAGAATTTGGCCTCGTAAAATAATATAAATTTAATAAATTCAGTATTGAAAGAATTTGAGGGTTTGAATGGGTTTTCACTTTTAAAAAATAACTTCTAGAGATATGATAGGCAATGAAGATCCAAGCTTTGTAAAACTTAAATTACGTGGAAACAAAAAAGAGGAAATTAAAAAACACATTGTTTGTTTTTAACATTTGCTTCTTTCCTCCACATTTAGTTCTTGAGCTGTTTGTAAATATATTTAGATCCAAATCACAATTTCCACAGTTACATTAAAAAATTAGGTTATTCTTCCATAGCCCTTTCTTTCATTTTTAGCCATAACCAAGGTACTCTACAAAAGAGCATCGTGATGCCCTCCTGAAAGAAGGGCTTTGCAGCTTTTTTAGATTCATAAGACCATTTTTGCTAAGATAAGGTCTCCTGACTCAGGAGCAACTCACACTAATTTTGCCTTTAGCCACAACCATTGCCAACTTGCACTTTTCGCAGAGATAGCCAATGAAAACTTGCATAAAGATTAACACTGAGACTCTGAACCAAAAGAAAAAGTCAAAAAGCAAGTGCAGCCACTGATGAAGGCTTATGAATGCTCTGGCCTGGGGAAAACTGTAGAAAAAGCCCATGCAGCTGTCATCAGGTGAAACATAGCCCCACAGCAAACTGAGTCGCCCACAGGCAGACGGCCACTTCTGGAGGAGACATTTGTTCCTTTCACTGACAACCTTAGAAACTCAAAGGGCTGGTACCATGGTGGTTCCATGAAAGCTACAATCACATGGCTGGTCTTGCAGTTGATGGACACTGTCCTCCGTTTCAGGAGCATTTCAGAAGGCTGTGATCACGTCACCAGAGCCACTGAAGAGAACTCTAAATTGTTTGGTCCTTCTGGGGACCTGCTCATGAAAGTGCCTTCATAGTGGGCTTCCTAACATCTCTAGGTCATGGTGGCTGCAGTGATGGGATTTTATCAAACTGCAATAAACCTGCCTACGTGCTTTGACTTGGCTTGTAGCGCAACATGCAAAAAAAAAAAAAATTGCATCAGACGGGATAGGAGAGCTCAGTACATTCTCCAGGATGAAAGGGCAGAGGAAATTTAGCTGCTGCTGGCTGGACCAGGAGCACCTCTGAGCAGACATGGGGGCTCGGCCAAAGATCAAATGACCCTGTTCTCAGCCAAGGAAGGGGCTTGGAGGGAGACTAAGTGGCAGCCCAGAGTAAAGGGGCAGGTGAGACTGACCTGTGATCCAGACTCCCTGTCTGGGGGCTGTCAGAGCCCCCTGGGCTTATGCCTTGGGATGGGACTGTCTGGGCGAGGGAGTGCCCAGGCTCAGGTGCTTGGGGCTCCCTCCTGTAAAAACACAATATATAATACAAAGTCTAAGCCAAAAAAAAAAAATGTTACATCATGTACAACAGTGAGGAAGATGCAAGAGGTTTGAGTGGGAAAATAAAATAACAAATGAGGACATTTTATTTTGTTAATGAGCACAGCATGTATTTGTGATGCATGTTCTAATTTCTGTCCCAATTTTTCATCATCTTTTGGGATGATAAGGTACTTAAGGGAATGTTGAAATAATGGACCTAAAATACCTCTGATGTAAAAAAAAAAAAAATAAAACAAAAGATGTTTTCCTGTGGTCATTCTCCTGCACTTATGGTCACACAAATGGCATTACTATATCAGAAGCAAATGGGATTAGTTGTATACGGAACACAAAAAAATTGCCAGGTTTATTCTTGAGAGGCTATGTATCAAGATTCCTTTTTATCTTTTTATGATGTTAGGGATCAAACCCTGGTCCTTATACATGCTAAATAAGCACTCTACCACTGAGCTATATCCCCAGCCCAGGAACCCTTATTTCTAAAGAAGTATATAAATGTGTGTATAAATATATATAGAGAGAGAATTCCCATACAAGAAGATATATGAGAATAGTGATCAGCATTACAAACTTGGCTCCATTTAACTAGCATCAATCATGAAACCACAGCAGAAAATGCTGAAAAATCTGAAGGAATCCTTAACATTTCTCCCTAACTATGGTTCTATTATGACATTTTATTCAATATTATAACTGACTTATCTTGTATCAAGATTTCTCAAATGCTATCAGTAGTATTATACTTTTTATCTCATGTTGTGGGTGCAAATTTTACCCAAAATTTTAAAAAATTAGTGATTGCTTTAGGAAATACTGTATAAACACTACTAAACACCAAATGGTCTTTGGGTGCTAAACTCATAGCTTTAACATACTATGGAACTTTCTTTGTCCCCACTAGGGAGTTGTTGAAACCTTGTTATAGGAAATACTGTTAGAACACTAAGTAATATACAGAGGAAGTTCTATAGAACATTTTACAGTTTTATCTGTATTATTATAAGTAACTGAGAAGCTAAGGAGCTCTTACCAGGTGACCTCATGCAAAACAAATCAAATAACATTCCAAGAAGAGTTTATCCACAATGAGCCCTAAAGCATCCAAGCGCTTTGGGAATGCATAAGATAAACTCTAACAGATTAGTTACTTATGATGGAGTTCTATGATGCCATTCTGGACCATGCAATGGTATCATCTGAAATTGTCTATTGCTTCTAAGGTTAAGGATCCTCCAGTAAACTTGGATAAGTCACTTACAAGACAATATAATTCAGGTGGAAGGTCCAAATTTCAGGGCAATGTTATTATTCCTGGACTGAAAAAGCTAGGGTATACGATGGAAAAAGCTAACATAAGTTTCTGATGAGCAGTTAACAAACACCTGCTATTCAGACTTTTTAAATATTAAGGCATGAAGAAGCAGTAGAGATCCTGGGGATAATAACTACCACTACAGTGAAAAATTAGTGGAAAAACTTAGGTGGCTTTAAAAAGCACAAGTAATTAAAACCAAGTAGCAAGGTGGGTCCAAAAGGTTACTAAAAGTGCATCTCATTCCATGAAGGGAGATAAAGGTTTAAGGAAGCTTTGTTTTGATTGTACTTTCTTAAGTGGAAAAAAACAAAGAAAAAAGTGTATGGTGTTTACTTCATTATAAAAGATTTCAAATAAATCCCAACCCCACCTCCACTAAAAAAAAAAAAAAAAAAAATTGTGGCTATCATTTAAAATGAATAATGTTGCATTTAGTGACAATGATTCAGTTAAAGTGCAAGTTTAGGTAAATGCCCTTTTAAATGTCCTCAGAAGGAAAATTTAAAAGGGAAACTGATTCCATTAGTCTGAGAGAATGCTTAGATTGCAGCCATGAAGACCTCGGAGCGGTGGTTTCAGACCTGAGCACCATCATGCTCTAGTTTGGGAGTTTTCCCCTAATGCTTCCAGGGCTGTGTGAGTATTGGGGAGAGGAAGGGTGACCCTCTGAAATGGCTGGACCCCAGGTGATGAGAAGAAAGGAATGTTATCAAAATTCCCTTCAAAGGGAACCAAGACACCACAATGGCAGGTGACTGGAGGGAAAGGCTCACAGTGAGGGCGAGCCCCCCCCACTAGCAGTGAATATTGGTATGGGCACAGTTGCGGAGATGCCTATGTAAAAGAGAAAAGCCATGGTTAATTTTTAAAGGGCAAAAATAATTTAAAGACAAAACCAAGACCAGAAGCATGGTTTACTGTTCTTTGATGATCAGCTTAATTAACATTTGACACTAATTGCCCAGGACCTTGCAGTGCCTTTTTCCATTAGAGGTTCAGACTTACTCAGTTGAATTAGATCGAGGTCTAAATCTTTTGCCTCTGATTTTCTTTCTGTTGTCACCCACATTACCTGAAAAAAAAAAGGTTTATAGCTAGATTTCCAAATAATAAATGATTGCTCCATGACTCATTATATAGTATTTCAAATGGATATAATTCAAAACCAGCACCACCCTAGAAGACAGGGGGCGCTGCACACTCTACAGCCTTCCCAATGTATCTAGTACATTGGTGCTAACAAATCCCATCATTTCCCATACATAGAAAACAAAACTAGACTCTCAGTCCAAATATTTTTCCTCTCTGTTGGGAGAAGAGCTAAAGAGCTTACAGGAAATAACATATCTTTACATCCAGGGAGCATAGAATACAAAACTTGGGCTGGATCTACAGATGAATTCAGAATGTTACCCTTATACCTTGCCAAGAGTTACTTCGAGGTCGCCCATTTTCACAGATATCTGAAATATGTTTTGTGTCTGGAATCCTTTCACTCCAAGAATGAGAGAGCCCATTTGACCTGAAATTGAAAATATTTACATATTGTTCAAAAATGTAAGCAAATTAACTTTTTTGAAATTAGTAAGCAAAACTTCTTAGCAATACTGTGCATCAAATAAAATAAATCAAGAAAAAAATCTGAAATGAAAGAATGACGAGAACATGAAAGTCTTCATGAAAAGGCAGAAATACACAACATTCAATTTAAGAAAAGTCAAATACAATGGAACCCCATTACAATAGTCTATAGATGAAAAGTATCAGGACATAATACAAGCCAATTTACCTTCCCCAGAACACAGCAACCACAAATGGCAAATTCACTGTGTATTTCAGTTACATAACCCCAGCAGCAGCATTTATAATGGGGTCCCACCATAGATGTTTCTTAATTGTAAAGCAATGGATTCCATTCCAATATTATGCGAACATGGACTTCCAAGAGATTACATTAAGATTTGCTTAACTGAACCTAGTTAACCTTTATCAAAGTAATGTTTAGTTTTCTGGATTTGGCATTTTTCTCCCCAAATATATTCCAAAGATGTGTAGTACATTTTAGTTAGTTGTTTGATAACTGAGCTGAAATCAGATGTTTACCATGGAACTCTTTCTCACAAAGCCCATGTACCATTGAGCCCTTCTGCTAATTGTGTCCTACCATCTTTAAATGAATTAGCTACAAGATGCAAAATTTATACACCTACCTTGTACCACATAACAAAAGAATTTTGACAAATTACATATACTTAAATGCCTTACAGTTGGATGTATTTTTAACTGGTTAAAAATAGTAACCCACTGAAAAATTTCTAACAATTCAAATGAATATTTCAAGCTCTTTTTTAGGTATTTGATAAAATAGTAGTATACTTAAAAATATTTTTCATATGTCACTCTGGTTAGTTGCTAATAATATCTACTTTAAAGGGAATCTTCTGCTGATGAGTGAAAACATGGAACTCAGCACAACTGGTACACATCAATGCTGTAGGTTGGAACTTTTTCAACATGATTTGCTTCTTAGAGAATGACTCATATTTTGTAAGAAAGGACAACAGAAATCCTTCTGGAACCCACTGATTTCTCTATTTTTTCTATGTTATATAAAGTTTTGCATTTGACCAAGAAAATACTTATATAATGAGAGAATTCAAGTAGATCTTTGTCATCTTCTTTTCTTAGCCATCAATCCCTCAATAAATTAAAACACTAAAAAATTTAAAACACCCTTCTGTGGGTCAAAATGTAGCATTTCATCTTTTGCATTGAATTCTGATATCTAAGTGAAAACTATCCTTCACATAGAGTTCCCACATAGAATTCACCAATTCCTTCTATTCACCTTTCTGGATCAATGTTGATAAAGACTGAGCACCATTGCAGAATTTTTACAGATTATTCACTCTCCCTAGAATACCAGAAGAGATCAGATTCCTCTCAATAAACTAGATGTTTTACCCTCACACTGCAAAGCAACAAATGTGCCCGAAGTCATGACTGGGGCTACCAAAACGTTTTTCCTTCCCCCTACTTCCATTTCTTTAGTTAAGGAAATTCTTCTACAAGAATATTTTAGCTTCCTTCAATGTGGTATGTGTCACTTCCTACAACATTCCAACTATTTGTTTCTTCTACACATTTATTCTCAAGCAATTTTAAAGCATGCAGAATTTTAAATGGTGTCATACACCTTAAGATGCTAGAATAAGAATATATCATCAGAGTTCAAGACATAAATAATAGATAATCCCACCTCTATTATTATAAAAATCAGGCAATTATTAAGCATACTTAAATTAATTTGTCAACTAAGGTGTAAGTTATAAAAGTCTGCAAATAATCATTCCCAAAAAAGGCAAAATTATAATATTCAATACATGATTCACAGAGAAGCAATCTTTGTTTCACAGCGAGCTTAGCTTTGATATATATAAAATTAAAAAATAGTCAATGCAGCACTTATATTACCAATTTATGTTAACTGCTTTTATTGAAGCATGACAGTAACCTTTTTCTTTGACTACCAAACATGACATAAAGCTCACCATTTAAAATTATTAAGTACTATGCATAGTTTCTTAAGCTATATAAGAGCAAGACTGAAAGACCCTGAGGTTTCCAAACAGATTTAGAATTATTGTTCATTTTATTTTGTTTTTGTTTCAATTTTGTGGCCTGATTTGTAGGTCAAGTGGTTTTGAGCATATGGCATTTTGAAGCAGAGTAATCAAAGAACAAAGGATACTATTTTTTAACATTCAAGAAAGAAGGAAGAAGTAATCAAACCTGCTGCAAAATAATGAAATGTTCTGACTAATGGAATAATGTGTGATGGAACAGGTAGAAATCTGAAAATGCGACAGAAAAGCAGACCTCTTCTTAGAACTAGATGCTGAGTTTGTGCTGACTCCAGGAGGAATGTCGCTATAAAAAGAGTCGCCATCTCCAGGCTTTTTTACATAATCTCCCTGGGGTAACTGTCTAAGGCATAATAAACATTTCAGAGTCAGAAAACAAGACACACACATGAACACAGACATATACAAATCTTATTTTAGGAAAAAGAGAGGTAGGGATAATGATCTACATGAATCAAATCTATAACAACACATAAGATTATTAATAAATGTAACAAATTAAAGTCATTCTAACTGTTGAGGTCAGAAATGCAATCACTGAAGTCTTTATAGGTTGGATGAATAAAGCGTTGCTTTGAGAGGGAAAACAAGGGAGGATGAGTTTTTGTTTGTTTGTTTGTTTTTTCGCTGTAACTTCATTATACTCAGAGATGTTAGCTGAGTATCAATTTTAAAAAAATTGATGTTGAAGCACACATAGAACAGTTCTTACCCAGACAAAGCAATTGGGTTTTGAGGGGGTTTTTTGGCACCATAATGAATAAACTATTCATGATTTCTAAACATAACAAAATGAACGTAATCTTGATTTAATTTTAAAGGAATTGATTAATTTCTAAGCTATTTTATAATTGAATCCAGATAAATTCTCATTAGAGTTTAATGTTCCATGTGGAGTTCCATTGTTCATTTAAAATTAAAAAAAAAAAGGAAAAAAATTAAAAGAAGATTCAAAGTTGAATCAAAAAGCTAATTTTATAATTGCACACTTGAATATGCGAAGGAAGATCATTTAATAGAGGAAGAAAGGGTTGAACAGTTAACTGAATTTCTGTGGAGACTATGGAAGGACATTTGTAGGAGGACAGTGGGTGGCAGTCCTCCAATTCCACTGTGGTAGGAGAACAACAAGAACAGCTATTTAATCTGCACAGGTATTAACCCACTCATCTCTCTTTGAAAAAACTAAAATTGGTACAGATTTTTATTACTTCTCCTAAGTGAACCAGATAGAAACTTTATATAGCCCCACCGCCCCCCACAGTCAACCCTCTCACCGTGCCAATCCGATCACCTGCCAATGCGTGTTGCCCAAATAGACAACTTGCACCCAAACCTGACTCAGTTCATCCAGCGCTATCACTGAAGGTGGCACAAACTAGCACTGGATTAAGAATTTTAAACAAAGCTACACTTAAATAAATAAATCTCCAACAATAGCACAAATTTGCTAATTCCCTTTTCATGTTTGGTTTCTCCTTAGTTACTATGATAAGCTTGGTTACTTACTGATGCTAAATTTCAACCCCAAAATGCCACTTTCAGATGTCTGCTTGTCTATATTGATTTCCCACATTGTTGTAAATATTTAAAATATTTCATTATTTGTTTTCTGATGACTGTACATCCCATGTCATATTATGTCAATGCTATGTGAACACATCTCTACAAGTCTCAAAAAGTTTTCAATGGAAATAAAAAAGTATGTACTTTAACTTGTATGATTTAAGCTACTTCTCTATATTTTAACTTAAAAAAGGAATTCTCACTAACTAGTTTATAATATTGATTCTACCCATAATTTTTTCAGTTTTCTCCAAAATATATTTTTTTAATTCTATAAGTGACTTCAGCTCATGACAGTTACCCTTTCTTTTTCCTGGTTATTATGAAAAATTGATTTTATAGGGAAAATATAAAAGCCTTGATACTTATAGTGTTCATAGTAACAACAAACAATATATTTTCCTATGTAAGAGATCTTTGATCTCTATTCATATTTTCTGTTTTATCCCACATTAGGAACATACTCCTTCAATACTTGAAAAACAAAATGCCCTTAATAAAATCAGAGTTCCATATTTTGTCTCAAGGAAGAAACTTCCCTATTGTATTATATAAGCATGTTAAAAAGATTACTACAGAATGTCAGCATCATATGTCCAATAACAATATTGATGGCCAATATAGTCCTTCTGTCCCTATTACCTTTAATGATGATCTTAGGAAGGCAATGAGATGTGCCTCAACAAATTCAAATTAAACAAAAACAAGCTCAGAACCACACCGAACCTTTCTTTTTACTTTCTTTCCCCAAATGACCTTTTCTTCACAGATTTTTGACTTTCAGGTATTTACCCTGGCATTCTGATACTGCAGGTGCAGATGGACTACCTCCCACATTAGAACCCAGTTCTGTTTTGTCTTAGACCGAGAATGTTTTACCACCTCTTCAAGGTAACTTCTCTGTGGTCACGGTCACTTTTTACACAGTGCACAAACATCCTAAATGGTAAAGTTAAAAGCTATGGGCTTCTGTCAAGGAGTTGAAAGGGAGTTTCAATTTAATGTACTTCTGGGGCATCACCTCCTTTAACAATCCAGCAAGATTTGATTCTTATCTATGTTCCCTATAAAGTCTCCAACATACAGAAACTAATTTTACACATTCTCCTGAAAATTTCACAAGGAATGGATGCAACTTGTTTTCATACTTTTTTCTGTGGTAGGTTTTGAATTTAAAAAAAAAAAAAACTCTTGAGAATATTTAATATTCTTCACTGTCCATAAATTTATCTTTAAAAAATATTCATTATGCATTTTTAAAAAACTATTTCTTCTTGTTTTAGAGGAAGTAGAGAATATTAGGCCCCCATGATCAATAAATAATCTTGCATCATTTGTTATGAAACATCATAAAAAATCAATTAAATAATGCCCTTAAAATTTTTAAACTGAACTTTTCCCCCTAATTCTTTATTAATAATTTTTACAGATTTCTTCCTACATTTTGAGTGTTTTTCATGTTCCCTCAAATCTGAATTTGAAAGTGATTACCTTGGTAGATGGCCTGGCTAGTGGTTTTATAACAGGAAAAATCACCTCATATTTCTCATATTATATGCAAACATTTTAGACATGTACATGATTTTTGGTAAACAATAACCAAAATGAATACTATGTAATTAAGTTCTTTTTCCTCAAATGTCATCCCTTCCTACATTAATTACAGATTGTCTTTTTTTCCTCTCTACACATTTTCATACCAATTTGTGCTTTGAACTGATGCATCTCATTCGATAACATTCTTTGAAGGTAATCCTATTCTCTAACACAAGGAACAATCCCTATAACTTAATGACTTTGGAGGAGCTGATGCATACAAACTGTTAATTATTATTTATTTCTAGGACTACAGTATTCATTGTTATTGTTTTCTTGTTCTTATTCTATTTCAGAAGATAACATGTTTATATTCATAAATCATCTAGCTATGTGAGCATTATAAATTTAAACATACAAAGAGATTTCTGGGATCACCCCAAAAGTCTTTAAGCAAATTGTTGATCCTGTTATAAAAGAAGTCTGTTCTTTCCTAAAAGCATCCATTGATCTTTAATATTAATTTTGACAATACTTATGCTTACTGAACATGAAAGAAAAAAGTTTAAATAAGTCTTAATATTAATCTTTCTCTTACTGAAATTGTTAATTTACTATTTTAAGAAATATTGTTCAAGGTATACCAATATTTCCTAAAATAGTATATCAACAGATGTATAAATATCATTGAAATAATAATAATATTATTAAAAGAAACGAAGAAAGGTTTGGAAAAAAGATAGGAAGTCCACAAGCAGAAAACAACGTACCTAAAACATGAGAGAGAAAAAGAAAAAAAAAAGTAGAAAGAAATGGGGGTGGAAAAGAGTAGACTGCTTAAGATTAAACCATAGGTCAGAAAGATGATTTATTATATTCTATTTTTCAGTAATCATAGTGATGTATGTTCATTTCAGACAAGAAAAGGATTTCAGCTGAATAGGGATGTTTTATAAATCTAAGTTCAGTTACTATTTCTTACTCTATTTGCAAACATGCCTGAAAACTAAAACCTACTTAGAATTCTTGTCACAACTGCTAAATCCTAAAGCTATTATACTATGATACAAATAATAACATCAAGTGAAAAGTGTGGAGTGTTTTTTTTTTTTTCCTGGAAATTTAAAGAAAAAGGATAAAGGAGCTTCTGCATGGCTCCTTGGTTCCATGGATCTATGCTTCATAAGGTGACACTGACAGGTTTCAACTGATTGTACATGTGTGGGGTTCGGCCTCCACTGGTCCCAGAACAGGGCTTCTATTTTTTAAGTAAGCAATTTGTGAACAAAAAGAAAGAAAATAGGTTTGCTTCTCATCTCTTTGTTAACTTGCAAGTAAACAGACAACACAATCCTTAATATACTTAAAACCTTGAGGACACATCCTCAGGAGGGAAAATTATCAGGTTGTCACATTCAATTACAGAATTACTTGCCTGTCTTCTCAAATAAATTGAAAGTTGTGCATCATCTGACATTTTTTATAAGAAAATGGTGAGATACTACATACTTATTAGATCTTGCTTTTGGTGTCAAAGCAAGCCTTCATGTTCACCAACCCCTTTACCAGCTCAGCTGGTAGGGGTGGGCCTCATTCAGATTGAGGATAGCTACATTCCTCTTTGAGAACAACATCCACCTCTTTTATTTGAAGATCAGAGAAACACAAAGTCTTTAGAAACCACATACAAATAACTTCCCTTTACCATAATGCTTTAAAGATTACAAAGAACTCTTTTTGATTATAGAGTTGAGGAAACTTGTGACTTCTCCACATCTCATACTAGATTCCTAATTCCTTGTCAATTGCTCCTCCCACCACAGAACTCCAAGGAAAAACCTAATTCAAGACAATGACAACCCAAAATTATTAATTCTACTTCTTGTCATCCTTTGGAACTCACAGATATTTATTTGACTATAAATAATTGTACAAGATTAAAAATTTCCTAATGCATACTTGTTCTGTTGGCCTGACCCCTTCTCCATCATTACATGTACTGTCAGGGCTAGAAGTGTACCTCCATGGTACAGCACTTGCCCAGCATGTATGAGGCCCTGAGTTCAATCCCTGGCACTTGAAAAACAAACAAACAAACAAACAAAAACCTAACATATCTTCAGAAAGAAAAATCCTTCAAAAGATACCTATATATTCATAACTTCCTGGTTTAAGTCCAATCACTGCTATTCTCCATTTTGAGAATTATTGTACAAGTCTAACATTCATTAGCTATAGACAACGATGAAAAAAAAAAAGCTTTTGGTGAAATATATCAAATATATAAAACAAATACCCACTGTAGATGTGACAACTTTCAAAACATGTACTAGATTCCAAAGGAGTAGTCATATCAATGAAATGATGACTTAGTAACACTAGAAGATGTGAAAACTTATTAGTCAAATACAGGAGATTCATAGTGTGAAAATGCTTTAAACTGTATCCATGCATATGATGAGTTAGAATAAAAAAATGGTGCATAGTTTTAAACAAAGCATTTTTGTAAAGTGTGGGCAATTTCCTTATTCTGGATAGCATTCTTAGGGACAACAAAACCTAAGAGTACTCTTGGCTTTGCTTATGCTACATAATTGAGTCATTTTGCTTTCTTTTTTATATATTCAGCAGTATTAAATTACATTATTGCTTTAGTTCCTATGGAAATGGAGCTCAAACATAAATTCTCTGTTACATCAACCAAAGTCTGTCTTCCACTGAAGAAAGCTATCAACCTTAGATTTCTAATATGACTAAATCAATTTCTACCCAATTAAAAGCCTAAATGGCTCTTTCTCTACTCAAGTGCTTATAGACACAAGAGTTCAACATAGGGGACTAGAGCTGTAGCTCAGTGTCAGAGCATTTGCCTAGCACATGTGAGGCACTAGGTTTGATCCTTAGCACCACATAAAATAAATAAAATAAAGGTATTGTGTCCATCTACAACTAAAAATATTTTTTAAAAGAGTTTAAAACAAGTCACAAAGAAATCTACTTGTTTCCAAAATTTAGTCAATTTTGTCTCAGTTTCACATTTTTTATTAATGATGTGTTAGTTACTCCAGGGCAAGGTCAATATTTCCTAAACCTATGCTAACTGGTACCTTGCGGATACCTTAGAATTACAGATAGTCTACAGATATTTATGGCTAAAGTCTTCAGGGGTTTTAGATTTAGACAGAAACATACAGAAAAATAAAGTTTAATTTTTCAATTTGTGAAAAAATGAAAGTTGTGGTTAGAGCCTGGAAAAGTATCACCACATTTATTACATCTTATTCTTAACCTGCCTCAGGCAAGTAATAGAACAGAAAAAGATAAGTAGGTAGCAATTTGCACAAATACCCTGAATGCAGAACTAAATACTGTACTATACACAAGACCTGGTCTGAGTTATTCATTTCCAGGACATTTTAATTTTTTCTATCCATAGTTAATAGTATTAATAACTTTTTAAATGTGAAAAGTGAATGGTATGCCCCAGCACTATGTAGTAATTTATATAAAATTAACAATTCTTACAGAACAACAATATTTCTTTGTATGTCTTTTTATATGGTTGCCAAAGATGGATTATAAAGTTATGTTGAATAATTTTCTCTGTGGGAATTTTTATTTAATAAAAAAAGTAAGGAGACAATCAGAGATTCCAACTATGCAAATTCCTTCTTTAACTACCTGTGTGATCACCTAATCAGAGTAAAATTTTTTTTTCTCATGCACAAATAACATTTTCACCAAGTGCCAGAACATTCCCCTGGTAGCTACAGTGTAGCCAAATAAATTGTCACTTATGAATGAAAGTTATTAATATAACAACAGTAACAAAGAAAAATAAATTTCCTCAGATAGTATTAGGCAATAAGAGTGTCATAAACATAAAGAAAAGTCAATAAACTAATGTAAACAAACATGACAACTTAACATGAAGGAAGTCTGTTTTTGATGGAAAAATTCAATTTCTGTACATATATAATGATAAAAATAACACAATTAAAACTATTTCAATATCATGAAAAATCAAGATCAATGTAGAATAAAAATAAAGTGAACTTGATTTATAATTGCATGTATGAATTACAGTGATATGAATCAGGGGTTAAACCTTTCAGTTACATGTTCAGATTAATCTAATCACATACCTCTGTTCTCGATAGTTTCTTTTCATGAACAAGAAGAGAGAGGGGAAAAACACAAGAATTAGTTACCTATGAAAGCACATTAAACAGAGCACTCAACATAAAAGCTCTGGCATTCATTGAAAGGACTTTGCTAGAAGATTCTGAATTGCAGAGTTAAAATGGGGAATACACATAAAAATTCCAATTTATCATTAGAAAAGATCACACCAATAGACTGGTGACATTTTTGTCAGATAATCTGTCATTTTTAAACAAATAAAGAATCTTTAAAGAGTAACTTTCTACAACATCAATTGTACTACACTGAGTATTAATAATATTCTAATGATTAGTAAAATTCTAATCCTATTTTAAATACAGGATTTCAGACACATATGTTGATTTAAATAATAAAGTTGATGAATCCAGTTGATGACTTGCAAAAATTAATTATATTTTCATAGAAATAATAATCATAATTTATTCCTGTTAGAATACAAACCCCCAACTATAGCTGTTCCAAGGATTTCAAATAGGAAAACATAAATACACACCAGAACATTTGATTTCATCATGTGTGACAAATGAGTGAGTTAATTCACAGCTGTTATGGATGACCTTTGTAGTTATTACTACTTATTCATTCAAGAATCACGTTGGAAATACCTGCTCAATTTCAGTCTCTTTTTTATTTGACCAAATACTAAAATAAACTTAGGTTTATTTGCCATATGATAAAATAAACTGATCTTAAAAAATTGTTCTGAAGGGTGTAACAGTGCAATACCAGTGAGTTTCAAGAGTTGTTGACTTTCTCTCTTGACATAATTAGAATATATGGAAGACTGAATTATTTGGGATTCCTTCCTCTAAGATCAAGGACAATGTCTAAATGTGAATTTCCTTCCTGGCACCTCCACCCACATTATCAGGATCATAACAGGCACAGGAGGGTAAAAGTGCCCATTTGTTATTAGTTTCAATTTTGAAGACTTTGGGATGGGGGGAATATAAGCCTGGTATCTTTCCATTCAGCATGTTTTGCTTTTTATTCCCTCAAGCTGATTACTTGAGCCATACAGTTCTAGATGAGGATTTCTCATTTCCTATTCCTGCTATTCCCCACCCAGGGCTTCAAGAAAGAGTGGAAAGTTTAACAAGCAGACCTAAAAAATGAAAAAAATGAGTTCCCAGACCTTAAATCTGCTTTTGATTTTCAAAGAGAATATATGAAATATCACTTATTAGTTTAATTCCTCTATTAAAATTTCTAAATTCTCATTCTATTTCTAAATGTATTCAAATAAGTTTAGAACCATTAAAGTGTTAATCATTTAGGTTCAAATTACTTATGAGGAGAATACTGTAATATGAACAATATTTATCTTTTTCCTTAATCAACCTGCAAAATGTATGTATTCAGAAGTGTATTTTAAAGAGTAAAATCCCAAATGAAACAAATAGAAAGCAGGTTATTTCAATAAACAGACACAGGTAATTTTATAAGCAAAAGGAAAGTGTTAAAAGTTTCATGTTTTCTGAACAGGAAGTTCTACCAAGATTGGAAAAATGAAATATCCACATGCATCAGTAGGTGGCGGAAAAATCACACCCTCCAGAGCTATCAATTATCCTTTCTATTTTCGTGTGACCAAATGAAATCACTGAGCTGCTTCAAGACAGCAATGCTTGTGATGGCAATTACTTCGCAAGTCCTGCATCAGGGAGGTAGAGGAAACAGTGTGACCTAAGGTGCAGCTTACCCACCTGCAGTTGTAAGGGGATGTCATATGATGAAAAGCTTTCTTTTCAGACATATGATTTTAAAACTTAAAATGTTTTGCTGAAGTTAGAGTGTGCAAATGTAAATGTGCAATATACCAAATGACCTGCACATAAAAAAGGCTCATAAGCATCTGCTATGAACTGGTATGGAGATAAGTGATGCAGATTTAATCAGGGCAGAGCTTACTCCTCTGCTGTGTGCTCCTTCACTATGTCATCCCTGCTACACTCTGCTACACTCTAGTATGCTGTCTGGGCAATTTGTTAATACAGTCTTCTATGAGAGTCTTTCTGTCTTTAATGCCTGCTGCATACAACATTTATCCTGGCTGTAAAGTAACTGTGCTCCCTTTTCAAAGATACTCTTTGAAGGTTTAGAGCTTACAAGCAATTGCCATATAGTCTTTCAAATGTGTTTCCTTTAATTTGATTACACATCTCCATGTTAAGTGATAATAATTATAGCAATTACATAATGCTTTCTGTGGGCAAGGTATTGAAAGTTTGATATATATCAACCCACAGAACAAAGATGAATCTATCAAAAATATGGCATAACTTTAAAATTCCAAATATTCTAATCCCATTTTTTTTGACCCAAGTTCAATTCATGCTGAAAAATATGCTGTGAAATGAGATAATGCCAGGAATGCCAAGCCAAAGTGCTAGGGCTTCCAAATGGAGAAAAACCCAAGGCTGGTGGACAGGAACACTGTCATTAGAGATGGACAGAATATGACTTTAAGTTTAAATACTAAAGAGAATTAAAGGTTGGCCATATTTAAGTTTTAACTTACTAAACTTAAATTAGTTTTTGTAGACTAAAGAAATTTTTCACATCATAAGTATTTAAAGAGGAAACTGAACACATTAAATTTATAAATAAATGCTTGAAGGCATTTACTGAAGAAAATGTTTAAGAGTATCAAATATTCAAAAGCAGTATGACTTTTAACTTTTTAAATTTATGTATAGAATCAAAAAGTTGTAAGTTAAACTATAAAACTTAAGGAAGAATTAGGCTTTTGATTTTTTTAACATGGAGTTTTCATTTTAACAAATCAAATATCATGACAGTCTTTTTTTCACATAAACACTCATGTACATCACAAAAAGTTGTGCCTCCTTCATAATGGCCCTGAGGACAAGGGGTATCACCTTAGTGAGACGCATGGCTCATTAAGAGATCTGCTGCTTCTGTTCTTTGATAACTGTTATTATTGTGCTGCTCTCTAACTGACTGTCTTGCCTAGATTTTGAGTATGGTTTAAGTAAAGGAAACTTTGTCATTAAAAAGCAAAGAAACCTAGCCTTTGTATTAGACACAATTTAAGTTGATTTTAACTCACTTCAGTGATTTTGAAAAAAAATATTCAGTACTTTCAGAACAGAAGGGAATTGTCTCAAAATCTAAAAACTGCTAAAATTATTATTACCTCTAACTATGCCAAAGGTTATCATTGATTGTTGAGCAAGACTGTTTTTTCAATGCAAGCGTATTTATCCAATAAGATAAAACTTTCTAGATGTTTTCATTTAATCAATGTGTTTCAAAGTATGTCTTATAGTACTAATACTGAGTCATTTCACTTACTTATAACCCCAGGCAGTTATTCCTAATATGAGGGCCAGCATTAAAATGGTGCCAGCAATTATGCCTATTATGATATTGATGCCAGCAACACCTGGATGGAAAAAAAAAAAGAACATCAGTGAGATAAAATTCCTTCAGAACTTCATTCTTCAGATTTGTAATCATCACATTAAGAACACTATTTGTTAAAAAAAGTAAGATTTTCAAAGGAAAGAAAAATCAACCATAAGTCAGCAAGCCATATCAATTCTTTTAAAACGAATTTATACTCCTTTTTAATTCTTGCCCAAGTGCATTTTGCACAGTTGTACTTCCCATGTATTTTTCTGGGAAACCTTATATCATTAAACTAAAAGATGGAAGAAGAATGATACTAAGAAAGTACCCTTTAGGAAGGCATTTTAAGAAATCTGTTCTGTAGGGAGCCATCCATGTGCTATGTGTGGGCTACCGTGCATCGAAGCCCATTGAATAGGAACAGCTGATGTCCAGGAATTTCCAGTGGTCATTTCCTCTATGTAAGACTGCCCAGAGACACTGTGAATTCCTATTCCGCTCTGCCATGTCCCACACAACACCTGAGATGGGTGTGACCAGCCAAGATGCCAATCAATCTGCTGACTGCAAGACATCACAAAGCAAGATTCCACCCTTGAAACCTTATCCCTGCCTTTGATGTACCCCCTTAATAAACCACTGGAGCCATTTTGCCTTGTCTAGTTCCAGCTCCCATGTGAACTAAACCTATCAGGGCTCTGCTTTTGAAAATGTGTTTCTGACTCTTTGTCTTTTGTTCTTCACTAATTATTCTACACTTTAATTTCTCAGGTGGCTTACACCCTCCTCAGCAGGAAGAAGAACCCCCCAACGAGACGCTGACTGTCATCCCCTATAGTGTTCCTTTTGACCCTTATTTCTTTCTCTGAAATTCTAGAAATGTTATTACTTAAATTACTCCATTTTGACAATTAATGCAAGACCCTTGCTGCTCTAAGTTATGTGTGTGATATTTTGTCTCTCAAAGTCAATATAAGCTTCTTAAGGGAGAAAATACATCTACAGGTTTCTATGATCAGTACTCAGGGGTGCAGATGATAGAAGCACTGGCTTGTCACTCCCAATTGGACAACAATGGCTGTGGCATCCTAGGGTAGAAAAACCCAAAGGGAAAAATGGTCTAGTGAGGGGATATTGGTGTCATTGTGGCACAAGAGGGAGGTGGCACCAGGAGGGCAGAGGGAAAGGGGAGCAGAATACAGGGCAGACAAAACTCAGGACTGAGCGATGGCATCGTCAGCACCCATCAACAGGCAGGTTGAGATGTGATCCCTAAGGGATAATGGCAGTGAATCCAACCCATAAGTCCACGTAAAGGACTAAAGGCAGAGAAGGCCCATCCAAGGCCTGGCTCCCACACTGCTAATTATGATTTATACCTCGTTTAATTGTATGCAGGGCTTTCATCCACAGCAGCTTAGACCTTTCCTTGTCTGTTCCTGAGACATCCTTCTAGACAGCAAAGGTTAGTGATCAAGGGTAACTGGAGATTTCAATTTCCCATGGCAGAAAATAGCAGTCTCCCAGTCTGGGAGCCCTCAGGAGTCATGCAGGACAGCAATGCTAGGGCATCAGAGGAGAGTGGACAGCTCCAACCTGCACTGGTCCCCTATAAGAGGGGAGGATGCAGATGCCAGTGCATCTTCTGGGTTACTGGGATTTTCTTATTCCAAGACCTTGCATGTCTGTCCTCACTTCCTTTTCATGAAGGGTTTTAATAGGGACAAATAAACTTAGATGCTAGTCTTGATTATTTCTAAGTAATGGTATGTCTTTTGGTAAGTCACTTAAACCCATGTACTTATAAATATCCTTACCTCTGCATTAACTATGGAAACAAGCTCCACACTACCACTTACTGCCGCTAAGTCTGAGGATCCTAAAATCTTAATCATTCTGTGACTTTCTTTGTTAAAGTCACACTAGCTAACATTTCCAATCTGTCTAGATGACTAGAAGTAATACATTTCTTAAGTTTCTCATCCTTTGGTGGCAAATGGACTTCAGGATTTGAGCATTATTTTATGCAAAAGAATATGCAATAAAATGGTTTAAAAGAAGACATTTACCTTTAAGGTATGAGTTCTTACAACTATCTGCATTTAATTTCCACTTCTCCACCCAAGCAACCCCAGCTTTAAGAAATGTGCCTCCCTGTTGTTTCTGATCCAAAAACCGCTTTCAGGAAACTTGGCCAACGTATACTTCTAGTTCAGGTTCAAGAAGTGTAGTTAAAGGTTGGTGAGATTTTATAACAATATTAAAAATGAAATTTTAAAAATCAATTCTTAATTTTTCTTTTTCTTATTTATAAAGTGTGTACATATAAAATTCTCCCTTTGCCAGGCACAGTGGTGCACACATGTAATCCCAATGACCTGGCAGTCTGAGGCAGGAGGATCACAAGTTCGAGAACATCCTAAGCAACTTAAAAGGGCCCTGAATAACTTAGCCTAGACCCTGTCTCAAAATAAATAAATAAATAAATAAAAGGGCTGATGATGTGACTCAGTGGTTAGGTGCCTCTGGGTTTAATCCCTGGTACCAAAATAGATAAAAAAAAAAAAATTCTCCCCTTAAACTATAAGTATTTTCTTCATTTAAAAGAAATGCTAGGGTTTGTTGACAGCCTCAGTTAAGTGGAATACTTGAAAAATTTCTCTGAAGTAGGACATGTTAAGGCTAAGTCATTAAACAAGGTAATACTCAACATGTAAATAATTATAATTTGATTAAAATGATTAGTTTCATAAGGTGGACCCCACTTGTATAGTATAATTCATTATTATGTATATATAATTTATTTTGAGTTATCATAAAATAACTTAAATAGGGCTGGGGTTGTAGCTCAGTGGTAGAGCGCTTGCCTAGCACATATGAGGCCCTGGGTTCAATCCTCAGCACCACATAAAAATGAACAAATAAAAATAAAGTTTAAAAAAGAAAAAATAACTTAGATAAAAATGACCAAAGGGAAGTTCTCTATTTACTTGTGCAAAAAGATGACATAATGACACCAAATTAAATATCTACCGTTGCTAGTCTTTGGACCTTCATTGTGAAGTAACAACGTGCTGCAGTCTGCACCTGTCCAGAGCGTATCACAGACACACTTCAGGTCGTTACTGCACACCTGAAATCCAAAATCAAGCTAGAGTAAGTATCAACTCTCTGGTACAAAGGCATGAAAAATAAACTCTAATTAACTTCTGATAATAATATGCTGAGAATATGATGACACTGAAAAATTATTAATACTTTTTTCCTACTAATAATTATTTTATTTCTCACTTAGACTAACAGCTGGCCCAAAGGGCATAATTTTTAAATGTCAGCAGAAGACTTAATCTTACGTCCAAAAAAACGTCAATGAAATTCCTATTTTGACTTTTATTAACTTGTTATGAGAGAAATTTTAAAACTAAGCAAAAATACAACTATTTGTTATTTATCCAATATGAAGTCTTGCTTTTCTTCCATAAAAGGTTCTTTATGCCAAAATTTTATTATTAACTTTTTAGGAAGCAGAATGAGATAAAGAAAAGACCACAAAGAAGCAGGAAGTCCTGGTATTTATTTTGCAGTGGTCTGAGAATAAAGCTTCACAAGGTTATAACCCTGTCAGCTCAACCCAAATTATAGAAGCCAGCTGCCGCAGGCCCATGGGAACTAAGAACTCTCACAAAGTAGAAAGATTCACATAAAAATGACAGCAACCACTAAATCATAGGAAAATAATCTCTTCATTTATCCATCTCAGAAAGAGAATCTACACTTAGATTCTATTATTCAAATCAACTGGATGTATTGAGAAGAAGGAAAGAACTAAGTAGGTTTAACTGAGAGGCAGGTTTCACTGCACAGGTATTTCTGCCTTATCCAATCTAATGTTGCAGAAGACAACATACATCCACATCTACATGTGACTAAGATTAATAATTATGCAGGAATAAAAAAAATTTAGGCTTAAAGTCAAAAGGCCTGGACCCAAGTCCCCGTTTCACTACTGTCTTACCAAGGGTCCTTAACCAGGTCACCTGGCTCTCTAAGCATCAGTTTCCGTATCATATGACAGTACCAGTGATATAGTGACAAGAACAGACAGCGATACCAGTGTACAGTGATTATAATAAATGGCACAGCTGACACCCATTGAGTACTCACCATGTCCTGGGCACTGTTTTAAGTTCCTTACAAGTATTAATTCACTGTTCTTCACAACAATCCTATACAGTAGGAACCATTATCATTCCCATTTTATAGAGGAAGAAATCGAGCCACAGAGAAGCTATATCGTTTACCCAATGTCACCCAGCTAGTAAGAAGCAGATCTGGGATTCTAAACCATCTGATTGCAAGCCCACATACACAATTATAAGATGTATAGTACATAGAAATATTGTCTATACTCCATTTTAATTTTTGTCATAGAGAGTGGAATTACTCTAAGTTATCTGGGATATATCACTTCTGTATTATGCATAATTGTTGTAAATTATGTGGATGTTATTTACCATCTGATTTATTTGTGTCTGTCACTCTTTTACTAAAATTCATTAAACCAGTGGTTAATAGAACTGTTTGGTCTCTGCATTTTGTATCCCAAATTTTAAGGTAAAGAAGATATGAAAATTTATTTTGCATAATCAAAAATAATTCCATTATTTTTCCATTGTCCCCTCCAAAAAGTATTTTTCTCTAAAATCCTGTTTATAATTAAGGAAAGAGGATTTAACAGATCCCCTTATAGCAGCAGAACTACTTACTATGTGTCTTCCCTTTCTAATGTGCCAAAGGAATTCCTATCCTTTGTCAAAGAGTGATGATTACATTACTTCCCTAAGAAAATTCTTGGCATCTCTCTCAGGAATATTACATGTAATACCAAGACTGAAGACTTAAAATTACAAAACATAATCTTTCCCTCACCTAGATAATACAATCAATTCAAGCAAAGAACTGAGAACAAGAATAAAAAGAAAATCATATCACATGCTAAAAGACAAAGAACCAAAATTTTTGTTAGCACAGAAATTTGGTACTAATAGAGGGCAAATACTTAACTTATAAACTTATTTACATAGGAGCTATATTATCTGGTAATAACTGAAAGAACAAAAGTCTTTTAAACACCATTCTTGCTCTCTATCTATGAGAAACGTTTCCCTATTCTTTTATAGTTCCTCAGTTGGTACTAACAGTGGTAGCCACAGCAGTTATTTATGGTCTGTTCTGATAGGTCAATGCCCAGATCACACCAGTACTTAAATATTGTGGCCATAGTCTCTCCTTTTTATTCTTCTTTTTTTAAAAAAATAATCCTATTCCAGTTTGTTAAAATTTATTTCCTAGTTCACTTGTACAAAAAAAATCGGCATTATACTATATGAAATCTCATTAACATGAGAAAGAAGATATAAGAACTTGGTTAGGAAGTTTATCCTCTTTCTTATTCCCAAACTCTCTCAGAGTACACAATAAAAATTATTCAAATGCCTATGATCAAATGCGTGTTCATATACCAACTACAAACATGGATAATCATGTTTCCATAATTTTGGAAAAAGCATTTTACGATCATGTCTATTTCTGCGATGTAAAAGAAATGAATAGTTCCCCATGGCAAAGATGCTGAATACTTACTCCATTTCCTGAACAAACAGTGCCTTCTTTACCACTTAAGCAAGTACTAAAGTTGAAGGAAGCCACAGGAAGACACCTGTGTTCCAAGCACATCATTTGAGGACCACAGGGTGTCCCATCCTCCACATAGCCAAGATCTACATCTTCTTCAAGCTTAACATGCCCACCACTAAAAATAAATGGGGAGCAAAAAGAAAATGGGATTCTATTAATTCACATTCATCTTGACAATATACTCAAAAACTGGCGATATTGCTTCTTTTATTTTCTACTTAATTTTTTTAAATTGAGTGATATAATTTCTTCTATTTTCTACTATTTAATAAAAGCACGTAGTATAAGCATGTCAACATCTAAAGGGAGAAAACAATTGAATCTTTTAATTTTTCAGATACATTTACATAGCTTAGGATTTAAACATACCAGCCTGAATTGAAACAGTTTTACTATTTTGCCTTGGTTATCATGTAAAACCAATAAGTTCACTATTACTAGATTTGAAATAATAAATAGGTTTCATGATACAGTAATGTCAAGAGTAAAACATTTCTTTGCCTGTACTACTTTTTATTTTTCCTTAGATTGATCTTTTCATTTGCTTAATGTTTCTTTGCCTACTTTTCTAAGAATTTACCATCAATTAGTTCAAAACTAATCCAATGTCTCTCTGCCAAAGTCTCCACAGAAGATGTCTCTGATCTTTCTTTAGAAATCTCCCCTTGAGTTTCTGACCTGCTCCTATCTGTTCTGATTGTCCCCATGTACCTGGCATAGAGCTATAAATCCAGGATTCCCCAAACTATCAATTTGAGGATCTCCATATCTCTCTCTCCCTCCCTCCATACCCACTCTCCCCCTGTTTCCTATACCTAATACCTTACTCCTGTGTTTTGGTGGAGCGCCATTTCCAGTATCTTTCTGAGAAAGAGGATTGAATAGTACACTTTGGAAAATTTTGCAAATCTAAAAATGTCATTATTTTCTACTCTTACACCAGATTTGACATTTTGTTATAAAATTCCAACTTGCAAATAATTTTCTCCGTTGTCTTCTGACTCTCAGGGTTTCTGTTGATAAAAGTCTTAAGTCATTTTAAGTGTTAAGCTTTCAAGATTTCCTCCTTTGTGGAAACTTCTGGTATTCTTTGCTTCACTCCAAGGTTCTAAAATTTCATAAGGATATGTTTAGATGTGCCTCTAATTACACCCACTGTACCTGATACCCAATGAGGCTGTTAAAATGGAAATATAAGCCCTTCAGTTCTAGAGTTACACATTGACAATTTCCTCCCTTCTGTGCTCTTTATTATTTCTATTTTAATTTTATGGGTTTTCCCTCTATGCTCCCTTTTTTGCCTTTTTTGAATACTTTTAGGGAGATAATAACAATTACTGAGTTTCACTTTCACCATCATATTTTTATATTTTAATTTCAACAGCATTTTTTCTTCTCTGAATATTCCCCCACATTTTTTAAAGGCAATACCCTATTTCCTTGTTAAATGATAGAAATCTTGTTTCTTTCATAAATATTAATAAGTAATTTTCTTTTCCCCCCAATTTTTTCATGTGGAGAACTTTCTTCCTATGTCTGATAGTCTGCTCATATCTGAATTGGGGAACCAAATAGATTATTGGAAATTTAGGGCATTCTGACTGAGCATCACTGAGATTAGACTACTTCCACACAACCTTGATATCAATATTCCCAGTTAGAAAACTTGTCTCTTATTCTCTGTAAGTACAAAGCCCAAATCAACTCTTAGCTGAGTTGAAGAAATAATCAGTATATCTATTTCACATACATTCATTCATCTATCGTATTTCACCCCTTTCTTCCAAATTCCTTTTCTCCCTCTTCCAAAGGTGGATGTTACTACCAATTTCTAAGTCTTCTGGGAAGTGACACTATATCTTTGATTGGGTCTCAGTTTTCCCCATTATTGAGAAACTCATTTTTCTTAGTTCCTGTAAGTTGCCTGCCATACAGACATTTGCTTTACTTGTTCCAAAATCGCATTGTTGCTGTTTCCCTTCCTTTTCTCTGCCTTCTAGTGGACATATAAGCTCTTAAAAAAAAAGACCCCCTTAGAATCCTTTTAGCAGGAATTCAGAAGGGAGAAAAAGCATTTGGATATATTTAACAAGCTGTTTTTACCCAGAAGTCATGATTCACTTTCCTTCGTAGAAAGAAATGCAAGCTAAACCCTGCTTTATTTTACTGACCAACTAAACACGTTCCTAGCAACCACATAATATTCTACATTCAACTAATTCTTACCTTCCCTTTATCTCTTTTCTGTTTGAATTTACTCAATCACCTTCATGGATTAGACTCTATTTGGCTTTACTAACAGGCACGTAAACTGAAAACATACACCTAAGCAGCATTCCTAGGAAGTAAGATGACTAATGTTCTCACGGAGTGGTTAGTTACCTGCAGTTTAATGTTCTTCCCTGTTGCACAACCAAAGTGGATGTGATTTCACCATCGAGTTCTCCAAGCCTTGGGATATTGCCAATGTTGGTACACAAAAGGTAACCACAAAGCACATCCCTGTGTTGAGAGAGTACCAATTATTTACTTTACTTCTTTCCCCAAAGATATAACAAACCTTGCACAGTTGGAATGATAATCTTGTCTTATTTTAGGATTTGTTTTCCATCAATAATATTGCTTACTCATATGCAAAGCAAAATAAAATAAGCCCAAATTAGTTTCCCTCCTGCTTTAAAAAGTGTCTTCTCTGAAATTCTTGTTGGTGAATCAAAATTCCAATTGTTTCTTTTACTGCTCTTTGGTTCAAGTGTTTATCTATGGAAAATTATCTATCAAATAGACTTCTTTTACATCAGAATCTCTTTGCTTGTAACACATCACTGCATATAATAAACTTTTTTTTAGTATTTATAAGTTAAGGAATAACCTTAGGACAAGTATATTTTAGAATATAGACATTTCTGCCACCTAACTCCCAGAATCAAAGAAGTAGTTAAATATTTTACATGTAGTTTATAGATTTTCAGGCACAAAGGCTCACCAGTGCATCTTTAAAATATTTCAGAGGCTGAGGCAGGAGGATTGCATGTTTGAGGCCAGCCTTGGCAACTTAGTGAGGCCCTGTCTAAAAATTAAAACAAAATAAAAAGGACTGGGGATGTTCAGTGGTAAAGTGTCCCTGGATTTAATTCTAAGTATTGAAGGAAAGAAATAATTAACTGAAATATTTCAGTAGTTCTCCTATTATCACATATGATTATAATTTAACGTATATGATATTTTCACTGGTATTAAATACTATGATATGTATTCTTTACATCTAACATATTTTAGTTATTGGTAGAGATAATAATAAAATATATTCTAGTAAATATCTGTGAAGATTTACTAGCAGTCAAGCCAGACGAAACATGGAAATATCAGACTTCATCAAATAGATAAAAATTAAGATCCATATTTATCACAATGTTTTAATTCAGTCTTTGAAAATAACTTTTAAAATTATATCATTATTTTACTCTTTTTTTTAAATATTTTATTGTTGGTTGTTCAAAACATTACAAATTTCTTGATATATCATATTTCACACTTTGATTCAAGTGGGTTATGAACTCCCATTTTTGCCCCATATACAGATTGCAGAATTACATCAGTTACACATCCATTAATTTACATATTGCCATACTAGTGTCTGTTGTGTTCTGCTGCCTTTCCTATCCTCTACTATGCCCCCTCCCCTCCCCTCCCCTCCCCTCTTCTCTCTCTACCCCCTCTACTGTCATTCATTTCTCCCCCTTGTATTATTTTTCCCTTTCCCCTGACTTCCTCTTGTATGTACTTTTGTATAATCCTGAGGGTCTCCTTCCATTTCCATGCAATTTCCCTTCTCTCTCCCTTTCCCTCCCACCTCTCATCCCTGTTAAATGTTAATCTTCTTCTCCTGCTCTTCGTCCCTATTCTGTTCTTAGTTACTCTCCTTATATCAAAGAAGACATTTAGCATTTGTGTTTTTAGGGATTGGCTAGCTTCACTTAGCATAATCTGCTCTAATGCCATCCATTTCCCTGCAAATTCTATGATTTTGTCATTTTTTAATGCAGAGTAATACTCCATTGTGTATAAATGCCACATTTTTTTTAATCCATTCACTATTGAAGGGCATCTAGGTTGGTTCCATGGTCTTGCTATTGTGAATTGTGCTGCTATGAACATCGATGTAGCAGTGTCCCTGTAGCATGCTCTTTTTAGGTCTTTAGGGAATAGACCAAGAAGGGGAATAGCTGGGTCAAATGGTGGCTCCATTCCCAGCTTTCCAAGAAATCTCCATACTGCTTTCCAAATTGGCTGCACCAATTTGCAGTCCCACCAGCAATGTACAAGTGTACCCTTTTCCCCACATCCTCGCCAGCACTTGTTGTTGTTTGACTTCATAATGGCTGCCAATCTTACTGGAGTGAGATGGTATCTTAGGGTGGTTTTGATTTGCATTTCTCTAACTGCTAGAGATGGTGAGCATTTTTTCATGTACTTGTTGATTGACTGTATGTCCTCCTCTGAGAAGTGTCTGTTCAGGTCCTTGGCCCATTTGTTGATTGGGTTGTTTGTTTTCTTATTGTCTAATTTTTTGAGTTCTTTGTATACTCTGGATATTAGGGTTCTATCTGAAGTGTGAGGAGTAAAGATTTGTTCCCAGGGTGTAGGCTCCCTATTTACCTCTCTTATTGTTTCTTTTGCTGAGAAAAAACTTTTTAGTTTGAGTAAGTCCCATTTGTTGATTCTAGTTATTAACTTTTGTGCTATGGGTGTCCTATTGAGGAATTTGGAGCCCGACCCCACCGACTGTAGATCGTAGCCAACTTTTTCTTCTATCAGACGGCGTGTCTCTGATTTGATATCAAGCTCCTTGATCCATTTTGAATTAACTTTTGTGCATGGTGAGAGACAGGGATTCAGTTTCATTTTGTTGCATATGGATTTCCAGTTTTCCCAGCACCATTTGTTGAAGATGCTATCCTTCCTCCATTGCATGCTTTTAGCCCCTTTATCAAATATAAGGTAGTTGTAGTTTTGTGGATTGGTTTCTGTGTCCTCTATTCTGTACCATTGGTCCACCCGCCTGTTTTGGTACCAGTACCATGCTGTTTTTCTTACTATTGCTCTGTAGTATAGTTTGAAGTCTGGTATCACTATACAGCCTGATTCACACTTCCTGCTTAGCATTGTTTTTGCTATTCTGGGTCTTTTATTTTTCCATATGAATTTCATGATTGCTTTCTCTATTTCTACAAGAAATGCCGTTGGGATTTTGATTGGCATTGCATTAAACCTATAGAGAACTTTTGGTAATATTGCCATTTTGATGATGTTAGTTCTGCCTATCCATGAACAGGGTATATTTTTCCATCTTCTAAGATCTTCTTCTATTTCTCTCTTTAGGGTTCTGTAGTTTTCATTGTATAAGTCTTTCACCTCTTTTGTTAGGTTGATTCCCAAGTATTTTATTTTTTTTGAAGATATTGTGAATGGAGTGGTTGTCCTCATTTCCATTTCAGAGGATTTGTCACTGATATACAGGAATGCCTTGGATTTATGCGTGTTGATTTTATATCCTGCCACTTTGCTGAATTCATTTATTAGCTCTAATAGTTTCTTTGTAGAGCCTTTTGGGTCTGCTAGGTATAGAATCATGTCACCTGCAAATAGTGATAATTTAAGTTCTTCTTTTCCTATTTTTATGCCTTTAATTTCTTTCATCTGTCTAATTGCTCTGGCCAGTGTTTCGAGAACTATGTTGAACAGAAGTGGAGAGAGAGGGCATCCCTGTCTTGTTCCAGATTTTAGAGGGAATGCCTTCAATTTTTCTCCATTCAGAATGATGCTAGCCTGAGGCTTAGCATAAATTGCTTTTACAATATTGAGGTATGTTCCTGTTATCCCTAGTTTTTCTAGAGTTTGGAACATAAAGGGATGCTGTACTTTGTCGAATGCTTTTTCCGCATCTATCGAGATGATCATATGGTTCTTATTTTTAAGTCTATTGATGTGGTGAATAACATTTATTCATTTCCGTATATTGAACCAGCCTTGCATCCCAGGGATGAATCCTACTTGATCATGGTGCACAATTTTTTGATATGTTTTTGTATCCGATTTGCCAGAATTTTATTGAGGATTTTTGCATCTAGGTTCATTAGAGATATTGGTCTGTAGTTTTCTTTCTTTGAAGTGTCTTTGTCTGGTTTAGGTATCAGGGTGATGTTGGCCTCGTAGAATGAATTTGGAAGTTCTCCCTCTTTTTCTATTTCCTGAAGTAGCTTGAAAAGTATTGGTATTAATTCCTCTTTAAAGGTTTTGTAAAACTCTGCTGTATACCCATCCGGTCCTGGGCTTTTCTTAGTTGGTAGTCTTTTGATGGTTTCTTCAATTTCCTCAATTGATATTGGTCTGTTTAGGTTGTCTATATCCTCCTGACTCAATCTGGGCAGATCATATGACTTCAGAAATTTATCTATGCCTTCACTATCTTCTAATTTATTGGAGTATAAAGATTCAAAATAATTTTTGATTATCTTCTGTATTTCTGAAGTGTCTGTTGCGATATTGCCTTTTTCATCCCGTATGCTAGTAATTTGAGTTCTCTCTCTTCTTCTCTTTGCTAGCATGGCTAAGGGTCTGTCGATTTTGTTTATTTTTTCAAAGAACCAACTTTTAGTTTTGTCAATTTTTTCAATTGTTTCTTTTGTTTCAATTTCATTAATTTCAGCTCTGATTTTAATTACTTCTTGCCTTCTACTTCTTTTGCTGTTGTTTTGCTCTTCTTTGTCTAGGATTTTGAGATGAAGTATGAGATCATTTATTTGTTGGTTTTTTCTTTTTTTAAGGAATGAACTCCAAGCAATGAATTTTCCTCTTAGAACTGCTTTCAATGTGTCCCATAGATTCCGATATGTTGTGTCTGTGTTTTCATTTATCTCTAAGAATTTTTTAATTTCCTCCTTGATGTCTTCTATAACCCATTGATCATTCAGTAACCTATTGTTCATTCTCCAAGTGATGTATGCTTTTTCCTTCCTTCTTTTATCGTTGATTTTCAGTTTCATTCCATTATGATCAGATAAGATGCATGGTATTATCTCTACTCCTTTATATTGTCTAAGAGTTGCCCTGTGACATAATATATGATCTATTTTTGAGAAGGATCCATGTGCTGCTGAGAAAAAAGTGTAACTGCTTGATGTTGGGTGGTATATTCTATATATGTCAATTAAGTCTAGGTTATTAATTGTGTTATTGAGTTCTATAGTTTCCTTATTCAACTTTTGTTTGGAATATCTGTCCAGTGGTGAGAGAGGTGTGTTGAAGTCTCCCATGATTATTGTATGGTGGTCTATTAGACTCTTGAACTTGAGAAGAGTTTGTTTGATGAACATAGCTGCACCATTGTTTGGGGCATATATAGTTATGATTGTTATGTCTTGTTGGTGTATGGTTCCCTTGAGCAGTATGTAGTGTCCCTCTTTATCCCTTTTGATTAACTTTGGCTTGAAATCTATTTTATTTGATATGAGTATGGACACTCCTGCTTGTTTCCGAAGTCCATATGAGTGATATGATTTTTCCCAACCTTTCACCTTCAGCCTATGTATGTCTTTTCCTATCAAATGCGTCTCCTGTAGGCAGCATATTGTTGGGTCTTGTTTTGTGATCCATTCTACTAGCCTGTGTCTCTTGATTGGTGAGTTTAAGCCATTAACATTTAGGGTTATTATTGAGATATGGGTTGGGATATATTTATTTATGTTACTAAACATGGTTTGTTTTCCTCTTTGATTATTTTCCCCCCCTTTACTGTCCTACCTCCCACTGTTGGTTTTCATTGTTATTTTCCATTTCCTCTTCCTATAATGTTTTGCCGAGGATGTTTTGAAGAGATGGTTTTCTAGCTGCAAATTCTTTTAACTTTTGTTTATCGTGGAAGGTTTTAATTTCATCTTCTATCCTGAAGCTTAATTTTGCTGGATACACAATTCTTGGTTGGAACACATTTTCTTTCAGTGTTTGAAATATGTTATTCCAGGATCTTCTAGCTTTCAGAGTCTGTGTTGAAAGATCAGCTGTTATCCTGATTGGCTTACCCCTAAATGTAATCTGCTTCCTTTCTCTTGTAGCTTTTAAAATTCTCTCCTTATTCTGTATGTTGGGCATCTTCATTATAATGTGTCTAGGTGTGGATCTCTTATGATTTTGTACATTCGGTGTCCTGTAGGCTTCTAGGATTTGGGATTCTGTCTCATTCTTCAAGTCTGGGAAGTTTTCTCGTATTATTTCATTGAATAGATTGCTCATTCCTTTGGTGTGGAGTTCTGTACCTTCCTGTATCCCAATGACTCTTAGGTTTGGTCTCTTGATGTTATCCCATATTTCTTGGATGTTCTGCTCATGGTTTCTTAACAGTCTTGCTGAGCTGTCTATGTTCTTTTCAAGTTGAAATACTTTGTCTTCATTGTCTGATGTTCTATCTTCTAAGTGTTCTACTCTGCTGGTAGTATTCTCCATTGAGTTTTTAAGTTGGTTTATTGCTTCCTGCATTTCTAGGATTTCTGTTTGTTTGTTTTTTATAACCTCTATCTCCCTGTAAAGTTGATCCTTTGCTTCCTGGATTTGTTTATGTAATTCATTGTCGAAGTGATCTTTCATTGTCTGATTTTGCTGTCTAATGTCTTCCTTGATACTCCAGATCATCTGAAGCATGTATATCCTGAATTCTTTATCTGACATTCCATCTGCTGCAGCTGTTACCTCTTCTAAAGTTGAGTTGACCTGCATTGCTTGTGGTCCTTTCTTTCCTTGTCTTTTCATACTGCTTGCGTTTCTTTCTGCTTGGTGAAACTGTTGTGTTTTTGAAATGTTTTTTTCCCCTTTATATTTATATTGCTCTTGTATAGCTGAAAAGTCTCCCTTGCAGGGTCGGGCGGCGGTCTGCCTACCTTGCAGGCACAGGCGGTGGCTCTGCTCTCTCCTTACTCCAATTGGAGTGTCGTGACTACCACGCCGGCAGGTCACTGGGCCTATTCCGGGCGCGGGCGGCGGCTCTGTTCTGCCCCACTCCAATTGGGGTGACGAGTGTACCACGCGGGAAGGCCACCAGGCCTGATCCGCCGGTCGGTTGCAAGTCTGCCTACCCTGCAGGCGCGGGCGGCGGCTCTGCTCTGCCCCCCCTCCAATTGGTGTGACTTGTCTACCACACCCACGGACCGCTGGGCCTGTTCCGGGCGCGGGCGAAGGCTCTGTTCCGTTCCTACTCCAATTGGGGTGACGTGCCTACTACCCCGGCCGGCCGCTGGGTCTGTTCCACTGGTCGGTCGCAGGTCTGCCTACCTTGCGGGCACGGGCGGCGTGTCTGCTCTGCCCCTACTCCAAATGGGGTGACGTGTCTGTCGCACCGGCAGGCCACTGGGCCTGTCCCGCTGGTCGGTCGCAGGTCTGCCCACCTTTCGGGCATGGGTGGCGGCTCTGCTCTGCCCCTACTCCAATTTTGGGTGTCGTGACTACCACGCCGGCAGGTCGCTGGGCCTGTTCCTGGCACGGGCGGTGACTCTGCTCTGCCCCTACTCCAATTGGGGTGACATGTATACCACGCCGGCAGGCTCCTGGGCCTGATCTGCCGGTCTGTCACAGGTCTGCCTACCTTGCAGGCGCGGGCGGCGGCTCTGCCCTGCCCCTCCTACCACGCCTGCGGACTGCTGGGCCTGATCTGCAGGTTGGTCGCAGGTCTGCTCACCCCGCGGGCACGGGTGGCGGTTCCGCTCCGCCCCCACTCCAATTGGGGTCACGTGACCACCACACCGGCGGGGCCTGATCCGGGCGCGGGCGAAGGTTCTGCTCTGCCCCTACTCCAGTTGGGGTGACGTGTATACCACGCTGGCAGGCCGCTGGGCCTGACCCGCCAGTCTGTCGCAGGTCTGCTTTCCTTGCAGATGTGGGCGGTGGCTCTGCCCTACCCCTCCTACCACGCCCGTGTACCACTGGGTCGCGGGTCTGCCCACCTTGCGGGCGCAGGTGGCGGCTTCGCTCCGCCCCCTCTCCAATTGGGGTCATGCGACCACCAGGCCAGCGAGCCGCTGGGCCTGCTCCGGGCACGGGCGGCAGCCCGGCTCCTCCCCTCTGGCTCGACGACAAATCGAGAGAGACTCGGGTGTCTGTGCCTCACCCTCCCTACCAGGAAACCAACTGTTTCTGTTGCCGCTGGTATTGATGAAGTTCTCTCCTCCACCGCTTTCTGATGACATCAGATCTCTGCCATGTTGGTATCCTATGCGAATGGCAGCATTTCGTTCCCTTTGCTGGGTAACCAAAGCAACGGGTGATTCCTGACCGGCCCTCAGCAGGACCCGGACCGAGAAGCAGTTTCCGCGGGCTCCTTAGCCCTGGGCCAGGGCAGCTCCGGGAGCCGGAACTCGGCCGCTCCGTGCTCGGTGTATGCTCTGATAAGAGCAGGCTCCAAGAAGCACTCAGGCACTGAGCCTGAGTAATCTGTCTGCAAGCCGCAGGCGAATGGCAGCCTGAAATTACCTGTTCTATGGCTGAATGAGCTGCGGTCAGTCGAAAACAGGGATGGTGATGTCAGCTCTCCAAGATGGTGTCCGCTGGCCTCCTCTGTGGTGTGACTGGTGTGGAGAACCGAAATGGACCGCTTCCTTCCCCCGTCTCGAACCCAGAATTCAGCACTGAGTACGGTGCTTGCACGGCTGGCAGAAACTGCAGCGCTGTATCCCTGCGCCGCAATCTCCTCATTTCCCAGCGCGCGCTGCAGACTCTAGCCGTGGGGCGATTTGCTGAATAAGCAGTGTTACCCTCCATGCGACAAATCTCTCGCATTTGAGTCCCCGTAGCCGATCCTCGTGTGATGGAAATCCTTCCTCCAGGTTCCGGAGCACCCCACTATTGCTGGAAATTCCTAACAAGATAGCCTTTAGCCGTCCTGACTCGTCATACTCCCACACAGTGACTCGGCACACGGGGGCAATGCACTCCCCTCGCCGCCATCTTCTTCCTCCCCCCTCATTATGTTACTCTTGCTATCTTAAATAGTTCTTTTCAACACAGAAGAGATAATCATTTGATATTTTGCTGAGTTTCATTTATAAGTATTAACTTTTCTGAGTAATTTAAAATATATAAGGAAAATTGGATGTAATCTTTATTCTTAAGGAAATCATACACTGGATGAGAAGTTAAGTCACATACATAACCAACTATAAAACATGGAAATGGGAAAAAAGGCCATAAGAATAGCACAGAGGCCTGACAAAGTTCAGAGGACAAGAGGGAGATGATTTATTTCTAGGGGAAAAATTTAGGAAGAAAGTATTTTCCAACTGGGCTTTGAGGATGGATGAACTTTTTATTGGTGATGGTATGGGTGTACACACTGCTTCTGAGGAGCTGAGTGTGATGGTGCACACCTGTAATCTCTGTGAGGCAGGAGGATTTGCAAGTTTAAGGACAGCCTATGCAACTTAATAAGACCCTATCTCAAAACAAAAATAAATTAAATTAAAAGAAAAAGAAAAAAAGACTGTTTCTGAGGAATTGGTAGCAGAAACACAGGTATGAAGGTAGAATAATGTAATGTATCTATTGCAAACAGTAAGGTTTTCTAGATTTTGAAGGAGTAAAACAGACCAAAAAAAATGTAGATTGGGGCAAAAAATGGAGGAGATAGCACTCCAAACTAAGGTTCCATTGTATTCATTAATTAAGATGGCATAACATTCAGCAAAATGGTTAAGAGAGTTCTCAAATAAAACTGCCTGAATTCTAATTCTGTTCCTACTACATCCTGCCTACATGACCTTGGGCAACTTAATTGACTGTCTCAGTTTCCTCATCCATAAAATAAGAGAACTGCCACAAAGATTAAGTGCCATAGTTTATGCAAAGCATGCTTAGCACACTATGTGTGCTCAGTAAATGTTGGGTCCTATTCTTGGTACTTATTAACTATGTGGAACTAGTAAAATTGGAACAAAAAAATTGACATAATCAAAAATATTCCAAAAAAGATTATTCTGACAGAACTATGCAAGACACTGCTGGCATAGAAACTATTAGAAAATTTTGAAAGAGGAAAGATCATGAACTAGCTAATTGCTGAACAGCATTTTGTATTTATTCTGGCAACTTTAATTGTTGCTGCTTGTGAGATGCTGGGAGATGCCCTCCAAATGAGAAGGTTCTGCAGGAGCAGCAAGAATGACCTTAGCCTTGGGAGAGAGGTCAGGGTACATGCCAAGATGTGGGAGCCCTCAGGATACAGGAACCCTGGGAAGAGTTGAAGGGAGTAAGCAAGAGCATTCTTTGTGGGATGAAGAAACCTGGAACATCCTGGTCCCTCAAAAACATATGCTCAAAATTGACTGAGGGGTGAACTCTGGGCTAATGTGTCCACCTCACCTTTTGTTGCACTGTATCCATGTGTCTTTGTCTTTCCCACAGTTTCCCTTCTCAGTCCCCTCGATGTTCAGTTTCTCATAGCAGTATTTGTCTGATGCTGTCACCTCTGAAGCAGAACAGAATTTTCTATCAGTGAGGGAGGCAACATATGAGCTGTTCAAAATGTTTGCAGTGAAGGAAAACTGAAAGTTAAAGACTCTTCAGTGTTGTCACACTATAATCAAAAACTGTACCCATGGCCTACAAGACTTCTCCTATATCAGACATCCTTGGTTCAGGTGCATTTTTCATGAATGCTCATTTGAAATTTGGGAAACAAATATACTTAGATATCTAATGGGATTTAGGCTTAAGACTACAAGAACACTCTTTAGGATATGGCTAATAATTACAGGACAACGCTACCAAATGTTTGCTTGAATAAATTCTTGATGCTGTAATCTCCTTGCCAAATATAATGCATGAATTCTCACTCAGAAAACTGTTCATCAAAAAGTCAATTTTACTAAAATTGACTATAATTAGATTCAAGAAACAGCAGTCCAATTTCTACTATGCTTACTCATTATTAACAGCCATCAGGGAAAAAAATCTCAGTTTATTGCTTTTAGGTGAGACTGAATTCATACAAAATCTGAGAGTCAAATATCATTTTAAAGTATGTCAGCATTTTTTGTCAAGTTTGTATCTTTTCTAAAACAAGGGTGAGTTGATGAAGTTATCTGAATTAGAGAAATATGACTTGAAAACTAATCAAAAGATAACTCATTGGTACAAGTTGAGCATCCATAATCCAAAAATCTAAAATCTAAAATGCTAAGCAAGTGGTCTAGCACTGGGCTACATCCCAAACTTCCCTAGATTCTGAATCTTTTTGAGTGCCAACATGATACAACAAGTGGAAAAGTTCACCCTGATCTCTGTCACAAGTCATAGTCAAAATACAAGTATATGTCATACACATACTATATAATACAACAAAGGCACATAGTAAATAAAATTACCTTCAGGTTATATGCAGAAGGGGCATATGAAACATAAATGAATTTTGTGTTTAGACGTGGGTCTCATTCCCTAGATATTTCACTATCTACATGCAAACATTACTAAACTGGAAAAACATTTAAAATCTGAAACACTTCTGGTAATAAGAATTTCAGATAAGGGATACTCAACTTTATATACTAAACAACAAATAATTATGTAGGTAGTTTCTTTTCCTACTTTTCATTGTCATCTACTATTTTTGCTGAAGTGGAGGAAACAAAGTGTATCTCTTTGCTTAAAGTATAAACTTGCATGACAAAATTTCTTCCCATCTCAGTGAATCAGTAACTCAAAAGAGCATACATTTCCCCTCTTAATAGGACTGTAGTGACTACCTATTACATCTAACAATGCTCATTATTTTTATAGCTTTTTTTTTTCCGGATGCAAATTACCTTCTGAAAGAGTTTACAACAAAAATTGCTTCCAAAAGTATGGGTCAGTAACACTTCTAGAAAAAGTATATATACAACATTAAATATAAATTTAATTACAGTATAACTTAAATAATATAAAAATATAATTGTTATATATTTTCCTCTGAAACTGACAAATGTTGAAGAGATTAATGATAAAACGTCTTTCTGATACATAAGAGCAACCTCAGCAGAAGGTCACCTGTAACTAGGAAAACCAGCTAGAGCTTAAGAAATATAATTAAGGAAGAAGAAGCAACTCTAGCCAAAATGTTTAGTGCTTTCATTTTAAAAATCACATCTGATAATACACCTGGTCCCTTGAAGCCAACTATATGTAAAAACAGACGAATAAGAGAATGTGAGAGGAAATACAACAACGGGTGTACTTTCCCCAAGGTTCTAAGTCAAGGATGGCCTATCCAGGATCCATGGCCATCCCATATGGTTATACAAGTTTTATTAGGGCACTCCACTGAGGAGCTGAAATCAAGGTCTGTTCTATTCTCCAAGCTGTGCGCCCTGGCATCTCTTCGCCTGCCTGGCAGCAAAAGCACCTTCTGTCTCTGTCTCTTCCACAGGCGCTGCCAGCTAGCCAGGAAGTGTGCAGTCATGTCTTCTCAAAGGAGGTGTCTTTCTCTAATTTCCAGAAACGTGCCCACGCTAACACCTGTCATAGCTTTGAATGTCCCCCAGTCATAAAGTAAAAAAAATTTGCTTCCAACCCACATGTCCCTATAAAGTCTTCCTGACATCCTACATTAAAAATGATCAACCCTTATAATTATTATGCACCAATAAAAATATTTTTGAAATAATTATCAAGCCACACTGATTACTTACTTTGTCCCCAGATATATTTGCATTGTCTATCCCTGGTTTTACATCTTCCTCCAAAGCAAATTCCCTAAAATGGAAAAGCAAATACCCATTAGCAATGCAATGTCTGTTTATGTCAGAAAACTGACAGAAAAGGAAATACGACTAGGAAAAACAGCAAATAGGTATTATAAAGCCCTTTTATCTTCAGAATTGATTATGAAACTTTTTAAATGATATTCCTATTTTGACAATATCTCAGTATTTCTTTCATGTTGGTGCCACATGAAAAATTTAGATAAAAGTGAAAATGGCCTACCTGAGTACCATCACATGAATATCCATCCATCTTATGAATATTAGGGGCACACTAGGAAAAGAGAACAAACTATGAACCAAACACAGAGCAAAATATCAGGCTGAGCTAATCAGTTTAGTGTTTGCATTTTAAAAATCACATTTGATAATACATTTGGTCCCTTGAAACATCTATATACAAAAATAGAAGAATAAGAGAATGCAAGAGAAAATACAACAACTGGTACACTTTCTCCTAAAAATGGGATTCTATGATAGGCAAATACAGTTGATTACATAGAAGCAAATAGAAATAACTGACTGCGGTAGGCTCAGTGAATGACATATTAAGAGATATGTTTCATACAGATCACTATTCCTCCGAGCAAGAAAAGAAAGAACATAAAGCAAAAAATAGCCCAACTTGTTTCCCCTCTTCTGCCATGAGAAGCAATGCGGACCCTTCGCTTCAGGCAATAACTTTCAACTAGAAGTCTGCTTCTAGAATTAATGCTAAAAAAGACATGGCTTATATATTATATTTAATACTTAAATTAATAAAAATAATATTAAATTATTTTACAATTAATTCATTATATTTTCTTGAAGCAACTAGAAAATTATAGAGCATTTTGTCAGGCTATAAACAAACAGTAATTTTAAAATGTATTACTACAATGATAGAAAAATGTCTAATTACATAGTAATTTGGGAAAAAATTGGAAAATGTGAAAAAAGGAGGAAAAAAAAGAGAGGTCCATCACATTTCACCATTCAAAATTGCTATTTTTTATATTTTAGTATAATTTATCTCTATCTTTTTCTATAAAAATTGATTTTTAAACATAAGATGGTCAAATTATAGATAATAATTTTTTAATTTTTTTTTAGTTGTAGATGGACACGATAGCTTTATTTATTTTTTGTGGTGCTGAAGATCAAACCCAGTGCCTCACAGGTGCCAGGCAGATGCTCTACCACTGAGCCATAATCCCAGCTCAAATTATAGATAATATTTTACATTTTGCTTCTTTGCTTTATTTTTGTCATATAAACTTCCTGTCAAAGTGAACTTTTTTATAGCTACCGTCTTTAATAAACATAATGCATTGCTTTAAGCTAACAATGTAATACAATGATCACTTATAGTTATATCCAATTAATTTTGACAGTTAAAACTAATGCAAAAGAGCATTTTTGTACAGACATCATTTTTAGACTTTTGATTCTTTTAAAATTTATGCTTTTTATTTAATCACAATGTTTATATATATATATGCCATGCTGATAATTATTTATTCATTGAGTCATCATCATCATTAAGTATTAACTTAGAAAACCCCACTGATTAGAAAGAATGGAACAATACTTTTATATAGAGATCTTTAATCTCTTTGTATGATTCCTTTAAAATAAATCATTTTTAATGGTTAATGTAAGTTTACCACTATGATATCTTCTTATCTGGAGAAAAAATAAATGTGGGCAGTCTTGACTCAACTATACATAAATTTCAGTTTCTCTGTTTTTGTCCCCCAATCAACCTCCCACACAACATGGTTTCAATTTCAGTTATCACACCATATTAATGTGAGTAATTGCATAAAACACAAACTTTGCTATTAGCTCTTCAGTCAGCTGGTCACTGTGCAAATAACAGATATCCATCATGACCAGTGACCCATCCTGTCTCTTCTTTTAAATCTCTATCAGTGATTGTCACTGACCATCTGCTTGTTCAATTCACAGACAGCAAAGTGTGTAGTTGTGCTGTCTCTTTGACTTAGTAATATCATGTGGCATTTGAAAAAATGGATCATCAAAAGAGGGAATTGGCCAACAAAGATGAAAATATAGCCAAGAAATGAAAGAAATGACACCAGAAGTGAAATTCAAATTGAATGTAAATGGAATTACAGAAAAAAAAAACCCCAGCTAACTGTGGGGATGACTATTGCTCAGGAGATTCTAGATATGCAGCCTGAGAAACCTAGTGAAGGAACTCACTGGCATAAATGAAGTGGGCACGACCTAACAGGTGAAGAAGTGACGCTGACAAGACACTCAATATGCATGGCTTCACATCCCTCAAGAGATATTTAATTATATTGAAAGCACAGAGGGTAAGACATTGAAAGCAGATTCAAACTTAGAAAGTTCTGAGTATGACAAGATACAGAATAATGCTTACTCTGTATCGTAAAATTCACAAGGAGCAGCAGCAGGCACAGTTCAAACTACACCTCATGAGTTTTGTATAAAGAAATATAATACTTTAATTCTCAATGTTTCTGTTTTAATTTACAGTATGCTATATAAACACCAGTTAATATTTTTCATTTCCCTGTGCATTTAACACTATCAGTAAGAGAGTTTTGCCAGAATCTTTTTAAAGATGACAGAACAACTGTATTTTCCATTAATCCTTACAACTGTGTTGCATGGTTTCAATTTGCATGGTCATTTTTACAGTTCAGCATAATTGTGCAAAGTGAGAACTGTTCATTTTTAAATCTGTGAACCTGCATCACAGATTGCAATTTCCCCAGCATGTCTATCTACAAATAAACACTATTAAATTCAAGGATAACTGTTAATGTTGGAGGTGATGTACTATATCAGAAATGTAAGAGATAAGAGAGAAAAAAGGGTCTCCTCTCAGAACCCAGTGCTCTAGGGATCTCTCTGCCTCAGCTGGCTCCTTTTTCAGTCAGCTGAAGAGAGGGCCTTTTGTTTTTTTCTTTCCTAGACAGATAAAAAGAAAATGCCATTCACTCCCTGCTTAATATAAAAAACAAAATACTTAAGGCAGCATATCGTCTTAGGTGAATTCAACATTAAAACAAGATTATGCTGACCATCTGCTCAAGATTTGATTACTAAAACTTAAATTTCTAAAAAATTAAAAAGAAAGTGAGAGGAGATATGAAAGAGACACGCATTTTGTCCATGTACATTTCTCCTAAGGGTCGAGTGCACTAAAGATACCCCTATTTTTTCCACTATGGTTTAGAGTAATTATTTTGCAGATTACCTGGCTTGAATTTCCTGAGCATGTTTCAGAAATATCACAATCGTTCACTGCTTCTCGGCACACAGTCCCCATAGGCTGAAACTAAAATGAACAAAAATCGATGTGAAAGACTAGAAGGAACAAAAGCTCTCACAGTATCATCTTTAAAAAGCAAAATGAAAAATGTTTGGATAGGAATACCTTTAGCTATTTTAAAATCATAGTGTGTGAAAATTGCAGTTATTGAACAAAATGCTTTTTTAATAGTTTTAAGTAACAGTTTCTTGTATATGAAGTAACTTCCACATTCATCACACGTAAGTCTCATAATATCTTGTTAAAATGCTAAAATTGGACAAGGCTTGATGGTATGTCTCCACAAGAATGCTTGGCTTGTCCAAGCTCTTGTAATCTTTCTTGCAAGGAGGTTTTAAGCTTTTTAGGCTTTATCCTTCTTTCTTATTCACACCTTTATCACATAACTTTTTATTTTTATTTTTTGGTCTCTCTTATCTGCCAAGATTGGAAAAGCTACATTTGGGGCTGAATCACAAAAGTTAGGTTTTCTGGCAAAGCCATATCCTCTCTTCCCTTCTTTTCCAGTGCCTCATTATGCAAAGATTTAAATCTTGGTTATTTACTTGTTCTTAATGTTCCTATTATTGGTGCCTATGGATCGGAATCTGGAGTTCAAGGGCTTGTTGGTTGGTTGGTTGTTGTTTTTTTGTTTGTTTGTTTGTTTTGGGTTTTTTTTTTTCAATCAGTGGAAATACTTCTTGGAAGTATGCATTTGAATAAATAAATGTTTAACCCCATTGGATTTACAAAGTGCAGGAATACTCATGGTAACAAAATTGAGCAGAAATAAATAAAGCTATACTTCTCCTTTCCTCTCCAATGCCTCTCTTTTCCCTCTCTAAAACACTGACATTTGGGGCTGGATTCTTCTGTGCTTTGCTCTTTGTTTGTACAAACAAACTTCTTATCAGGCTTCCCTGACTTCTGTGCAAACCACACTTTCTTCCCTCATTCAGAACCCTCCTGGCACTTGAGTCTCCTCTGCTTCTAGATCATGTGCAGCCCACCAGCTCCAATCAGGATTTTAAAAGATAGTTTTAGATGACTCAAACAAAATTTGTGCTCAATTCAACAAGGATTTACTAAGCACTTAAGATGTGCCAGGCACTGTTATCGTTGCTGGAGATTCAGTGGAATACAAAACACAAAAACTCTGCTCACAAAAACCCTGCATTTTAGTGGGGGTAAATGGGTCATAAAAATAAGGAAATGAGCAAAATAATTTAATTTTATATGTCTGATTCTCTTCTTTCTCAAAATTGGGGCAAGCCAATTAGAAAGCAGAAATATGTGCAGATGTGTGGTACAGTTTAGATGAGACTATAAACATTCAAGAATTTCCAAGAAACTTTAGAAAAAAAAGCACAGTAAAGGAAGATTTGCTCTAAGTGCTGGGATACAGCAGTAAATAAATCAACCAAAATTCCTGCTGTACTAGAGCTTACAATGGGAGGAGGGAAATAATAACCAAGTAAGCAAGACCTATCTTTCTGCAGAGGTCCACAAATTATGGCCTAAAGGCCAAATTGGCTGACTACCTAACCTTACAAATAAGTCTTACTGGAATACAGCCACACACATTATTTCTGCATTTTCAATGGCTGCTTTCAAAGGCAGAGCTGAGTAATTGTGATGCTTTATGAAAACCTATTTACTATATAGTCCTTGATAGGAACTGTTTGCCAACCCTCAGCTTACACATTATTTTATATAAGTTATATACATTATAATATACACACACACATATATATTATAATGTATAATATATGTGTATATATATGTGTATATATATATATATATATATATATATATATATATATATAGAGAGAGAGAGAGAGAGAGAGAGAGAAAAGATATATACAACTTCTCATCTTGATCCTCTCTTCCCCCTCCTCCATTTACTATCCTGCCTCTGGATCCCCAGGGTAGGGTGAAGGGAGTTTTGGGGTAGAGAAAGTGGCAAGAATGATTTCACTCGACTGGTATACTATATTGTAGTATAGTAATTAATTGTGTCATTATATTTTAGGTAGGTTATTATTCTATACTTGTTCCTTGTAATGAGTCTATCACAAAGAGCCTCATTCTGTATGCCAAAGGGGGAAAAAAGATACAATTACACGTATTTAACAGATGGGCAGACATTTATTTAATCAAAGATTAAAATAAATGATTCAGGATCCCTTGTTATAGCAGTTGGAGGAGCTGACAGAGCAAGCAATTGTGGTCGCCAAAATGAAAGAATGTCTGTTTCACATTTGGTTGAATCTTCCTTTTTTAGAGATTGCTTTCAGAGATCTCTGCCAGTGCCGTGCTTGTCTTAAAAAGCTGCCAGAAGACACAGCAGTGCCGTGGGAACAACAGAAACTGCTGCCAGCAGATGTGGGATGGAAGGGCTGCCAGCAGATCTGGATGTGATTGCTTATCCCTTCCTTACGAGCTGAGTGGGCCCCTGCAGGTGACTTAACTTCCTTGGAACTTGGATTGCTCGATTATAAAGATCAGGATAATAATGCCTATCCCCAAAGTGTGCTTGTGTGCATTCTCTAAGACACTAGTCTCAACCAGGGGTGATTATGTCCCCAAGGGTATATTTGGCAATGTCTGGAGACATTCTTAGTTGTCATTCTTGGGAAGATTGCTTCTCACATCTAATGGGTAGAACCTCAGGATGCTGCTAAACATCCTGCAATGCACAAGACACACTCTCACAACAAAGATTTATCCAGCCAAGGATGTCAATGATACCAGAGTAGAGAAATTCAGATGTAGGGTGATAATAAATTCAAAGTACTTAACACAATCTCTGGCACACAGTGGAGACTTACTGTGATAGCTTTATATCTCACCTTCCTTTAACTCATTAAAGATATTCAATCTGCAAATAATCACAAAGAGAGTGCTGTGCCTATTTATTTATTTGTTCAACAAATATTTATTAAGAACCTATAACAACAATGGTGTAAATGCTTGGCTCTGCTCCAAAAATGTACAAACTGGAGACAGATATTAAACCTCAGACATAATACAGAATATTATATCAGATATCATATGAGATAAGAAAAAATAATTTCATTTCTTTGGGAAAAGCAAGCCCCAAATTGTGGGTCTTGATGTAAAGAATTAAATACTTAGAGACAGGGATGAGGATGATATTGGGAAGACGAACTCAGACAAAGTGTATAAAAATGCATTCTCAATTTCCATGTACAATAAACTACGTAAGGTATTATCATGCCTGAAGTATTCCTTTCACTCCCTCAACAGCTAATGCAAGAGATATAGCTGGGCACAGTAATGCACATCTATAATCCCAGCTATTCAGGAGGATAAGGCAGGCAGATCATGAGTTAGAAGACAGCCTAGGCAACTTAGGGAATTCCTGTCTCAAAATAAAAAACAAAAAGGGTACAGCACCACTGGGTTTAATCCTCAGTGCTCCCCATAAAAACATGAGGAGGAGGAGGAAGAAGAACAGGAAAAGGAAGAAGACAAAGGAGAGGAGGAAGAGGAAAAGAAGTAGGAGTGGAGACGGAAGAAAATAAGAGGAGGGAGGAAGAGTGGGAAAAGGAGGAGGAGGAGGAGGAAAGATATATCTGAGTGAGAAGAAAAGGAGGATCTCTTGAATGCCTACTTGGCTTTCCAAAGAAATGTAGGCATATTCAAAGATAAGTAACACCTAGTTTCATTTACTGTCCCTGCTCCTCAGGGAGGTTGTAGAGAGAACAGCCTTGGGATGAGCATGTTCAGCAAGAACCCTGACTTACTTGGTGTCAGACCTTGGGAAAACTACCATTAGAAGGGAAAGATGTTTACTACACCTCACAAGATTCTATGAGGGTCCTGTAAGCATCTGGCATTTAGTCATTAACTATGTGTTAGATAGTGTGATTATTAGGTACGATTTACCCAGCCTTAGCAATTAATCACATGTGTCCTTCCTTCTGTCCATTCGTCATTAAGCAGCATTCATTACCTTGCACTTTTTACAACAGAGACCATCACTGCATTGAGAGTCCTGAGTCAAGGTGCATTTCTTACAACACTCTGCTCCTTCAAGGACACATTCCTAAGGAACATAAACATTTGCCAAACATCAGAAAACAACATCATTTCCTAAAAAGTAGCAGCATATTTCCTAAAATAAATATAAAATCTCACAATAATCTCTCATCCACAAATACTATACAATTTCTAGGCATAATACTTGCTCTGTTAAGTCTCAATGTGTGTGGACCAGGAACAACCCTGAGTCACTTGCAAACCATCTTCAAAAGCACCAGAGACTTACTGTAGGGGTTCCACAGTCACACTCTTCTCCAGTTTCAATGAAGCCATTGCCACACTCAGGAGGGTCGAGCAGCTATGGAAGGAAAACAAAAAAAGGGAACTAAAACATAGAAAAGTCAACAGCAAAGACTTCGAGAGACCTGAGCACTACACCCACACCTCTGCATACCTGCCAGTCATCCCAAATATATATTTATTTAGCTAAACTAGAAAGCATGGTTTTTTACAACTTATAACTTTAGAAGTGTCTCCTCCTGTTTCCATTTCATATTTAATATGTGTATATACTTTACAAATATTTATATAACATACATACCAAGTAGCATCTGGTAAAAGTCACCAAAATAAAAGATGATCTAGTCATTGACTAAAACTAAGACTGACTGACCCCTGAAATTCCATTGCAGTCAGGAAGTAAGGGGTTTGGAGTCAGAACATCTGTCATATTGGCACATGGCTGGAGAATAGCTCAGTGGTAGCACATAATGCCTGGCACAAATCAGGCCCTGGGTTCAGTCCCCAGGATCAAAATAAAATGAAATAAAAGCTTGGAACAATTACTTAACATCTCAGAGACTTTACTATGTTAAACAGGAATAATAATATTTGTGGGGAGCTGCTATGAATGATTCACATCTTCCATCCTGGAGCAGAGATGCTTTGACCGTCACTACATCTTGTAGTGACCTGGACATTGCCCCGGTCCCAGAAGTTGAGGGCACCTCTTAAGAGGTAGGCAAGACACCCCATGGCCCCTTGGGTGGAATTACACTCACCTGTCCTTTGTAACCCTGCTCCTTCTGAACTTTTTTGGATAGAACTTTCTAAGAATAAGGTTCTCCCCAATAAAAGCCCATTTCCGTGTCACGCTCTCTCTGGCTAGCCTCTGGTGACTTTCTCTTGCTTTCCCATTTGGAGAGCCTGAAGCCGAGAGCGGAGAAGCTGTCCTGAAGCTTGCTTAAAGGTAAAGTGTGTGTCTATGGTTTATTTGGTGTCCCTGGAAATTCACAGGAACGACCTTAAGTTCAGCTGCCTACACGGGTTGGGGGCAGCAAATATTAACTGTTCATCAAATTAATCAGCTGTCCAAAAGTTTTCTGAAAATAAAATTTAATCATCTGAAAAGCCCTTTATTAATCATCTTTTTCTCCAAGTTACTTCATCAACAACAAGAAAAGTATCACAAAGTTAATATACCCACTGAACTATTCAATATAAAATATAGCTCCTACTATTAGTATATAGCTTTGCAGAGAAAAGCAATAATAATTTGCCTCAGATATTAAAGCAACTTTTGGACTATCTAGGAGTACGTTTTAGGTCAGTTTTATTTTTTAACTCTCTATCAATTTTATTACCTTTCAAATACAATTTATCCTATGGTGATAGGCAGTTGGTAAATAATGACTAATTACTATTAGCTAGGAACATAATATTCATTAAAAAGTTAACTAAAGTTGCCAGGCAAAGGGGCACCTGCCTGTAATCCCAGCAACTCAGAAGACGGAGGCAGGAGAATCACAAATTGAAGACCAGCCTTAACAACTTAGGGAAACCAGTCTCAAAATTTAAAAAGGGTTTGGGGATATTGTTTGGTGGTAAAGTGTTTTCCTAGCATGCACAAGGCCCTGGATTCAATCCCCAGTACTGAAGAGAAAAAGCAAAAAGGGCTGGGAATGTGGCTCAGTGGTAGAGTACCCCTCGATTCAATCCCATACCACAAAAAAGAAAAGGTTAATCAAGGTGTTCAGACTATAAAATGGAAGTGTACACACAACTGTCAACACACACACACACACACACACAAACTAACTAGAATAAAAACTCAAAGCAAGATAAAGAAAACATAAAAAAAAAAATGAACTCATTTCTGCTGTTATCAGAATAGGCCAAAATGCCCAATATTAAAGTTGATTTTGAAAATATAGACAGACATTTTAGCATATCTAGATACGTACATCTAGGCCAAATTGAAAAGCTCTCTTTTATACACCCAAGGGCTAAACTAATGTTGTGTATGAGCATGTAGAAAGATTAATCATTAACATCTCTGCTCACATTATTACCTTGGAAGGCTTGTTGAACAGGCAGGCGCCACCCCCACTGTTCAGGAAGTCATGATACTCTTCAATGTTACACTGGGTGAACTTTTTAGGAAGATAATAGCTGTGGGAGAGAAGAAAATCAATAATGGGATGCAATGTGAGTCTCCCTTGCTTGTTCATTAGTCTTAAAATTGAACATTGTTAAAATTATACATTATTCTTTCAAGATGAAAGAATAAATTCCTCTTAGGTACAACATTTTTATTCAACCTACAAGAATTTTTATTCAACCAGTATATTTCTAAATTCTTCATTCAGTCACTAATGGTGACAAGATAGTAATGGTTCATTACTTGTATATGCAATCAAAGGAAACACATATAGCAGCAACTATAATTTAAATAAGAGAGAGTTAGAAAAAAATATTTCATAGTCTTAAATACTAAATCTGGGCTGGAATCCAAACAACAGAGAACTCTACAAAATAATTGACCTATAACTTATAAATGTGTCAGGTCATAAAAGTCAAAGACTGAGGAACTACTGCAGACTGAAGGAAGCTAAAAAGACATAAAAATAAATGTGATGCCTCACTCTGAATCCTTTACTATAAAAGACACTATTGACATATAGGCCATTCTTGAATGAGGGCTAAGACTCAGATGATTTTACTGGCTAGGTTGTAGGAGGATGTTCTTGTCATAGGAAATGTACCCTTAGTATCTGAGGGTAAGAGGGCACAGATTGGCAATTTATGATTCAAGGAACCAAAAGGATCTTTGTTATTCATCTTGCAACTTTTTTCAAGTTTCAAATTGTTTTAAAAAATTCATGCCAGAATAAAAAGTAATAAAGGGCAAAGAGAAAAAAGAAACCTGGTCAGACACCTTCAAAATGAGCACAAATGCCCTTAGATCTAGTAATTCAGCTTTTCAGAAAATTTTTCTTAAGAAATAACTTGCTATGTACACTAGGATATATAAACACAGATATTTGTGGTAGCATATAACATAAAAATAACCCAAATATTTAATAGTAGGAGAGCAATTAGCTGAACTGTGATATGTGGATAAAATAGAATAACATGAAATGAATTAATAATCATAGTAATAAAAAATAGTTAGACTCGGAAAAATGCTGACTATATAATGTTAAGTTAAAAAAAGTGAATAAACATTATATGACCAACAGGAACAAGATTTTATAAAACAACAATAAAAATGAAAAAAGAAGAATATGAGTTAAAATACACTAGCATTTTAATATCAACATGGTTATCATTGGAGAAAAAATAAGAATTTTATTTTCTATATTTCTCTAAAACTGTTTTGCTTTGATCTTTATGAAAGTGAAAAACTAAGATAATAATGAATGGTTTTTATAAAGTCTTTCCTGCTAGCCCGCAAGGACAGTGTCCATTTATAACCATACCTCTGTCTAGCACAGTGGTTAATGTTTCATACATTATACTGGAATTTATAATGATTATTTAGGCTAAACTCATTTTTTTTAAGTATTTCATGCCAAATTCTCCAAATAAAGCTGTCTTGGGTATAAGTTATCTAACTATTCTGTTTCTGTCCATGCTTTTTTCCTAATAAGACACAGACTTCATTCTTAATTTTAAAAGTTTCTTTCATATATTATTCCTTTTCTTCAATGCCTGCCTCATTAAGTTCTTATCACCTTCCCTACTAATCCATCCAACACATCCTGCCACAGTTATCAAATGTAAACAGAGCTATCTCCAAGTTCATTTTTCATTCAATTGGTCAAAACTTGAGAAAGTTCTCTACTACTGAAGTAAAAAGTCCAACTTTTAGGACTCTTAGAAGTCAAAGTCTAGTTCTACCTCTGCCCTGACAGGATGCCTACAGCTGCCACAGCCCAGCCCATCCTCCTCCACCCCTCACAGTGGGGAGCTCAGTCATTACCCGATAACTGGGGAGTTAGAAAATCATTCCTTTACAGGGAAGCTCTTTATATAAGGATACTTGAAGTGTATAAATTGCTCTTACCCTTTATCTTTGACACATACAACTTCTCATAACTTTCACACACAGTTCTGTATTCTTAACTGTACGAAATAGACATTAATTCCTCTACCATTATAATATAACCCTTCATGCATCTGAAGGCAAATATGTCTTTCCCCTATCTCTGCCCTCAAACTTCTGTTTTACAAGGTTGTATATCTATTATATTCCACCATTATTAAAATTTTAGTTTTTATATCTTAAATAGAAACTGATGGTATTCATTTCAACCATGGTTTCCAATATTTAGCAATATAGAGGAACTTCAGACAGCAAAAATGGAAGGGATATACTCATGGGAACTATACATCCATAATTAGTAATGTTGGGTGACACTTGGCATAGATCAAATTTATAGAGTCATATCAGATAATATTTTTATATAAAGGATTTTTCTCTGGCTTACATCTACTTAATGTAGGAAGAATTTCAATTCAAAGAGCTATACATATCTGAAGGTAATGATTTGATTTTTTTTTGGTTGGGGGGTAGGGGGCTGTACCAGGGATTGCACCCAGGGGCACTTAACCACTGAGCTGCATTCCCAGCCCTTTTTTATATATATATATTTTTAGAGACAGGTCTCGCTGAGTTGCTGAGGCTGACTTAGAACTCATGATCCTCCTGCCTCAGTCTCCTGAGCTGCAGGGATTACAGGTATGTGCCCTGTGCCCAGCACCATTTGATTTGGCTTAGTACTGTGCAGATTGTCTATAAAAGTTTTAATAATTAACCAGAACAATCAAATAAAAGATATTAAATAGCTTTTAAAGAACAGGAATCTCCACCATAACATTCAGTAATTGTTGGAAAATTATAACTGTATCACTTCTTATTATTAAATAAAATGTCCAAAGAAAAATTAAAAAAATTTTAAATACATGTTTGCATACACATTCCCTCCATCATTTATTTGACTTGTCCTGATAATTCAAAATTCAAATTTAATCAATAAATATTTTTTAAAATCAAGTTTGTACAAAGGATTATGGTGTACGGAATGAACTATAAATTAGTATGAAATGTAATTCCTTAAAAATGTGTAACTAAATGGTGAGAGGAAGCAGAAGAATGGACAGCATTAAGTTATAATGCAGGCATTAAAATTATAATAAACTTCAGATAGTTAAAAATGTGGTTAGAAAGAGAAAAGGATGAAAGATGTTACAGAGAACATATTCAGGAAACCAAAAGAAGCTGGAAGTTCATGAACAATTATGACAAGCAAATTCTCATAAAGCTAAAAATCTTTGTAGGATATGGTTAGTAAGTCAGAAAAGCTGAAAACCTATGTCCAATTATGGTAAGCAAATGGATCAGAATAGTAGGAGAAAATAAGATTTGAAATGAGGATAAAGATTGCAGGCATCTAACTAGCGATAAGAAATATGAATTTTATTCTTCAGAAAATAGAGACTCACAAAAGTTCTGAACAAGAGAATGGCATTTAATGAACAATGGCATTTAATGAACAGCATGGATTAATCTCACAAACAAGTAAGTTGCAGAAAAATACACACAGCATGCCGCCTCTTACAAATTGTAAATGTGAAGCAAGGCTATGTTTTAACACATACACAGTAAATGTATAAAGAAGGAACTGCGGATAATTTGAACCAAATCCAAGATGGCTAGAGACTAATAAGGACGAACACAAGGGAACTTTCCCATGTAGGCAATTTAACTTTTCTTTAAATGGGTGATACATGGATTCACTGTTTATTCTCTATATCTTTTTAGTATGATGGAAGTAGGGTTCAAAAGAAGAGAGACAAAGCCTGAAACCCGCCTAATGTTTGTAATGTTATTTGTCTATTAATAGCACAAGAAGATCCAGAATTTAAGGTAGGGCATTAGAGACTAAACTGGAATAAAAGGAAGGGTTGTAAAATTTATTTAGAAAGAATAAAATACAAGAAATGATGACTGATTGTGAGCAAAAGAAGGAGAGTATAAAAATTAAATCTTTCTGAAAAGAGGCAACTGTACACTTCTCTTTCCACCTCCTCTTTAAGTGACGTCACACTGTGGAACCACCAGTACTGACCTGAAATCAGCCACAGTGGGATTGTGTGCACCATGGAACTCTGGGAAAGTGACAAATCCATTCCACTTTCTTGTTTTTGTTTTTGAGAGTGAACTTACCAACACACTACTACTTATAACCCATTAAACTGAAAATGGAGATAATAAAAGGAAAGGCAACTTCATTGAGAACAATGTTGTTTCTCATTACACTTCTAGCTTAGATTCAAGGCTAACAAATTTTCTGAGGTTTACTAATTTAATTCACATCAGTTATTTTCTTAAATAAGGGACTATTCTGTGATAACATCATCTAATAGAGCCATTAAAAATATTCACTTCTGATTTTTCTCATAAATTCCTGGGTAATAATCGGTGCAATAATTTATTTAATGTTGTATTCCTAAGAGGATAAGAGCACAGCAAGTAAAGGAAAAGTGAGTTATTTCTAAATAGAAGTGGCTCACCCAGTGTCTCCCATTATGCATCCAGACCATGTGTCCTCACATTTGCACTCACCTAAAAAAATAAATACACATGTTTTTATAAAGTAAATGCAGCTGCATTCAAGTAATTTTTATTTTTAAAACAAACATTGTTCTCACATTATTTTAAAATACTTTTTTTAAAAGTATGTCTGCTTTCTGGATGTTACACTTGAGGTTTTCTATGTAATGCATGACAACAAAAATACACTTTGACCCTATCAAGATTATAAAATTTTTACTTAAAAATTTTCTTATAGCTAAACAAATGACCATATTTTTTAACAAGTCACTTACAATGACTTAAATGAAATAAAATCAAGTACCAATGAGATAGTGAGAAACTTTGAGGAATCAAGATAGGATGCCAGTTTCACAGATAATTGAGAGAATTATTACCATTTCATGTCCTGTTTTTTTGTTTTTGTTTTGTTTGACTAGGGATTGAACCCAGGGGCACTTTACCCTAAGCTATACCCAGCCTTTTTCATGTTAAGACAGGGTCTGTCTGGTAAGTTGCTTAAGGCCTCACTAAGTTGTTGACACTAGCCTCGAACTTGTGATCCTCCTGCCTTAGCCTCCCAAGACACTGGGACTACAGGGATGCACCATCACATATAACTTCTTGCCCACTTTTAAAAGCTTCTGTGCATACTGGCTAAGCAGAAGTGCCTCAGAATCAGGAATTCCTGGGTTTAAAGCTTGGTTTTCCACTTACATATGTATAATCCTGGAGACATTATTCTTTTTTGAATAAATGATGCAATCATTTCCTCTGTGAAATAGGGGTAAAAATGGCATCTTGAAGGACTCTTTTGAGAACTGAGTATAGATGTACATAATATGGCTTTCAGTCATCTGGTAAATAATGAGTACTCTATGAATGGCAGAAGTTATTATTATAATTTTCCCACCATATTTATATTATTTGTTACTAAAATAATAAAATGAATATGATTATAATCAACTTGTTACAACAAATACATATTTGACCATTAAAATAACTGGTGAAATAATTTTACCTACTTGCTAAATCTGGCATATTTACTATGTCTATATTTTACTACTCATGTCATAAGGTCTGATCTGACAAGAACATTCTAATTCTGTGGTCACATTTAGAGTTGTTTCAAATAAATCAAAATAAAACACTATGTCTGAAACTTATATGGCTAGGATTCCCAACTAGAGCATCCCAAAATGCCAAAATGAGCTTATTTTGCTCCTTATTAGGTTAAATTCAGCAGTGAATCTATTATCATTTGACTTTAAGTGTTTATCATACAAGGGGAGGTTTTCATCAAGAATGTAAATATAACCTTGCATTACTTTTGAGAATAGTATTTTGTGTCCTGGCTTATTTCTTACACTATCACCCACATACTTTTGATCAAGCAACTGAATTAAAGAATCTTATTCTACAAAATATGTAATCAATATTCTTTGAAATATAACTAAACTAGCCAGATTTAATAAATGTTAATATTCAGTCCTTTATCTTAAGAAATAAAACATGACAGAGTTTTAAAATATATATATAAACCACACATGTACTAAAACTTACCACTTGCTAATTTTCTTTTGTCTGAGATAATACCAATATTATGGGCTAATGATTGGGCAAGTGTAACTGCCATTAAATCAGTTTTCCCAAACTGAAAAACAAAAACAAAAATAAAAGATACATAAATACAATCTGGTTTTAAGATGAGCCAGAGAAAAATGTTGCAATATAATTAGAAATAAGTAGTTTCAAAGCATTTATTCAGCAGAGGCTAAACACCTTGTACCTAGCACTGAATGTCCGTATGGGATGAAACAGCAAGAAATAAATCCATATTTGATTAGATCTCATAGGAAAGACTAGAATTCTAAGAATCATAAACTCTTGAGTTTGGAAACTTTAATCTGAGTCCACATTTCACCCAGTAATGTTACTGAAAAATTTAGTACTTGCATATGATCAAGTAAGTCTTTTGAATAACACAAAATAAAAATAAATGTGTAAAAATTATTTGGAACTTGTTTGTTTTTAGGTGTCTATTTGACACTTGAAATTCCCCCCTCATGGAATAGAAAATAGTTTCAGAAAACAAACATAATGAGTAACAGAAAGTAGTCATGATCTCTGGCCTAAAGAAATTTAAGAACAACTAAGGAATTTTTTTTTCAATATGCAGCCTTCCAAAGATTGAGTTATTTTTCTTCTAGATCATTTCCATCAAATTAGTGTGTGTAGGGGGTAAAAGAAACCCTTTGGTAATGCTCCTCTATTTTTTTGTCTCCTAAAATTTGTCAAATAGTGAGGAAAAAAATATTTAGTTGCATTGTTAGGCAGCAATCCAATGCTTCGGGGAATTACTCAATTCTCTGGGAAATCATTCAATGATAAAGAGGGCCTTATTTCCAACAATGGGTAAAGTAGAAATTCTATGTACTTTTATTCTGTAAACTGCTTGATCTGGAAATTATTCTAAGTAGAACAGGAGCAGAATTATCAGGTATCGTCTTCTGTTATTTGCTTGTTCTATCCTTTGGTCATGTTGATCACTAATAAAACAATCTAACACCTGAAGCACACGGAACACCAAGAAATTATCTCTTAAGTATGAGGAAAACATTTTCAGCCATCATACCACTTTGTACTGTATAGATGTTCACACCTACTTCATTCACGCCTCCTCCTTTCAGCAACGAGCAAATCCCACCAATATAAGCAGCCCCGCTCCGGCTACTCTCAAATTGACTTCCCCTTTTAGAAAAGGAAATGAAAAATGCTTACTGCTCACAGTTCAAACATTATAGCACCTCTCATTATTAATTCACCACATAGTACATTTTCTCAATGCATACAAAATTTCTATATTATATGTTCCTGAAGTTAGGGAGGAAAGCAAAAACTGTACATATAGAACCAAAGAAAAAGGTTTCTGAGGGATGTTTTCCTACATGATCAATAAATATCTTCAATTGAAGAACAACTATTGAAAAAGAATTTCTGATATGATGCACTCTGAGAAGGATACAAAATCACTGCCCAAGATCAGATATTCCCACAATGGAAGCAGTCTATAAAGTAATGGGCTTACATTCTTTAAATGTGAGAAAGGCTAAGAAAATCTTTCTCAATGTCATGATCAAACATGATCTGTGATACTGGATGGGGAAAATGTAGCTATAAAGGAATTGCTGAGATACTTGGTGACGTTTGAATATAAACTATGGCATACATAGAAGTACTGCACCTATGTTAAATTTCATGGTTTTATTGATTTACTATAGTTATGTAAAGGCATGTCTTTCTTCTTAGACAATATTCACTGAAGTACTTAGTATAAAAGGCCAGTGGGTAGGCATTTCAGTATAAAAGGCCAGTGGGTAGGCATTTCCAACTTATTCTGAAAAAGTTCAAGAAAAAAAAAAAAATCAATGGATGAATGGAAGAAAGAAAGGGAGAAAGGAAAAAAATCACAAAATCAGTGGGATAAACATAAATAATTGATGAATCTAGGTAATGAACATGTGTAATTTCTTTGTAGTACTCTCACAAATTTTCTCTAAATTTGAAATTGTGTAAAAATTTAAGTTACCCCAAAACTATATCTTTCCTTCCAATTGTAGCTATCTTCAACAGCTCAGGCTTTAGATGATGGGTTCTTAAAATGCTACCATATATATATATATATATATATATATATATATATATATATTTTTTTTTGCTAGTACATCAAATATGTATATTATCAAAAAAAAAGAACACACAAGTTAGAAAAATTAAACTCCAGAAATTTGGTTATTTTTGGTTAACAATAAACCAAAAACAAAGATAACATTAACATTTAAAAGGCAGCAACCTTAGGGAATTTAATCTGTTGTTAAAAATACTGAGTATCAGCAGTATTTTTACCAGTGAAGGCTGTGATTAAATCTCTTGAAAAATTAAGTGAAATAAATATGCAGTGATAAAATAGCTCAAAACCAAATCACCTAAAATTTCACAATAATTAAAATAATCTATACTTTAAACCTTCTTCCAAGTATATTGCAATGTCACTCCTAATTGTAAAGGATACATCTCAGTCACAAGTAATACAACATTTAATATGGAACCATAAAAAAAGGAAGAAATCATTGCAAAAGTTACGTACGAAAAAAGGTGAACTGCATCACTTTTCTCTTTGATAAAATCCCTTCTGTATTTCATAAACTCACGTAGGGTGATCAATGGATTTTCAGATATGGCAAACTTGTTGTCAGCCGCCCAGGTTTCCATGGCAACCAATACTATCCTTGTCTTAAGTTGGTCTTTATATATCTAGTATATTAACAAAATGAACACACCAGCTATACATGCAGTAAAATCAAATGGTTTATGAACAGGGTACAGAGTTCTTTCATGGAAACTCCTTGAGTTTTAGTTACAAGTATAAAATGTTACTATTTTTAAGGGTGATAATTTTTCCTCAAATTTGCATGCATTTTACTTGAAACAGAGAATTGAATTATTTACCAGTAAATACCCAACATACAAAACAGGTTTTAGTAAACATAAGCTCCCTTTTTGACAAATACTTGCATCCAATTCAAGGTTTCCCTTGAGTCCATTTTTGGGTATCCTAGACAAGAGAATTTATGCATTCTTGAGTTCCCCTAACAAAAGAACAGAACAATGCAGATTCTCCAAGGAAACTATTGCTATACAAACAAACTGGCCCTGACTAAACCTATGGGGCAGTACTGGCCCTGGCACTGCCTTGTCAGGGACCACATGGAAGGTGGTCCTGTGGACTGACTCCGTGGCCTCATCACCACAGCACCAGGTACCATCAAAAAGGTACAACTAACGCTCTTCAAGAGGGCAGTTCATGTAGTCTCAGCACTCAGAGATGAGGTGGAATTATCACTTGAGACCAGGAATTCCAGCCCAGGCGACGTGGTGAAACTTGGTCCCTGTCCCACGCCCTACACCCCTATCCCCACCAAGAGGAGAAGAAAAAGTGGCCAATTTCTCCACCTTCAGAAGTACACACATCTTTGCTGGGGCGATGACTCATCCTTTGTCTTTCACAGAGTGAAAAACACAGGAAGGAATTTCAGGACAGGCCTATCTGTGGGTGATCTTGACCACTTCCTCTTTCCAGAAAGAGATCAAAGTCAATAAATTCCATTGCAAGGTCACCAGGGCCTTTTAGGACACCTTGGCTAAAGTGCAACTAGAGCAGTGAAAAGGTAAGAGCCATATTGTCCCTTCTATGAGCAACCGTGTATGAGCAAATCACCGTGATACTTACTATATCTGCCATGTTCACCACAGATTTGGCATAGGTGTTGGTATGCACAACAGAAAGGCGGTGCTTTTTAAACTGAAAGCAAAAGAAAAAAGTGATGGGCTTTCGAAGTCATCAGAAGTAATCATACTACAGGGACACAGCCACATCAATGTTTATAACAGCACAATTCACAATAGCTAAACTGTGGAGCCAACCTAGATGTGCTTCAGTGGATGAATGGATTAAAAAAAAAAGTGGCATATATACACAATGGAATTTTACTCAGCATTAAAAAAGAACAAAATCATGGCATTTTCAGGTAAATGGATGGCGCTGGAGAAGATAATGCTAAGTGAAGTCAGCCAATCCCAAAAAGCAAATACCAAATGTTTTCTCTGATATAGGGAGGTTGACTCATAGTGGGATAGGGAGGGAGAGCATGGGAGGAATAGATGAATTCAAGATAGGAAAGAGGGGTGGGAGGGAAAGAGGGGGTAGGGGAGTAACAAGGATGGTGGAATGTGATGGTCATCATCATACAAAGTACAAGTATGAAGACTTGAATTGGATGTCAACATACTTTATATACAAACAGAGATACAAAAAGTGTGGTATTTATGTGTATTAAGAATTGTAATGTAAAAAATAATAATAATAATGTTACCTTAGATTAGGTAGAGGGAAATGAAAGGAGGGGAAGGCAGGGGATGTGGGGATAAGAAAAATAGTAGAATGAAACAGACATTATTACCGTATATATGTATGTGACTGTATGACCACTGTGATTCTACAATATGTATACTCAGAAAAATGAGAAATTATATCCCATCTATGTATGATATATCAAAGTATATAAGTTCATTCTACTATCATGTATAACTAATTAAAACAAATTTTAAAAATGCGAACCAAAAAAAAAAAAAAGAAGAAGAAGTAATCACCAGAGAAAACAAGGTGTAACAGAAGATCCCTAAGACTTCCTGGAACAAACATCAGATCTGAGACCTAGTTCTTTATCTGCCCTGTAGCCTGAAGCCAATCTCTTAAAAGCTTGAGACCTCTATTTACTCATCCATGTGATAAAGTAAAAAATTCACCCACTGCATGCATTTCACAGGCTTTTTTGTTTGTTTCTTTTTACAGGACTATTATTCAAAACAATAACATGGAGGAGAGCTGTCTACAAATTGGAAGGCATACAAATCTGAGTAGGGATATGGCTAGAAAAAGTGACATGAACACTGCCCCAAGTATGAAAATTTACAAGTTGTACAAGACTTTTTCAGTAAGAAGTAAGCCCTAAGATAAAGGCTTTAAGGATATAGCTTACAGGCTAGTAAATCACACGTACGTTTTGTTTGGCCCCAATCATGTTTTAAAAATCAGGAAATAACATGGAAAAACCTGATTCTGGCTTCATTTAAAAGCAGCCTACCACGGTGATAACTGCAAGCAGCAAGAGGTATCGGCCCCCTCACAAACACTGGCTGCTACCCTCTCACCTCTCCTGGCTGTTTATTCCTGGGTCACTTCATTTACAGTATTCCTCCAGATACCGATGGATAACTGAGTTTGTAACTATTTAAAATGTTCAGATTGCATGGTCTTGCTGTTTATGCTTATTTTATAAAAATCCTAGGGAGGAGTAACATTCATTTTTAAATACAATGAACGAAAACAGGCCTAGTCTGAACAAGAGAACATTACTCAATCATGATTATTATTACTATTATTAGCAACAATAATAAAGAAGAATGTTAGTATATATGTAATCATATATAAATTGATCAAATTTTCCTTCAAATACATAAAGTAAATTAGAATGGACTTGTATCCAAAATTAAGTCCAATTCAATCCTGAATATTTGTAGTTTAAAACTATTTCCATGGAAAATTAGCATTATAACTTACTGCCATGCTAAGAATGCCACCATACTGCAATATGCCCATTAATTAAATACACACACTGAAATAATGTGACTCAACAAGAAGGAGGCTTTGCCAGACTCCTTGGGCTCTTGATGTGTGCTTTTTCCATGTGATTTTCTGCATGGCAAGGCAGATACAGGAAAATTGCTTTACTTTTATTATGAAGAAGTCGTACACTGCAAACTAAAGTGTCACATAATTGATGCCTCACTTTTTTTCACATAAAATGAAAATTTTTGCTTTTCGTAAGCCTTGTCACTTTAGAGATTCAAATATTAGTACCCATATTAGTCAATCAAATGCAAAGAGTTGACATTATGGGTCACAGAAATATTTTTGGAACCTCAAAAATTATTGCTAGTTACTTCTACCTAAGAGCATTTTCCACTTGTGGTTGACTGCTAGTTAATAAATACGTTTGGTTAGGTTAAAACCTCCCCCAGGACCAATAAAGTAGAGGAAGGCGATCAAGCAGAAGGGAGGAGGAGAGGGCATGGAGAAATAGCAGGGAACGAAATCTACCAAACTATGCTATGTCCATGTACAAATAAATACACCACGATGAATTCCACTTATATAAAGTATAATGCAGGAGGGGAGGGGAGGGGGGATAGTAGAGGATAGGAAAGGTAGCAGAATACAACAGTTACTAATAGGGTATTATGTAAAAATGTGGATGTGTAATTGATGTGATTCTGCAATCTGTATTTGGGTTAAAAATGGGAGTTCATAACCCACTTGAATCTAATGTATGAAATATGATATGTCAAGAGCTTTTTTGTAATGTTTTGAATAACCAATAAAAAAATTTAAAAAAAATAAAGTATAATGCATTAATTAAAATAATTATAACAGAAGTGAGATCTGTCAAGTACAGATCAGGAGGATAGAAGGGAGGGAAAGGGAAGGAACTGGGGAATTAGATTGATCAAATTAAATTATGTACAAGCACAAATGTGGTATAATAAATCTCACTACTATGTATAATTATAATGCACCAAAAAAAATAAGAAATACAATAAATTCTAAAAAAAAAAAAAAAGACCCTCTAGATTACAACTTGAGAGCTTTCTAAATTTCTCTTAAACAAATTTTTGCACCCTCCAGTTTTACCCAAGGCATGGACAAGTTAAAATAAACAAAAACAAATCCTACCATGAGGTGATCATTCACAATCATCAGTTCGATGTATTTGGTTTCCTCTTCTACGTTACGAGGATATCGAAGCTGCAATGCAGTAAAAGAAGCAAAACCCAAATAAGCCCTTCTAAACTTAGTTGTAAAAAACTAAGAAATACAGAAGAAGTCAAAAAAAAAAAAAAAAACATTCGCTTTTTATTCCTTCAGACTTTTAAAAAAAATTTTCATCAATTTACTTAGTTTTTGAGTAGGTAATAATAATACATTTGCATGACTCAGAACCTCAACAGAGTATAAAAAGACCAAGCATAAAAGTTCCCCATCTACCCAGTTCCTACTCCTTCTTCCACAATCAGTATTGGGAGTTACCAGCTTCTTCTAGAAAGATTTATACATAAAAGATTAATATGAATCTACTTTTTATTTTATACCTCCACTTACTTTACTCTCTTCTATATCAAGTTATTTTCATTTAACAGAACATCATGGAAACAGTAACATATGAACAGTAACATTAAATCTTTCTGATTTAATTTACTTTATTCTATAATCCCCAGATCTGGGACTGAGATTTGCCTCTCTCTCCTATATGGTTCAAGGGATCCCCCAAATGATAGAGGGGTTTTCCCAGAATAGCTTTTAGAGTTCTCAAGCAGTATCGATTATCTATAACAGCAGGATCTCTCTGCTCAACAAAAAAATTTTCTCTCCTTTCAAAATCCTGATCAATGACTGTGGCAGGGAAGAACCACTAAGATGGACATTCCCTTGGTTTTCTATAGTTTATCTATAATAAAATCTTTAACAAGACCTCTAAAATTAACTTTTTCCCTTACGCTACGGTTCAATACCCGTGGTTTTTTGGGGGTTTTTTTTATTTGTTTTTTAGCATATCTTTTTGTTCATTTGGCTAAGGGATATTTTTGTGATGAGGACATTTAATCAAACCCAAATCAGTACATGTATGTTGGTTTTGAGTGCTACATTTAAAACAAACTAAAAATATGTTGCCAAGCGGATTTCATTTCTTGCTAAATGCAACCTAAACATAAAATCTTTTTAAGAAAATCTCTTTTTGGTAGGGTGGAGGGTTAGGTACCTGGGATTGAATTCAGGGGCACAGGACTACTGAGCCACATCCTCAGCACTATTTTGTATTTTATTTAGAGACAGGGTCTCACTGGATTGCTTAGCACCTCACTTTTGCTTAGGCTGGCTTTGAACTCTGATCTTCTCAGCTTTTGAAGCGTCTGGGATTACAGGTGTGCACCACTCCACCCAGCTAAGAAATCTCTTATAACACGAGATTGACTGGGAATAACAGATTATATTTCTGAGACTGGAAACCAAAGAGTAAGATAAGTCTTTTTATAAGTGGATTATCAGGATGATAGGATCTGATTTGCCAACTATGTGGCTTACTAATTAATATAGTAGCACTTACCAATAAGACCCAACATTTTTTAATGTCACAGAGTTGCCATATTGGCTACATAATTTGATAGCCCCTTAACTTCATGGGTCTTTAAGAGAAATCAAGCGTTTACCTACTTAGCAAATGACTAGACGTTAAGATATTTATAAAGAACTTTAAGGTACATTCTTAAAGAACAGTATTGTACTCTCTCAATTCATAAATCATGAAAACAAATATAGTTTCAATTTAAAACCTGATGGTAAGTATTTTATCTAACTGATCCTCAAGATATATGTGTCTCTGTATCTGCACAACATCATGGTAGTAATGCATAGAACACACAGGCTTCTGAGAGGCAGTACACAGAGCATGTGTTTCTATGAACATCTCTGAGGCCAAACTTCCTAATAACAACTTCACTACTGAGTGACCTGGGCAAGTTTCCTCAGCATCTTGTGCTTCCTTATGCTTTTTAGTGAAATAGGAGTAATAATAACACCTTCCTCATAAAGTTGTTATGAGGATTAAATGTGTTACAACAGTTATAAATTATTACTATAGGGCCAGGCACATGGAAAGTATTCAATAAAATTTAGCAAATGTTATATATGTAAGAATCTGTTTATATACATAAATTATTATAATAAAAGGAAGATAACTGTATCCTTCAACTGCTTGATCTTAATAGGTCTCTATTCCTTTACCCTGTGTAGTTTTCTGTCACATAAACACATTCACACACCACCACCACCAGTGTGTGGATATGTTGATTCTGATGGCCAGAGTTCTTTTTTTGTCTAAATCATTTACAACTCAGTGATTCTGGGTCTTTTCCATATGTCATAGCCATCTTTCCTTTTTTTTTTTTTTTTTTCCTGTGAAAGGGCAATAATAGTACCTACTTCATATGATATAAAGCACTGTCTGAAGAGTTGTGATTATTATTACTCAGTCTAAGGTCTGGTTAAGCAATCATAAAGCTTATGTCCTAATTTTATATCTGGATGCCAAAGTAACTTAAGTGAGAAAAAAAGGCTTTATGCTCTCAGAACCCAATAGGTTTACTCTTACGGGGTTAGCTTCAAAGGGATAAATACAAGGATACCATTGAAGCAGCTTGCATGATGTGGTGCACATCTGGGCAGGGAAGAGGCCTTGTTAGGAAGAACCTGGGATGCTGCCAGCCGGGACCTGGTAGCTCATTTACCTGATGAAGAACTAAATTATCACCACTATTTTGAATCCTTTTTGAAACTATACAATAATATGGTCCATTTTTACTGTTTCTACACATCTGTCACCTGTACTGCCTACCTCACAATGAAAAATACCTGAAATAGTACTTGCCCTCTCACAAAGACCAAATGTGGATTCAAATGATAGGTTTAAAATATTATGACATACACCTATGAATACATACCTGCCGTTTACTCCTTTTTGGTCTTGGTTTCAAAATAAATTTTGGTGGAGTGATGTTTACTTGTTGGAATTCTAAAAGGAATAAAAATAAATTAAATTTAAAAGCACATTTGTCAAATTTCTTTAGTACAAAGCAAAGTTTCACTTGACTCTCTTATGAATTTTATAATAATGTTGCATTTAATGATTATGCAGAACATTAAACTAATTGTGTTCTATTAGTTCTAAATAAATATATAGTAAAAAAACACAATTCACAAAATCTCAAACATCATCTCTGTTCTAATTTATATTGATTATTTTCCCTGTTTCTCCTATAAACACCACCACATTCTTTATCAAGAATCTTCAAAAGCCAACTTGACCTTCACTTCTGTCACTAACATTCTAGGGAAAGCAAAATAAATTAAAGAAGAGAAACAATAAGAAGCAAGTAGAATAAATAATCACACATTCATAAGTTCATGACTTATTTAAAAATTATGATAGGCCACCAAGGTTTTCATTTTTTCCAATTCATTCACATTCTTCTTCACCCAGGGTTTGTTTGCTCTTGGGAGCAAATGTGAAAATCTGAACCTTTCTTAACTTGCAGGTCAGAATTAGACATCAATTATTTATGGACACAAATTCATCTCTGAATAGAAGATTAGGTTATTTGGGGCTGGAGTTTTAGCTTAGCGGTAGAGCGCTTGCATCGTATATGTGAGGCACTGTCTTTGATTCCCAGCACCACATATAAATAAGCAAATAAAATAAAGGTCCATCAACAACTAAAAAATATTTTTAAAAAAGAGATTACATTATTTGTATAGGATGATTTCCTACAAAGTAAAAATGCAATCATCCCCTGTGATACAGATTTCCTAAAACATTGATGGTTGATTGAACAACATGTAGCAGTCTGATGTGAGCTTCTTATGGGAGGAATGCTATATAAAGGTACAGGTAAACTATTATCATGACTCTTGAGTACTGTTTGTACAAACTGAGAAGTTCTCTGAAATCACAACACTGTCTCCAAGTATGTTAAAGTGTTTTTTTTACTTATCCTATGAGTGAATTATTTTATTTATTAAAAAGTCACTATTTTATCAAAAGAATTATGAAAGTTCTTTTTATATAAACTTGTGGCCAAGATTCATTTAAGTGAATTCATCTAGATTCCTTTCTCATTACCTTAACTGGATTGGCAGGCAATAAGTAATGAAATTGATTTCTGATTTTTTCTGAAATTTTTTATATTCATGAGATAGCAAAGCAATCCTGTCAAAAGGGAAGATAATCATGGTTGGAGAAATCTGAGATAGAATGATAAATAATGAAATCAGAGTAAGAAGATCAGGATCTTAGATATTTATTAGTTCATTTTCAATATGCTTCCATCATTCTGCTTATGAAAATGTTTGCCAGGATACACAAGAAATTTAGTGAGAAGAAGAGTAAGTTCTTTCACAATGAGCTAAGACACAGAAAAACAAGATGGCAGAATTAAACCAAATCATAATCAATAATTACACTAAGTGCAAATAGACCAAATGTTACAGCTAATTGGTTCAGATGATCAAAACTGTATAGTTTTAAAATGCAAGGCCTAACTACATGCTGAATATAGGAGATACACTTTAAATGTAGAGTACTGAAGAAAATATGTCTTGCATACTTTAATCACAGGAAAGCTCTTCTAGAAATATTACTATCAGATCATGTAATTTTTAAAAATATTTTTAGTTGTCAATGGATCTTTATTTTATTTATTTATATGTGGTGCTGAAAATCAAACCCAGTGCCCCATACATGCTAGGCAAGCACTCTACCACTACGCTACAACCCCAGCCCCCAGATCATGTAATTTTAGGGCAAAAAATATTATCAGGCAGAACAAGGAATATTTCATAATAATAAAATGATCAATTCATCAAAAAGATGCAACATTCCTACCAAAAACCATATGACTAAACTTTGAAGTGAGTTCTTCCAAGGCAAAACTTTAAAACTAATTGCTGACTCAGTTAACAGTTACACTACAAACCCATGAGAGATTGTGGGCCAGGGGCACCCGCTAAACCACACTCAGATCATTAACTCTCAGAAATGGTGAGATAATAAATGTAATTTATTGGTTAAAGACACTAAATTTTAGAATAATTCATCACACAGTAACAGATAACTAATGGAACCGCTGTACTAAAAATGAGCAACACTAAGATAAATTCTAAAAGTCCTAGGGGGTGTGGTAGCACACACCTGTAATCCCAACAATTCAGGAGGCTGAGGCAGGAGGATCACAAGTTCAAAGACAGCCTCTGAAATTTAGCCAGGCCCTAAGCTACTCATAGTGACACTTGTCTCAAAGAATAAAAAAGAGCTGGAAATGTGGCTTAGTGGTTAAGCACCCCTGGGTTTAACCCCCATTTCTCTCTCTCTCTCTCTGTCTCTCTCTCTCTCTCTCTCACACACACACACACACACACACACACAAAAGTTCTAAATTATTTTATTTCTTATGATTCAAAAGATCTGGGTGGGGCTGAGAGTTTGTGTTTTGATCTGTTTTGCTGGTACTGGGATTGAACCCAGGGCCTCAGGCATGCTAAGCATGTGTTTTACCACTGAGCCATATCCCCTAAGCCAACATCCTAAAAGCACAAGAAGATCTCCTATGCCCATGGATTAGAAGATTCAATTCTGATATCTGTTTTTCCACAATTAATCTATATGTTCAATTTTAATAAGAATCCCAGAGGATTTGCAAAAATTGAGAAGCTGGTTCTAAAATTGGAATGGAAATACAAAGGATTAGAAAAGCCAAAACATATTTGAAAAGAACAAAATTGCAGCATGTATGCTACATGATTTCAAAATACACCATAAAGACATAGTAAGAAAAAAGTGTGGTACGGGCAACCAAATAGAATGGAGTCAAGGAAAAGACTTATTATTAATAATTTTTGACAAAAACATCAAAGCAATTCAATGAAGATGATAAACTCTTTTCAACAAATAGTGTTATAATAACTGGATATCCATATTCAAATTTCAAAACAAAAATTCAACTCCTACCTTTCACTATGCACAAAAAGTAATTTGAAGAAGATCACATATCTGAATATAAAAATAAAACTATACAGTTTTTAGAAGAATATGTTGGAAGATATCTTGAAAACTTGTGGACAGAAGAAGACTTTGTAGAATAAAGAAAGTAATAATTGGGCTGGGGTTGTGGCTCAGCTCAGCGGTAGAGCACTTGCCTAGCATATTCAAGGCTCTGGATTCAATCCTCAGCACCACATAAAAATAAACAAAATAAAACTATATATTAAAAAAGAAAGCAATAATCATAAAAAATGATGATGGGTTTCATCAAAATCAAAACAACTGCTCATGACAAGATACCATTAGAAAAGTGAATGAACGAGCTATAGACTGGTAAAAATATAGTCATAAAATAAATCTAACAAAAGCCTTACATCCAAAATATGTAATTACTTCTTGGCCTTTCGACTAAGATCAAGGAGAGAATATGTAAGTACTCCTACAACCCAACAACAGAAAGAGAAAAATTCTTATTAATGTCTAGTAAGCATATAGATGTGACCAGACCCCGCCAAAAATGCAAATTCAAGTAATGTGAGATACCACTACACACAGTAGAATGGCTAAATGTAGACAACAACAGCACAGTGTTGGTCAAGATATAGAGCAATTAGAACTCTGATATAGTGTTGATGTGAGGGTAAAAGGGTTTAATCACTTTTGAAAAAGGTTTAGCAATTTCTCACAGAACAGAGTTCCAAAAGTAGGATCCCAGGATCAATAAAATCAGCATCATCTGAAATGCAAATTCCCAAAACCCACCCAAGATTGAAAACTCTCAAGATGAGAGTACCAAGTTAAAAACTCTCAAGATGAGTCCTGCAATCTGTGTCTACTCGGCCCTCCCCATGTTTATAATATATGCTAAAAATTGGAAATACTGTTATACAATTAATCCTATATCCTATGACCTAGCAATGTCATTCCCAGGTATTTTCTTGGAGAAATAAAACATATGTCTACAAAAAAGACTTGTATAAGAATAATCACAGTTGCTTATTTGTAATAGCTAAAAACTAGAAACAACCCAAATGTTCATAAAAATAATGGATAAAAAGTTGTGGTGTATTCATATAATAAAATATATTCAATAATTTTAAAGAATAAACTGTTACTTCTGACAACATAAATATCCTAGGCATATGCTGAGCAAAAGGTGCTGGACACAATATATGATTCCATCTATTTGAAGTTTACAAAATGGCAAAAATAGTCAGAAAAGTGATTGCAGAGGTGGAAGACACTGGGAAAGGCACTAAGAAGTTGCTGAGATAATAGAATTGCTCAGTATGTCAATGGGGGTGTATATCAAAACTCAAAGAGTAATACACAAGATTTGGGCATTTCGTTTTTTAAAAACTGCTAAGGAGTCCACAGGAAATAAAATCAGCTTTTCCCAAACTGTGTTCTTAAGAACACTAGTCCTCTGATATGTGCCACATAAAATAAAAAGTTCTAGAGTCAAACAAGTTTGGAGAAGACTTGATTATACTTTTATCTCTCAGGAACACATGATATAGAGCAAGACAAATGTGCTAAAATTCCATAACTGTTAAATTTCCTTCAACCTAAAATAAATAAGCTTATTTTGAGCTTATTCAACAAAAATTGCAATTTTAACATTAATTTACATCATCTTCTTCTAATTTATCATAGTAAATTATAAGTAATCTTGAAAGACCACTCTTAAAATTGACAGTGCCAATTTCCTTCATTTTGAGCAGGGGTGGGGGGTGGGACCAGGGATTGAACTCAGGGGAACTTGACCCTGAGCCACATCCTCAGCCTAATTTTATATTTTATTTAGAGACAGGGTCTCACTGAGTTGCTTAGCACCTCGCTTTTGCTGAGGTTGGCTTTGAACTCATGATCCTCCTGCCTCAGACCCCTAGGCCCCTGGAATTACAGGCATGTGCCACCGCACCCCAGTGACAGTGCCAATTTCAGATGAGAAAAGAAAACTAGAAATTGATTGACAGACCTGAGTTTACAAATAATAAATCTAAAAATCAATTACAACAGCAAAAGTCACCTCCAAAGTTTCTTCTAAAAAAAAAATCCTGAACAATATTTTTTAAAAACAATAAGTTTGTGCCATAACAAGCCTATAACCAAGTCTTTTGGAGGAATCTTTACTTGTTACTTTAAAAATTAATGATGATTGCTTCCAGTAATACCTATTAAATTATAGCTTTATTCTCATGCAGCTAATCATAATTTACTTTCTGGTCATATGGGCATAAAGGTCACTGAAAGAACAGTCTAACGAGTCTGTGTAAAATCAAAGCATCTGTGTATCCATTTGAGAATTTTTCAAAATAGTGCATTCTGTGAAATAAGATCTTGTATCTATTTGGCAGTAGGTGAGAAGGAAAAAGAACTCATTTCTTTTTAGGGGAATTGCAGGAGACCAAGGATGTATACACTTATTTCAGAGGAAGGTAACCACAAAACATTTATTTCATTTTTCAATGAAGAGGCAATATGGACTTCTAAGTGATTAAGCTGTAATTTGGGATTTGCTCTCAAGCTGACAATTTTTCCATTTTGTCTTGTGACTCTATCCCATGGTACACTTCTATAGTATCATTATCCAGTGCCCCACCTTATGAGCAGTAAGACCCTGGAAAAGACAAAAGTATTTAAGTCTCTTCTTCATCTATTAAATAGGGATAACATTCGTCTTACAGAGCTGTTGCAAAGTTTGGATTATGATTAATAACTAGTATGCTCAGGGCCCACTAAATAGAGGAGGGAGCATCTTTCTATCACATATTCAATGTGCCCTGTTTTCAAAGGAGGGAAACGAATGAGCCCAGCATAACCAAAAGTGTTGCACGTACATGATCTCCGCCCCACTAATAAGGCCCAGGTATGAGCAGCTGCTCTGATGACTTGGGTGCAATTCTCAAACCAAATATATAAATAAAGAACCTACATGCAAATAAAGGACTAATTTTATAAATAGCACATAATAATATAAAAGGTTAATCTAATTTTTTATTAAAATATTGACTCAAAAAAAGAGATATGAAAATAAGAATCTGCACAAATAATTAAGAGTTGTCCCTTGAGGGGGAATAGGGATAGGAAAGGCAGTGGAAAGAATCTGACATAACTTTCCTATGTACATATATAAATATGTCACAGTGAATCCCACTGTTGTGTACATCCACAAGACTTGGTCCCTAATCAGAAAAGATACATTCCATGCATGTATAATTTTGTCAAAATGGACTCTACTGTCATGTATAACTAAAAAGAAACAATAAAAAAGACTTCATTCCTGTTTACTAGATAATTATTTCACCAAACATGAATTTTACATATTTTATCTATGCAGATCAATTCTTACTCTAATATTTCTCCTCTAGTTCCTTATTTTGAGTATTAAATTTTAAGTTTTTCTTCAAAGTGCTTGAGCCACATCTTTTCAAACTTAACTATAAATACAAAGCCAGTTTGCATTTTATTTTTCCTCCTATTGCAACTTGACTTTCCCTCTAAAAATGTCACAAGCAATTGTGGGTTAATAGTATTTTACATATAGATTAGTTCTAAAGTAGTAAATGAATTACTGAAGTTGTCCTTAAAACAAAACAAAAAAAGTCACTCTATGAGTAACATACCAGATGGAAGATCATCCATGGGAAATTCAAAGAGTCTGGATTTGTAAACTGAATGAAAATGGAAATCCTCCTGAAATGACACAAGCAAGAGAAATTAAACATGCACAACCAGATATCTCTAGCCTCAAGCAAAAACAGACGGAACCCCAAGAGAACAGTAACTTGACTACACATTTCCCTTGGGTTTAAAGAGACCAGAAGCCATTGCACAAGGCTTCCAGCTCACAGTGTATACCCCCAGCACCAAAGCTATACCCAATTATAAATGCCTCACAGACAGAGAAGCCAGAGCTTACAGTAATGGAAAATAAATGAATGGACTTATCCCCGCCAAGGAAAAGTAAGACATCTAGGAAAATGGGTTAATGTTTTTTACAACTGGTTCCTTTCACAGATCTCTGTGCCCTTGTAAGAGCCAGATAACTTTGGTAGACAAAGACTGCAGAGCTAGAAATCTCTCTGGTAATGAGCAGCAGGATGACTCATACAAGGAGGTGCCCAAAGTAGTCCCTGCTCCAAAATTCAAGTGTTATACACAGTTCTCCTAGGAAGTAAGAGATTTTAAAATCATATTCTTCTTTTTAGAAAAATTAATGAACACTCAAGTAATTTCATCTGGCTTCATCCAATTACTGAAAAAAAAATGAGAATGTCATAAATAGGCAAGTTTCATGATATTGCTTTTTTTTAAAAAAAAAAAATCACACTTGAAATAAAGTGACAGGGACAGCCAATAGTGCATACCCAGACAATAATACACAATCAAGATTACTTATGGGGACAAAACAATGTGCATTGTTTGAAATTACTTGCCTCTCCATTTAACCAATGTTGCATGATACAAGAAAGAACACTTGTATGTACAGAGCTAGAATGAAAGTGCATTATATTTCTCTCTAAACTGTAGTCTTTTTTTTTTAAAACCAAGGATTGAACCCAGTGGCGCTTAATCACTGAGCCACATCCCCAGCCATTTTTCATATTTTATTTAGAGATAGGATTTCGCTAAATTGTTTAGGGCCTCATTAAATTGCTGAGGCTGGCTTTGAACTTGCAATCCCCCTGCCTCAGCCTCCCAAGCTGCTGGAATTACAGGTGTGCACCACTATGCCCAGCTCTAATCTGTAATCTTTATTCAATTCTTTTCTAATTCGTAGGAAATATTTCACCTAAAGTAAGGGAGGAACTTTGTCTTGGGTTTCTCTAAACTCCATTGGCACAGAGCCTTAAAAGGAATGAACAATGGAGAAAATTTTAAAATCAAGAAAAGAAAGGATTGGATTTTATCTGTATGGACTAAATGTCCCCCAACCCCCATCATGTTGAAGTTTTAGAGCTGCCCTAACACCATACATGGAGATAGGGCCTATAAGGAGATAATAAAGGTTAAATGAGATCAGAAGAGGGAGCCCTAATTTAGTGTGACTGATGACATTACAAGGACAAGAATAGACAATGAGAGATGGATCGATCGATCCCCTCCCCCAATGTAAGCACATAGCAAAAAAGTATCTATCTGCCACTCAAAAACAGAACCCTCACTAGCCACCAACCCTGCTGATTTGGACCATGCAGACTCCAGAAATGTAAGAAAAAAAAATATGCTGACTTTGCCACTCAGTCTATGGTATTTTAAGGTAGACCAAACTAAGACAGATCAAAGCTAGAAATGGAGGCTTCAGAACATTTCACAGGGAAAGTATTTCCAACATAAAAAGAGAAAGAGACAAAATAAAAGTTTTAAAATCATGTGGCTTTGACTTATCTAATATTTAATTAACAGAATCTTACTGTGTTTGTGTATACTATCCTAGCCAAACAAAATATGAAAATAAAATTTAGGGAAAAAGGGAGGGAAAGCTCTCAACCAACATTTCCATTTGCTACTGCAAATAGAGCACTTACCTGGGCCGTCTCATTTTCTTCTGGCTCAATGAGATATGTGTGGTTCCCATCATAGAACATTCCACTGCCAATGACAAGAAAATCATTAAGCATGACTATTAACTCTCATCTCAGGACAAGATCATTTTAAAATCAGCAGCAGAGAACCAGTTACTTTCAATGCCTATTTCCCAGTCCCATCCATCACCTCCAGGTAAACCACACATCACACACCACACATACTCTGCTAAGAGGAAAAGCCCCCTTCCTCTGAATCCCCCTGAAATGGGCTCTCTCATCCTGAAATTGCCATTCTCTAGTTGTTATGCAGTACTCCTCCCTCTAACTCATAATTCCAAGATTTTAATATACAAAAGTTCACCTAGAGTTTTAGAACCCTTCTCAGATTTCTAGGTGAGGACTTAGAAAGGTACATTTCAAACAAACCCCAGGAGATTCTTGTCGGGACCAAGTTGACAATGGCTTCCCTACCTCATACCTGAAAGATGTTCTACTAATAAGAACTAACACATATTAATAACTTGCCATGAGCGAAATATTTGCACTCATTTAATTGTTCCCACAAATACATGAGGTAGATACAATGTCTACCTTCATTTTATAGGAAAGGAAACAAAAGGCTAAAGAGATGAAGTAACTTTTCCAGATTATATAACCATTAAGAATACAGGTAGGAATGGAGCCCAGGCAGCTGGGTCCATGAACTGCCCATTTGCAACCTGCTGCCCTCCTTCACTCATGCAGTCATTCAACTTGTGTTTATAGAGCACCTGTGCACTGTTCTTGATGCTGGGATATAGTAGTGAATGGAACAAATGAATTCTCTATCCTCATACTTGTTTGTTTTGTTTTTTTGTTTGTTTGTTTGTTTGTTTATTTTTGGCTAATATGCAATCTATGAAAAACAGACAATAAATATCTAATAAACAAAGAAATATATATTAGATGGTGATAATTTTTAGGGAGTAAAATAAAGCAGTTTAAGGTCAATAAATGGTTCCAAAAATTGGGTCTGGGGGACCAGAGAGCAAGGACTGTTGATTTATATAGGTGGTTAAAGCAAGGCTTCACAGAGAAGATGGCATTTCAGCAAAAACCTAAAAAAATGAATGATCCATAATTATGTTTGTACAAAGAACATTTCAAGTCCAAAGTAAGAGAATCTTGGAATGGGTGAGGAAAAGAGTACCGTAAAATGAAATCAGAGGGCGAGTGGGAACCATATTAGGTAGACCCTTTTTAGGGCCTTGGCTTTTACTCTAAAAGAGGAGAAGAGTTAACCTCTGTAGGCTTCTCAGCAAGAGAAACACAATCTCTGCTATTTAAAATGATCATCCCATATCCATCTTTAAAAGTAATTATGTAAGTACTTTACACATTACACCAAAGTTAAATTACAGATGAATAAAAAGTACTAGAAGAGAGCATGAGAGAATAGATACATATTATATTCACATGTATAATAAAATTTCATGTTTATGAAATCAAATATGTTTCAGATATACGTAATTTCATATATATGCATGAAATTTATATTACAGCTTTCATATAACACAAAACTTAGAAGTTACAGAAAGATGAATACAATTAAAATTTTCCTGGCAAAAAATATTTTCCAAAAGCCAAATTGAAATTAAAAAAACTTGCTGGGTCTGGGGTTGTGGCTCAGAGGCAAAGCATTTGCCTAGCATGTGTGAGGCACTGGGTTTGATTCTCAGTACCACATATAAATAAATAAAGGTCCATTGACAACTAAAAAAAATTAATAAAAAGAACTTGTTAAACAAATATGTTTCTCAATACATATCTTGCTTGAATTTTCACCAGTCTGTGACAATATAATCTAATTTTTTATGCTTGAAGTCTTTTTCTCTTCTTTGGTAGAGCTCTTTTTTTGTTGTTTTTGTTTGTTGTTATTGTTGTTATTTGTTGTTATCCTCATAAATTCTTTTCCCCATGCAGAAAAATAAATAAATAAATAAAAATAAAATAAAATGATCATCCCAGCTGCTGTGTTATACTAATATTTAGAACAGCAAGGACTGAAGCAGGGATTACCGCAATACCCAGGAGAAAGAAGTTGGTGGCTTTGATCAGGACAGTAATGGGAGAACTGGATAGAACTATTTGGATAGAACCCAAATTCTTGGTATATTTGTTTATTTTTTAGCTTTCTTTTTTGGTTCTGGAAATTGAACCCAGGACCTTGCACAGGCTAAGCCCATGTTCTACCACCAAGCTATACTCCCAGCCTGGATATATTTTGAATATAGAACCAACTTGTTGATAGATTTGATATGGAGTGCAAAAAAAAAAAAAGTCAGAGATGGAGTTGTCATTTAACAAGATAAAAAAGGTTACTAGAATAGCACAATAGGGCTGGGTCAAGAAAGTAAGGAGCAAGGAGCAGAACAAAAATCAAGATTTGGTTTTGGACATTTAGGGTGCATGTGGCTCTTTGTCATCTGAGAAATCCTCTGATTTCTCAGTTTCCACTCAGAGAGATTCTGATAGACACTCCTTTTGAAGGTCTTGATCCTTTTATTGAAATCAAGCCCTTTATGATACTAAAAAAACTTGCCTTACCATTCAGGCATTTGAAGAAAGCAAAACTGTGATCTGCTGCAGTAATTCTTCAGTTTGAGGTAGAAATGACTGTATGACAACCAGGCTCTTAGAATGGTATTTGTCTTCCATAGAAGCCTTAATGAAATCAGTTGGTTTCCCTGAGCTATAATTATAATGGCTTCCAGTTCTGCTTCTATCCAAATTCTTTCATTCCTGCTACAACATCTTCCACATGTCCTAAAATTTTATATATCCATGGGATGGCTATTCTCACATCTGTACAGTTTTTAAACACAATGCACTTTCTGAATTTGGATGACATTGCATTTGAAATTTAAAAATAAACAGATGTCCTTAGTAAAATAACATTGGAGATATATGCCTAAGGAGTCAGAAGGGAGATCCTTTCAAAACAGTAGACCAAATATGGTAGTGGACATTCTCTTGACCCCTGCTGAGAACTGAAAATAAAACCATCACCATTTTCTAAAGTTCACATGGCAACAGTGATTAAGTAGCAAGCAGATTATTTTGTTTAAATAGGACTGAGTGTTATTTGCCCTTGCATTAGGTTAACGTCCAATATGAAAATTGGTTCTTTTTATTGAATCTAAACATTATGTATACAACATATGAAAAGCAGATCCTGACACTGTAATTGGAAGATACTGGTTTCCTGTGAAAATATGCCATTATTAATTCCTTAATAATCAAAAGATACATGTGTTTTATTTCCTTTGTTTGAAGATTGACACCTTTTTGTTATAATAGTTTAAATTCTAATGAGTATATTTAGTCCATAACAATATATTCTTGATAAAAATCTGTAGCTAGGATCAAGTCATTACAGACCAATTAAGCTAAAACTTTATAAAGCTGAATCAAAACAAGATTTTGGAAGGAAACATCAGCTATTCTCACAAATTTCCACAAGAGGGCAATAAACTATAAGATTTTGTCATAACATCAAACATCCTAGGACCAAAATATTACCTATTAGTCCTTTGATTTTTTTTTTTTTTTTAAGAAATGTGCCCTCACATGCTCCTTATGGAAAAAACATATGAATCTGATATTTCCCTTTTTATATTCTTTAACTAAATACCATAAATCATAAAAACGAATAAACTTTAATAGGCACTTGGTAATATATAAAAGATAAATCATGTATAAACTAATACATCTCATGTCTAAATCACTGTAATTGAGACAACCTGTATTATTTAATGCTTAGTAACAAAATGTTCCTGAGAGCAATTTTTATTCAGAAGGTAAAATCAAGATGAAAAGTAATAATTAATAAATAACAAAAAGATACAACATCTAACGTGCTCCAAAATATCAAGAAAGCCCAAACATGGTTTTAAAAAATTCTGACAGTGTCTCTAGACACAAGCTGACTTTTCTGTGTTCAGTTTTGCTTAGTTTTAAATGAAAGTTTCTAAAGGTAGAAGTAAATTTTACTTAGTTAAAATAACTGAAGTCCAGAAGCAGAAATATGTGTTCTACTCCTGATTCAGACTCATTATAAAATTTCCTGAAAATAATTATTTCATGCTTTTTTTTGGGGGGGGGGACTAAATCCAGGGACACTTTACCACTGAGCTACATCCCCAGTCCTTTTTGGGGGGTGGGGGGAAGCGGGGTGCCAGGGATTGAACTCAGGGGCACTCCACTATTGAGCCACATCCCCAGCCCTATTTTGATTTTATTTAGAGACAGGGTCTCACTGAGTTGATTAGCACCTCACTTTTGCTGAGCCGGCTTTGAACTCACAATCCTCCTGTCTCAGTCCTCCAAGCCACTGGGATTATAGGTGTGTGCCACTGTGCCGGGTTCCCAGTCCTTTTTATTTTAGTGACAGGGTCTCATTAAATTGTTTAGAGTTTCGCCAAGTTGCTGAGGTTGACCTCTCCACCAGACTGATCTCTCAGGACTCATGCTTCAACTGCCTTAATATTTTCCTAGTGGTTGGTAAACAGCAAACACTCAATAACTGCTTGTGAATCAAGAGAGCTACATTTCTAACTTAGCAATGGAAAGAAAATATTTTAAAGTTTCCCAATAAAAAAATTTAACAAAACTAAATTATAGTGCTAACTTGTTCAGTACCAAAAAACATAAAACAAACAAAAAGGAAAAGAGATGATTCAGTTTAAATAGAAGGCCAAGTAATGACACATTAGTTTGCAAGATGTTGTGAAACAAATAAGTGATGGCCACCTGTGTATCGCCATTATTGACAGGACAGAGGAAAGAGATGTATTCCCATGTCAAACATCAGAAAACACTCTGTGATCATGAAGGTTATGAGAAAGGAAGCAAGAAGGATGAACTCTGTTCTTTGGAGATCTCTGAGAATTGACGGATCCTCCCACAATAGCTATGAGGTAGGTGGAATTCTGGCAGAAAAAAAAAAAAAAAGGGCTCTTGAAGTCACTTGCAGCCTTCTGTCTTTATGCAAGGAGCCCAGAGTTTCCATTTACTGAAATTTCCATTATTCCATGAACATATAAAAACTGATATGAAGGAGGAGTGGGGTAAAACTGGTACCAAGGGGCTAAATATCCACAGAAACTGAAGTTACCAAACCACTCCTGTCGGAATTTGGATGAAACCAGAAAAATGTTCCCTGTATCACTGTTGGGCATCATATTTATAATTCCAAAGCCTCTGGTTTCTATAATTTTAATTTTATTTTTTTTATTTTTAAAAAATACTTATTTTTTAGTTGTAGTTGGACACAATACTTTTGTTTTATTTATTTATTTTTATGTGGTGCTGAGGATAGAACCCAGGGCCTCACACGCTAGGGGAGTGCTCTACCACTGAGCCACAAGCCAGCCCCCAATAACTTTAATTTTAAAATTTCCTTAGTTTAAACACCACACATACACACACACACACACAATTATCACTAATTTAAAATTATTTCTTAAAATAAAATAGAAACTTCTATTTAAAATTTTAAAATATATATATATTGAAAGAATGAATGAAAAGTAAACTTTTGGACACTTACTGAAGTCCATGACATGTTGACAATGCAACAAATGAGACAGGATTTCCTCGGATCTGGCCCTGGTAGTAACAGTGCTCTCCTCCCTGAAAACAGAAACAGAGGACGAGGAGAACCAGCAGCATCATTTCAGTAGAGGTTTCTGCTCTCACTGTACTTGCATGTACCATAAAGTTCTATGCAATATGTCATTATTCAGATTAGCATTATCAAACCACTTCTAACAGAATTATTCAGAAATATTCCTAATGAGATGACTTCAAACCCAAAGAGAGGGAAGTAAAAGTTGACTTCATTTTCTTTTTATGTATGTGGTAGCAGAGAACAAAGAAACAGATATTAAAATACATACATGTTCCATGCAACAAAGTAAGTTTAATCATCTAGTTCCCGAGTTATGAGATATTCAACCTCAAGCAGCAGTAAAGGAATGCTTTCACATGGAGCTAAGTAAAATGGACTATAAATTATGTAAGAGTTACTAAATTATAAAGATGGAGAAAAAAATGACTGTTTTTATGATGTTTATCTCAAAACTTGACTGCTACACATCAAAAAAAGAAACTATATATCAATATTTTTGATGAATATAGATGCAAAATCCTCAACAAAATATCTGTAAATCAAATTCAATAGCAGGGTGAAAAGATCCTACATCACGATCGATCAAGTAATCCCTGGCTTCATTCCAGGGATTCAAGGTTGGTTTAACATATGCAAATCAGTAAATGTAACTCACTACATAGACAGAATCAAGGATAAAAGTCACATGATCATCTCAATAGCTGCAGAGAAAGCATTTAATAAAATCCACCATTTCTTCATGATAAAAATCCTGAATAAACTAGGTATAGAAGGCTCATTCCTCAACATAATAAAGGTTACACATGACAAATCATAGTCAGCATCATACTGAATGAGGAAAATTGAAAGCATTTCTTCCAAATCAAAAACAAGGCAAAGGTGTCCACTCTCACCACTCTTACTCAACATAGTACTGGAAACTTTAGTCATATAAGGAAAAAAAATAAAAGAAAAACAAATAGGAACAGAGGAAATCATATTATTCCTAATTGCAGATGATATGATTCTATATCTAGGAAATGCTAAAAAGTCCACCAAAATTTCTTAGAACTGAAAAATAAATTCAGTAAAGTAGCAGGATACAAAATCAAAATACAAAAATTAGCACCTTTTCTATACACCAATAATAAACTCACTGAAAAAAAATCAGGAAAATAATCCTATGTGCAACACTTCAAGAAAATAAAACAAAATATCTAGAAATAAATCTAACAATGTGAAAGACCTCTACAATGAAAATTGTAAAACACTGAAGAAAGAAATTAGACACCAAAAAGTGGAAAGACCTCCCATAATCATGAACTGGGAGAATGAAGATGGTTAAAAAGGTCATACCACCAAAAATGATCTACAGAGTCAACACAATCCCCATCAAAATACCAATGACATTCTTCACCAAACTAAAAAAGGCAATCCTAAAATTCATTGCCAAAGCAATCCTGAGCAAAAAGAACAATACTAGAGCCATCAAATACCCAATATCAAAATACGCTATCAGCCACTATAAGAAAAACAGTATGGTACTGGCATTGAAAAAAAAAGACATAAAGACCAATAGAATAGATGGGAGGGCCTAAGAACAAACCCACACATCTATGTTCATATAATTATTAACAGAAGAATGAAAAACCTATGTTGGAGAAAAGACAGCCTCTTCAATAAATGGTGCTAGAAAAATTGAATATCTGCAAGCAGAAAATTGAAACTAGAGCCCTATCTCTCACCCAGTATAAAAATCAATTCAAAATGGATCAAAGACTTTAAGGTAAGAACTGAAACTTGGGAACTACTAAAAGAAAACAGAGAGGAAACACTTCAAGATATAAGCATAAACAATGATTTCCTTAACAAGACTATAGTTCAGAAAATAACAGCAAGAATTCACAAATGGGATTATGTCAAATTAAATAGCTTCTGCATAACAAAGGAAACAATCTACAGAGTAAAGGAACAGGTTAAAGAATGGGAGAAAATCTTTTCCAGCTATTCAGCTGACAGAGAATTATTACCCAGAGCATATAAATAACTCAAAAAATGTAACACCAAAAAAACAAGTAATCCAATCAATAAATGAAAAAATCACCTGAATAGACACCTCAAAGGAAGCACAAATGACCAATTAAGTGAAAAAGTACTCAATGTCTTTATCCATCAGGGAAGCTCAAATCAAAACTATACTGAGATTTCATTCAGAATGGCTATTATCAAGAAAGTAAAAAATAACAAACACAGGTAAGGACATTGTGGGTGGCAGAGGGGAAGGAACCCCCGAGACACTGTTTGTGGGAATGTTAACTAGTACAACTACTATGGAAATCAGTATGTAGGTTCCTCAAAAAAACAAAAATAGAATCACCATATGATCCATTTCTACCACTGCTTGGTATACACCTGAAGGAACTAAAGTCAGCACACAATAGAGATATCTGGATACCTATGTTCATCACAGCACTAGTCAAGTTATGGAATCAGCCTGGATGCCCATCAGTGAATGAGTGGATTTTTTTAAAAATGTGTTATATATACACTATGGAGTATTATTCAGCCACAAAGAAGAACAAAATCATGTTACTTCAAGAAAATGAGTGAAACTGAATATGATTATGTTGTGTGAAAAAAGCCAGAGTCAGACAAGTATCACATATTTTCTCCCATACATAGAATCTGGAGGGGAATAAAAAGATGACATTAAAGCAGAAGGGGGGGGGTCATTAGGGAAGAGGGAGGGGGTCAGGTGATACAATGATAAAAGAGCATAATAGGGAGGGTAGATATGAGCAAAGAATGTTGTATGCATGTATGAAAATGTCACAAAGAATTAACATATGCTAGTAATTAAAATATTAGAAAAAAATTGACTGTACCTAAGTTTATGTTATTCTTTTCTAAATCCAGGAATGGCTTTACGATTAAGCAGTCCAGCAGTAGGGTTTGAGATGGTGAAGTGTCTTCTATCAGACAGTCACATTAAATTCTATTAAGATTCATTTGTTTAGATTAAATGTACTTGGAAAAGAAAAGAGGGTAAATCTTTTGACATCTTACAATGTTGCTTTAAAATACTCCCTAGGCTACCTGGTTCAAAGACCAGCAGCGCTGACATCATCCAAATCTTCTTAGAAATGCCAATCCCAGACTAACTGCATCAAAATCTGCATTTTAACAAGGTCCCTAGGCACATTAAATTTTGAGAAGCTCTGCTCTAAATGACCTTTTCCCATTCTCCTACTAAGCTTCTATTTCTTCAGTAGTTGAAAGCTTATAATTAAATTGACTCATTGAGACAAGAAAAAATAAAAGAGGAAGGACTGATAGAATGGGTAGTTAAAGGGGAAAATAAATGTTACCTACTTTAATCTGGTTTAAGTGCTAATCCTACTTCAAATATTCAGTGCTTGACAAGAAAAGGGGAGAGAACAGAAAAAAAAAAATGAAGATTTAACAAGTCCAAAGACATTTTCTTTACCAGAATTCCAAGGAAAACAGCCTGTCCTGAGACTAACGTTGTTCATGAGATAATTCCATAAGAGTTGATGAGTCTCAATTTTGAGGAGGGAGTGGAGAGCAGATTAAATCCTACATAACGCAATCCCTGGCCCTGTAATACCTCTAAAAGCCCAGAGGAGTCACTGAGCACCGTGAACCAAGGAGTGTGGTTGGATTTAATGGAGAAGACAGAATGGTGTTTCATATATGGGTCAAACAATGATGGACCGTAGAAGGTCACAGGACTTGGGAGCAGATAGGAGTCTTGACAAAAGGACATAGGACACTGACTATGTGATAAGAATTGGTGTGGTGTAAGTGTTGTGTGTTTGTTTTTTTCAATGTTCAGTTTCCTTTAAAAACCTCCATCTCCCTGAAGGGCGGGTACAGGCAACTGGACAATAGCAAGAGATGTTCACCTGACTTGCCCTGATTGAAAGCTTCCCCCAGGTGCTGGAAGGCCCCTGCCCAGGAAAATTACTCTTGAACCAGCAGCTGGGTCTCCTCACTGGCAGGATCCGGTTTCTGCCATGTATATGACTGACTCCTACTCTACCTGTCAATCTAGACCCAGCAGAAAGGCAAGCTCCTGCCCTCGGAAGACCCAGACTCCAGAAATGGAGCTGCTGTTCTTGGTTCCAAAGAGGATGACACTGACAAAGGTGTTCTTCCTCAGCTTGTCCAATCTGCTAAAACATTCCAGTGATGAGGTTGCAACCCATGAAGGTCTGGGTGAGCTCTTCAGGAAAGCCATACTCAGCATGCCACAAGCACCAGCCATCTTTATCAAAGTGCTCCTAATAATACAGTAGCGCCTCAGACAGCATATCCCCATGGGAGTATTTGCATTTAAATTCATCCAACACAAAGGCACACTTAGGCAAAGAGGTCCTTGGCCTTGGGCTCAGCAGCCAGTGCCTGCTCATGTTCATCCATCTCTTCCTCTGGAGCTGGGGCAACTACCTTTTCCTCCTCTTTCCACTCGGTCTGGGGCTTCTACTTCTCTTCCCATAAACACTTGTCTTTCCATGGCGAAACATTCTCTTTCCATGGTGAACCCTTCTCTTTCCATGGCATGTTCTTTATAGGCTGGCTCTTTGCAAACTTCTTAGCATCAAACTGAGCCATGTTCTCACACAGCTTCACCTTCCCCAAGACAGCCCCCCGAACTGGGGCTGGTTAATGCCAGGTAAGGAACCCATGATTGGTATTGGGTAAGGCCTGGTGGAAAGAAGGCTCCAAGACCTGTTTCTGGAGTCACAACAGGGTACAGACAACTGTGATGTCAGCCAGTGTCACTCATTCACCCAAAAGAAAAGTCCTTGTCTTCAAGTGAGCATCCAGCAACCCCAGAATTTACCTCACCTCCTCCTTTGTATTCTCAATGGCCTGTTTGTTGTGGTACAATGATGCCCAAGGTAGAAAACACCCAGGTACTGGCTGGGGGCAACATGTCACTATCAGCAAAGCTCACCCTCTGCACCATCTGGGATGCTGCCTCTGGAGTACTTTTCTG